CGCGGACCACAGCGTAGTATCGCAAAAACCTCAGCGCTAAAGCTCATTACATCTTTTGGCGACCAGGGGAAGAAGTCCAAGTTCTTTGCAAACGCAAACGGTGATGGGGGTCAAACTCCCATTGCTGCAGGTGTCACCCCGATAGCCGAGTCTGCCGTTTCTCCTGGTGGGCACGAGCCTAGTACTGCATTCCTCCGTCCCTCGCAACGAAGCGCTTACAACACTCCTGCTTCTGCAAAGCCTACTACACCCGGTGGATTTGGACGGCAACGTCTACCTTCAATAGGAGAGATCCCAAACAATGCCATTCCACGCGATCTCCTTAGCGAAAGAGACCTTCCAACCCCTCCTGCTGACCTTGTTCCTGAGATGAGCCAAGCCCATCGTGCCCATCACTCTAAGACACCCTCTGCTGACGACCGGTACGATGTCGGATTATCTGTGCCGAGAGCTTCTACTGCAAGCCCAATGATGATGAGGGATATCCATCGTCGGAAGGACCCCCCTCCACCTTCACCATCGCCACAGTCACTTAATGCTTTAATGCAACAGGGCCGCACTAGTCGAAATGGTGCCCGAGAACGGAAGCCTGAGGGAATGGAACTGAAAATTCACTCTATCGAGGCTGCAATGAACAGCGATGTGACCTCTCCAGAGCAATCGGTAGCATCGTCTACCCGTTTCCATTGGCCGTCTCGTCGCCGTGGTCCAGGATCGATCGCTAGTTCCGTTACATCAAACTCGAGCGCTGGACGAGGTTACCGAGCTAACCAGGCCGGAGGTCGTGGCTTGAACGAGTATATCCATAGCTTGGAGGCCGCACAGCACTACTCCAAGAAGCAGCGAAGCCGCGAAAACAGTCGCCAACGCCAGGACGATAAAAATGCTCGGAGCCGAGAGGGGAGTCGTACTCGTCAAAGCAACACACGCGAAAGTTCAGAAGATAGGGGTAGAGGTATCTCTCGAAACTGGACGCCTAAGCCTGCTAAACGCTCTCCCACTTCTCCCGTGCCTATGTCCCCTGAAGATCTGATTAACTTGAGCACTCCACAACAAGCTAAAGCAGAGATTAGCGACGAAGGATTTGTATCGGTTGAGTTCGACTCAGGGGAACCGTCCACGGTTCGAAAATCTAGTCAAATTCGACGGTCTTCCCCTCGAAGCACTCGTATCTCTAGCCGTACTTCAAGCCGTACCGGCCGCCAGAGGAGCCACGAGAGACGGCCACCAGCATTAGATCTCCGTGGCAGAAGCAAAAGCCGTGGTGATGGCTCTGTTCTAAGATCCCCGTCATCTCCATTGCCAATGTCAGCTCCTATGAAGTTTTACGGATCGGACGATGAGGGAGACTACCAAGCTGCCATTATCGCGCAGGAACAATTTAGAAACCGACACAACCGAAGCGGTAACCAGAGCCAGAAGGACCCATCTTCTCCTGCCGTTTCCCGAGTTCGGGATCGTTCAGAAAGCCGTCGCAGGAGGAACAAGACTCCGGCTGACCAAGAACCAATGCCAGTGATTCAACCGGCGCAGTTAGTTCTCAAAAAACAACAACAAACTCCGCCGCCACCGCCGCCACCACCGCAGCAGCCGATGAGTGAGGCACGAGCTGGAGATCTCAAATTAATCTCGGCCGAAAGACAGCTCAAGAAGGAGGCCGCAGCCCGCGAACTAGAGGAACGCCGCAAGTCCCTTGCACGTCGTCCCTCAGCACCTCCTATCCCCCACCCGGATGAGCTATCTCCAATCGTAGCCCGCACGCCCAGCATCTTCGAATTGCCTCAGACGACTTTTGTACCTTCAAAAGATATGCCCATCAGGAGTCAGACTGCCGACCCCCATAGGAGCTCTCACTCTTACTCACGCAGTGGAACCGTCCCCATGATTGGCTTACCAGCAACACCCAAAGCCATGCGTCTTCAGTTCGCCTCGAGCAAGCATGGCGGCGCACCGCCAGTTCCCACCGCCTATACTAGGACATCGCCACCGTCTTCTGGCCACCCATCACCTAACCGACCTGGTAACAACTCGCCGACTAAGTCTCCACAAGTCCTAGCCGAATCGCCTAGCAAATCGTCGGATGGGTCATCGGACAAAGAGGCACCACTGCTGACTCTTCTCCCTTCAACCGTGTATTCTCCTCCCTCGCGGCCTAATATCGCAAGGTGCATGTCTGCTCCTATTCCAGAAGAGCACCCTCCTCAATTTACTCACTCGGCTCACCAGCACGGAATGCAGGCAAGCAGCCAGCCACCCCGCAGAGGATCTCTCTCGGTAAGGAAAATGAGTGGGGATGTCAATGGAGGATTGCCTGGTATTGAGGAGAGGGCGGGATCTGGTAGGCACTCAAGAAAGGCTTCTCGAGACGACCAAATACCACCCCCACCGCCACCGCCACCGGTCCTGAAGGAGCTCCAGCATCTGGCTACTCCCCCACCGCCGCCTCCCGCGCCTATTCCCGGCGTCAGGCCCACCATCTACACCGGTGCTCAGCCGTCAGGATCTGGGACTATTGAGATCGTAATGGACGAGGATGATGATAATAACGTAGCTTCAATCGTACCGGTTCCGGAACCTGCTCCGCAAACTTCAAGCCCCCAGATGTCGCCCTCGTCGCGCAACGGCCACAGCCGTGGGCGAAGCTTTGGCGACAACAGCATTGCCGGACGTATTAGCCGTGCTGCTGAGAGGATGCGATCTGCCAGCCGGGGCCGCACCGGCTCCATTCTAGGTAACAGGACTAAGTCTCCCGACACCGCCACCATACCTTACGAGAGTGTTCCACCCCCAGTTAGCATGCACAACAGTGGCTTCACGTCTCCTGTCAATCAGCAGCAACCACAGCTACCGCAGCTACCACAGTTACCGCAGTCTATCGAGCGCCACCCCCGCGAAGTCCGCGCCGCGTACCAGGAGCGGGAATTCGGCAGCGGTCTTCACGCCAGCGAGATGATCTAGACCTAGATTGGGTAACACTTTCTTATTTCGAAATAATGCCTAGATTACGATCGTGTTCTTACTCACCTACATTTCAACTATATACGACGCATATCTATCTCTTGTTTGGATTCTTCCGCGTCTCACTCAGCATGTATTCGCATGGCGCCGGCGTTTTCATCTACTTCCTACCATTGATACCATTTCTTCCTCCAAGTCTTAATTTCCCGGCCGCCATTTTAAGCATTTTGCGCATGCATCATTTTTCTTTACCATTCACGACTTGGTATTTATCTCCACCCTAATGGCAAATCTACAGGCAAGAATCGACGACGTAATATCCAATACCCCTTTTCTACCAAGTAACAGCCATCTACGACTTTTCAATCCTTTCCTTCCTTCTTCTTCTTCTTCTTCACCTTCTAAATCTACCTTGTATACTTCTATATTGTCCTCTTAACCGAGGATGAGGTCTGGCCGGAAAAAGAATAGCCAATACCCATTGTTGCCTCCGGGCGCGCAAGCAGTCCCGGAGAAATTTTTATATTTTATCTTTTCTGAAAACTCACGAATTTATGACATATTGGGGGGCGGACAAGACATGAGGGGGCAACTTTTGGACGACAGAAAAAAAGGGGGACCGTGAGAGACGAGTAATATCTCTGCGGCGGCCCGAATTACGAAAGCTTGTACACAATGAAGTAGCAGTATATCTACGTGATGATGACGACTTCGGGAGGAGGAGGGGGATAAGGGGGAAAGGAGACAAAAATCCCGTGGGAAAAAGGGCGATGACACGACACAAACTTGAGTTTTCCAGAAGAGAAAAGTCTAACGACAAGAATGGTGTTGCCTCACGGCATCTTTGTTCTTCGCTTCTTACTTACCTGCCTGCTGCTAATCTGCTTGCCGGTTGCGGGGATGAGCGATTAAAGCTATACCCGAATTTTCTTGATAGTCTGTTATTATAGTTATTATTATTATCATTATACCTTTGATGTTTGAGCTTAGTTGACTGGAGTTTTAACGGTGCTTGTTAATATTATCTAATAAATTTAGAATCGTTTAAGTGATAATGAATGTGATTATTGAGAAGATAGTATTGACTTCGAAAGCGAACTGAGCATAGATGTATCTATATTGTTGTTGTGTAAAATGTAACTCTATTGGCTTTAAACGCAAAGTTAAGATTTCCAAGGTTACGGGTTCGAACAGGTCAAAAAGCATATTTTTACTACACGCAACCCTTTCATTATTAAATATAAAGTTAAACCTGAAGTGCTTCACCATTGAGCAAAACTATTACATATTTTACAAGGTTAAAAAAAAAGGGCAAAAAGAATAATGGAGTTGACAATCTCCATCTCGTACCACTAGCCCAAGTCCCCAGGTCAGCGTGTTCCACCACACCATCCGGCGGGGGAGATGCTCTGCAGAGTGAGGCCTCCCTGAAGGTTCCTCTCCATTTCATAGGACCACCTAAACATCACTGGTTGCCCAAGTGGATAGGTGGTCACCGCAGCATTTGCAGTGGGCGCGCCCTGGGGGTTCTTATGGAATTGGGATTAGCGACACAAGAATTTTAAGCGTCTTCGACCAATAGACCATTACAGTCGAAAATTTTTGTTGAAATTTTGTTTTATATATTGGGCTGCGGAGTGGGGCTCTAAGGGTAAAGTTCGGGATTGGCTTTGGAGGGTACGTACCTAAACTGTGTTTGCAATTATGAATTATGCGACAATTGCATTGATTCAGTTAATGAGATTACCTATCAAATCGGAACCTGCGCGCTGGAGATACTGCTTGCTATTTTGGAAGCTTCAATACATGTAGTTATTAGTGTTGTTATAGCAGCTTCACACAAACCATTAAGCGCCATGTCCCTTCCATAGCCCAAACTTTCGTTACTTAATATCATGAAGCTTCAGGATCATTCTTTTATAGAAACTTAAGCTCTGCTCGAGCATATCAACTACAAATCCCACATGCTTAATCAGATTTACGATACTCTATACACCCAGTTACTCTCTTCGTAAAACCGGTTCTCCGGTTAGGTCGATGTCATGTTAACGACAGCGCCATACCTGCGCATCCGGCGCCCATCCCCAACAACAACCGAGTTCATCGTATCGACCCTTCCACCGCCGACGCTACCGTTACGCCTTGCCCTCGGGGCTATATACTTCGTACGTCTGCTACTCGCTCTCGCCGTCCTGCTCATGATGTACGCGGCTCAGAGCTCGTACTACTCGACAACACCCCTTCAGCCGCTACTACTACCGTCGATGAAGGCATCAGTAGCGAATATACAATCGAACTCTACCGTGACGGGTGCTACCACCGCAAACAGTCCTATCAACGTCCTCGCTACTACTCCTATCTTCTCTCTCGCCTTCGTCCAGCAGACCCTCAACGTACTACTATCCTCGCGCCTAGGATCTCTCCTTTCTAAGCTCGCGCACTCCGTGCCCCCATGGATCTTAATCCCCTGCTCTATAGGGACGCTATACCTCCTCTCGCTCCGCATCGGCGCAGAGGAGCGGCTCCTAGTCCTACGGGGTCTAGGGGTACAAACAAGCTCAAGCGGCGCAACGGTGTTCTCCGCGCTCAAGACGCGCTTCATCCCAACCGACAAGATCCAGGACATCCTAATCAACGAGGCCTTCCGCGGCTTCGAGGTCCGGCACTACCTGATCGTCATCGTCGAAGGGGAGGAGCACATCGTCGTCGTGTTTCCGCAGCTGCTCCCGCGACCTCGTATCTTGGAGAAGGTGTGGAAGGGCGCCAGGAAGTGTCTTTATGGGCGGGACGGGGAGGACGAAAAAGAAGAAACGAGTCTTAAGGGGGACGGCACGGCTTAGAAGAACGATGAGTTGTCTCCCTGTGAGCCGCCGCAGCTACATCATAGACATGGATTGGGAGTTGGGGACTCGTGGATAGTGGTTTAGGATGGGTTTATTTGATTGGCGTATGGCTATGAAGGATGGCATGGAGTTTTGACTCATGGAATATGATACCCCAAGCGTGTTGCATAGCTTAAGTGTCTGCAATATAGCGATGTTATGCTATTTTTTTCTCCCATTATTATCTCCTTTTATATCTAGGTACTTACTCCGTTCCCTCCTCTAGTGGTAGTTCTTTAGGTGGCAGATTGTCTGTTGCTTCCTCTCTCCTTTTCGACCACGCCTCCCTCATCTCTGCCGCGTCCGCGAACCCCTTTCTCCTTGCCTCCCGGTCGAAGACTTCCGCCGGTGACGGGAGCCTAGGCTTTTGTAGAAGGGGTTGGTATTTGCCCACCAGACGCTCTCTGTCACCGCCCTCGAACGTTCTTGTTGTGGGTGGGATGTGTAGTGGTGCCTTCGGATCCTTGCGGAGGCTGATATCCGCCTGAGAGGATATTATGTTCAATAGTTGGCCTGCCAATAGCTCGTCCATTTTCCGTTCGCGCCAGTATTCCCACGTGGAATTCAAGAGGCCGCCTGTCCCGTGCTGACTTAGGGGGTTCTCCTCCCCAACATATACCCATTTAAGCGCGTTCTCAGGCTTCTCCGGCCTAGGGAATATACAATCCCAAAGCACCAGCGGCACTTCGTCCGCAAGTTGATAGTTAGGTCTTCGCGGTTCCGCCTCAAAATCGAGGAGTTTGTCTACTATAGAGGGGTCTTCCAAGCCCTGACCAACCATGAAGATAATCGCTACCATACATCGGATCTGATGCCATAGGAACGCGGTCCCTCGTACGTGAAAATAGTATACCTTAGGTAACTTCTCCTGTAAGTCCATGCCTGAAGGCCTGAACTCTTCGCGATCTAAAAATGGTAGAGCGGTCTCCACGTCTTTCACCTCTACTATGTCGCTCTCGAATACTCTCCGTTCAAAGTTAATATTGATTTTGCTCTGATCGACTCTGCAAAAGTTTCGAAAGTCATGGAGACCCTCGAATTTCTTGGCCGCTTGTCGCATAGCCTCAATGTCGAGCCAACCCCCTTTCACTTTTTTAGAGTTATCTGGGTTCTCGAAGCTCTGCGGTATCGGTGCGAATGCTGGCTGCGTGAAGAAATATCTATACTGTCTCTCCCTACAGTCGTGCCTCGCAGAAAAGTCGGCTGGTGTCGTGGGGCACCACGCAAGCATCCTGATATCAGGGGGCAGGAGTTTGTTCAGAAGCCTGCAGTACGGTAGCTCATCTGTGAAGTCGTTGAACTCCCTCTTCTTCTTTGTGTCCTCGGCTGCTGCGTCTAGTTTTGCCGCCTCCCCATTTTCATCTACTTGACCAGCTTCTGTCTGTTGCTCCTTTTTAGGGAGAGGCCGATTACTCCTGACCCGAACAACGATGACCTGGCCGAACGCGCTAACGCCACGGTCCGTACGGCCGCATTTGGAGTACTCCCAAGGATCCCAGTTGACTTCGTCGGAGTTTTCAGGAAAGATCAAGCACGCCTTAACAAAGGCTTTCCAAAGCTCTTCCTCGATAGATGGCAGGTTGGCACTCGCCGCATACTCGAAGCCGCCGTACCGCTTACCTAGATACGCCAGTTTAAACGCTACGAGCCGCGTCGAGTATTTGGAAGGGTCAATTTTGCGCTCTACCTTTTTCTTCTTCGGTGGACTAGTAGCACCCTCTTCTATCGCTGTACTCGTGATAGAATCCTGAGCCTCCTCCGATTTATGCTCACCAGCGCGAAGGAGATTCGCCTCGAGCTTCTGAATGCGTCTTATAAGTGCATCCTTGGTCCACCTATCGTAGGTAGAATCCCTCTTATCCATCTTGAGTTTTAATGCAGTAACTCCCGTAGAAAATCCACATCGAATTTCTTGACGAGATGCGAGGAAAAAATATGTTAGAGATGTCTGAAGGCGTTGGTTATAACACCTTCCACTGAAGGTTTTCATCCACACCCGCGTCAGGAAAATGTTTAGACAACTTTTTATGTCGGGGTATTCTTTTTTTCGAAGCTCTATATCAAATATCGTATGTACTACTGTACCTAAAATACAGGTACCTAATAGGTGTAGAAATGAGTCAAAATACTCGCTATGTACAGGGCCTTATCGATAGTGATCCCTTAAAAGCTGCCTATATCAGGTGCTGTAAAAGAGGTAGACTAAACACAATTAATTGGAGCAGCTCAGTTTCCATCATTATCAACTTCAGTGTTCTCATTCAGCTCGGGATTGATTGCCTTAAATTTACAAGAAACCAAAGTTGGAATTTATTGATGGATAGCGTGACAATTAAAATCCTCCTGCTTGGGGATGAACAAGTAGGAAAAACAACGTTTTTATCGTGCGTAGAAATCATTCTCTCAACATCACATATACTCTTGTTAATGCATAACACAGGCGGATTAGTGGAGGTAGCAGCAGTCTTGAAGGTCATGTCCCTATTTCTTTATTACGAGATATAAACCAGCCTTTCGTTTTCGAGATACGAAACCGAAAGGGTATATATCGTCTTGAGTTTTATGACACTTCCAGTCCAGAAGACTGGAGGCTGCTTGAACCGGACTTGGTCTTAATTTGCTACGATATCAGTCAAAGACTGAGCCTCATCAATATGCAAAGGATTGTAAGTATCATCCTCCTTATCCCAATACTCATATCTCTAATCTTGCATTTCTAGTGGATTAAGCAGGTCCATGCCAATTTCCGAACTAGTGACCACCTCCCCGTAATTGTCGTCGGCCTCAAGAGAGACCTAAGGTCCGAAACTGATCCCAATGGCATCATATATCCTCAGGAAGGACATAATGTGTCGCAAGAGATGAGAGTGGACAAATATGTTGAGTGCTCAGCTGTCACCGGCGAACTTCTCAAGCTGGCCTTCGAGGAGATCTGCAATACCGCAGTAAGGACGATTGTAACTGATAGTGGGCAAAGTGAAGGAGGCTGTTCGGTGTCGTAGGTATTAAAAATAATGACATATTTGTACCAGATGCCCCCTAGGGCCCGGAACATAAGCCATATTAAGAACTTAAGGTTGTTATCAGTGTCTACGTTCCTCATGAGTGTCCATTCTCAGTAGTCTCCATAACGCCCTCTCCCTGATCACCATCTTCCAGCTCTTGGGGGAACTGCCCGAGGACTTCGGTGACTATGTCGAGGATCTCCTGTTGCTGATCGCTATTAAAGCGGTCTTCCATATCCTCGATAACAGTATTTAGGACTGGAACGTTAGTGGGGCGAATGTTGAAGAGCATGATACACTCTCCTTTGGTGATCTGGTACTGGCGCAGTCTTTTAATCAACTCGGGAATGACCGCTGCATCAAAGGGCAATGGCTTTTGACTCAAAGGACCTGGGGGGCTCTCAAAATATTGCAGCACCTATGTTTAATCCATCAGAATAAGCTATGCGTATTATTCCAGGATAAAATTTAACCTTACCTCTTTACGTAGTGTCTCTAAATTTGTAGGTCCTTTGCGCTTTTGGTCATTATATTGTTTTGCTTGATTGCTTAAAAATGTGTAAACTTCGACGTTAGTCAACACAGCTGACTGGGCTTCGAGGATCTTCATTATGACAGTCTTCGTTCGTCTCAGGAATTTGGAGCCAGGTTTTCGGTTTAAATAATAAACCTAGCAGTTCTAATGAGATTACTAGGTAGGTCAACTTTTTTTTCTTCTTTGTCGCGTTGTGAGATGTAAGTCAAAATCATATTAATTGTATGTGGGGTCCTAGATTTTCTTCTAGGAAGTACCTAAGTACATATGTATGTACCTACATGTATGATGTAGATTTATACCTTATAGAGTGGGTCGCTCCAAGCGTTTAATTGAAACAATTGAAACCATTTAAGTTCAATGTCTACCAATCCGTCGGTAACTCATTCTAACCAATCCTCTATTTTAAGTTCAAGAATGTATATACGCCTCCCTCTCTCTCCTTACTCCCTAATTCTTCAATTCCGCAGCTCTATCAAAATTGCATTGCCAAGACTGAAGTTGAAGTTGAAGTGTAGTTCTCGTCTTCTTATAGGCCACCGAAGTTGCTGCTGTCTGGTTGGCAACCAATCGCTCGGTTGCAGACGTAGGCGGACTTCGCAGATACGCGTCTAAGCTGTATGACGGATATGAAGCTTGGGACATACTATCCACCCATATTCAACTTAGCATTCATATTACGTATTAAGTAGGGTCAACTTTCTCAAGTAGGATATACCATACCTGCCATTATCAAAGCCATTACCAGACACGATAGCCGAAAAATCAGACCCCGTAGATGTAGACATGGAGTAATCGCGGACAAGCTCGTATAGTGTATTCAGGTCATATTTCTCAAAATTTCTCGGCTGAATTGTTTCCCGTCATCGTTCACCGCCCTTTTGGTATATATAATTATATTCATTCTGAAATTGTTAACTGTTTAATAAAGCACAACTGTTATTCACATTGCCAATCGATTAGAAAGTTCCAATAGATCGAATCGAAGGTTAGGTGGTAGCTGTATAATCAACACAGTTGTGTTCTACTAGCAAATAGTAAGAATTTAACCCTAAAAATTTTTTTTCACTACAAAGCCGAAATATGTAGTAATATCAAATTACATCACAATTACTTTACTTGATAGGCGTGCTCTTATAACACAAGTGTGCTGGCTACTTCAACCGCCATTAAGCGCGAGCTAAGCGAGACATGAGCACCGTTGTGCTTTAGCAATGACATGAGCTTGATAACGGCATATCAAACCATACGACCATCACTAATTCCCTAAATAGCATGATTGTACATTATTACCTACCTACCTATATATAGATATGGCTTAGAGTTGCTCGCTAACATTAGCTAGTTAGACGAACAAACTAGATTTATTCTTGAACACAAATACGAAGATTATATAAAATTAAGAGGGACTGAGTTAAGACGGAATTTGAGATGTAGCCGCCCAACACAATCATTGAAGACACAGGAAGCATGTAACTTACATGTTGTAACTCGTGGAAACCCTAAAAATGGGAGTAGAGCAAATGGCCTACTCACAACTGTTTCGTTCCGATGGGTAATATACGTCCTGATCGGCTGCTGAAACGTCATTACACAAATTCAGCTATCCGCGCATACCCGCGTAGCTTAGATCACAATCAAATAATACACAATTGAGGGTTTAGCCCATTGAATCATTGTAGGCCAGCCCGGAGCCTCTGTAACTGGCTCATTATTCCATACAGGGGTTTATTCTCCGCGCCGCCTCCATCAGAGCTAGTAGGAGCAGCTTTCTTAGAACTGTTATCTAGGTCTGCCTTGCTATCTTGGCGGCCATTTTGCTCTATATCCTTCAGTAATTCCTTGTGCCGATCCTCAACCATTTTGGCTAGACCTTCAATGAACTTCGTCCTTCCTTTCTCCTCTGCTGTTCCATTCCATACTTTTGTTAGCTCCTTAAGCTCTTCAATACGGCGTGCAGCTTTCTCTATCCCTTCAACAGGATCGGTACTTCTAGTGAGCAAAGTTGAGATATCTTCCTTTAGCTGTTTGAGTACTTGTTGTCCTTTTTCTTCTGTGCTGTGTGCTTCTACCCCTGGCTCCGGTGCTGAGACGGAGAGGAATGACGAGCTGACGGAAAGCTCAGAAGGCGGGAACACAAATTCCATAGCTTCACCAAATGTTTTAACCACGGTGTCCAATCGTGAACGTACTAATGTCAAGGTTTGCAGTTGACTTATATATGGTGGGTCTAGACTGGTACTATTTTGTGGAATAGATTCTAGGCTTATGGAAGCTGACGACTCTGGGGGTCGTCTCTCAGTAGCTGTAACAGCTCCATTTGTTTTGGTATTTGGCTGTTCTTGTGTATCTTCCGGAATGAACCTTGCGATCTCTTCACGTAAACCATCAGACAATGTCTCCGATAGGCTTAGCGTCTCGCCGCGCAGGAGTTCAACCTCGTATGCTAGGCGGCTCCCGCTCCGTAATATATCGTCGGTCAATTGCGTGAGAATAGTGGTCAACCTCGTTGTATGGGCATTCAATTGGGAGAGTTGCGTCTGAGCTTGGCTAGATAGTTCTGCTAAGGGAACCGCGCCTTCTGTTGTTCGAGTTGAGGATGAGGACGTTGCGGTTTGGAGTGTTGGAAGTGAAGAATTAAGATAGTCGGCTGGATCAAACGATGGAGAGAGGAAGCTTTGGAGGAATGGGTCGGTAACATGAGGAGATTTTGGCTGTGGAGGTTGCTTCGACTGCTGTCTTATATGGTGCGGCAATGATCTAGAAGAGCTCACAGAGCTATTCTGTCGTCGCCTAACGGCAGATTTAGATTCCCAAGACATTGTAGTAGGATCGCCTTACAGGTTTTGTATTTAAATTAGGCAATATAGACGTTGATGGGAATCATGTTGACATGAAGAAAGCTAACATTTGGGTTTTTGGGTTTGGTACTAGGTTACCAGTAAATCATCATTGCGCATTTTGGGTTATTATATATTACATAATCTTACAGGTACTTAAGCTTGTTTTGGTCACCCCGCGTGGTAAAATTAGGTAACGCTAGAGCCTGATAACCTCCACATCACCGGGCCCTCTAGTGGGTTAGGTTAGGTACACAAGATACGACAGGGTATTGTACCTTACCTAGGTACCTAACCTAAGGTGGATTTGGGGAAGCTACCTAGGTACACTAGCTTATTACAACAGCCGCATCTTCTTGAATCTCGATAATGTCAAGCAGCAAGCTAGATGCAGCTCTAACATTTTAATACATGTACTCTTACTCACAGCTCAAGGAATAATATACCTCCTTATAAGCATGTAACAAAGTTTGCTATTTAGGAGGACTAAGGTCTGCGATAAGGATATAGGCAGCCGACTTTGCTGCAGCCTTAGCTTCGACCGGAAGCTTTACATACCTACCACATATAATAGGTAGATATATTCAATATCTTTTGGTTTATATGTGTACCTACCTGCCAGGTAACTTTAGATACCTTGTGCACATTATAGGGCTGAGTCATATATTGTTGGATAGGGTACCTGCCTGCATGAAGCTACAAGCACGTAGCCTCACGACCCGGATAAGACAAGTGTGCTGTCATGTTAGCAAGCAAAAATATAAAACTTACCATATTTATTTCTTCGATTCGTTTAATTGGTTACCAAGCTAGTATAATTCTCTAATTAGCGTCGTATTATATATATATATATATCACCGTAGCAGCTTCACCTTCGTCTGTCTTCTCTGGGTATCAGGTATTTGCTATTTATTTATAGGCACCACATTCACAGCCTTAAAACTAAATATTCTAGAGGTTCACCCCTTCCCGTTCTATCGATATAGGGTTATCGTACTTTATCGTACTTACCTGCCTAGAAAACGTAGATGCCTTAAGGGACGTAAGTTTCTACATTAATACATTCCTAGGTACATTAATACCAATCCTCGCCATCTTTTTACTACAAAATCCCCACCCTCATCCAGCATCTTCATCCAACACGTCCATAGATACGACCGATTAATACTTATCCACCGAAAACATTATCTAGTATTCTACCGCTGCTAAGGCGATTTGTGTTAGTTTCTTTACTACACGGCCATCACACGGTAACGGTATAACAAGCAGACTTCAGACATGCACAACTCTCTTCTTTTCCCCGTTCATGGCAAGAATACCTGACAGGATATTATCATTTGCCTTGTGGAATGAATCATCTATCGATTTGTGCAGTCTATTATTTCACCATTATTTTCGCATCTTTGACTTACTATAAACTCTGGCCCTATGCAACCCAGGTAAATAATCTCCCCTCCCCTAAAGTCCTATTAGGTGATAGAACGTGGATGGTCGTTATCATTCGATGCGTTATTAGACAATATATGTGTTGTTTTTGGTATAATTCTGAGGTAGTCTTCAGAATTCTCCGTTCGTCTAATCTCGCCTTGGATCCTATTCGCTCTCATCGTCACTTTCTTTCCGGGCATATTTACGCAGCACGTGCAAAAGTTGATACACGTTACTAACCAAACCCTTTTATAAGCCTTGGGGTCATTCTATAACTATTAGACAGCCATTTAGCTCAGCTGTTGTGCAAAGGGCATCATGCCTCCCTTAAAGGCACGGCTGAAGTTCCAGGCCGACTTGAAGTTAGCAGCCGAAGAAAACGTTGACCATATATCAACTATCAAGAAGGGGGATGCCGAAGACGAATTCACGTTTATGTTTAGCCATCCTAATCTGCCTGGTCCCTCTCAAGTTGAGATCCGGGTCCAACCACAAGGTTAGTTCTCTGTTCTCTTGTTATGTTCTTCATGTCAGTACTGCTGGCATTCACCCCCTTACAATTATGATTTATCCAAGTTCTCATTCACTAATAACATGATTAGATGTACAAGGTTATCCAGACCAGAACACTTTCCTCGTCTATACCGATGATGATATACTTCCAGCAGTTGCCCATATTCTAGAAGAATCCATATCCGATACAGCAAGCATGAAAGTCCAGGACATGCTTAGCAACATCTCCCGAAGGCTTCGAGCTGTCCTAGAGAGTGACGGCTCCAAGGAAGATATTGATATCGATATGGTGGATGATACAATATTATCAGGCAGTAGTGAGGAAGATATGCCCTTTGAATATGACGACGTTCTTGACGACGATGAGCTGTTTGGTCATGGAACAAAGGACAGTATCAGGACAACCCTTGCATTTGAACCTGACACGCCACTTGCACCGTTGCTTATGCAGCGAATCCGCAGAGATCTTCGGTCTGCGCTCAAGGCAGGATTTCACGTAGGGAAGATTCGTGGATTTGAGGACGGCATATATGAAAACATGGTATCAATTTCAATTCGGGTGACCAAACTGTGTCTTTCTAAAGAGACACACGAAGCATGGGGTCTTAGCTCTTCAGACTTCATCGTTCTACTCATCAAATTTGACAAATATTACACTACTATCGAAGACGTACTTCAGAGTCAATCTGGATATGCCAGAGCGAAATTTCGTCTAAGAAAGTGTTCTAAAAAGAAGCCATCATATCAACAAGCCCTAGCTGCTTTCGGAGCTAAGGCGATAATGGATCATGCTAACCTATCACAAGATCCAGAACTATGTACGTTTTGGGTCAGCAAGTCGATTGACGAACTCATGAACGAAGACTTCACGCCAATGTTGAAGCTGAGAAAAGAGCGTGGTGTTTCCTGGGATATGGCGAAGGAAATAAGACGCTCGTATAAACTTCAATCGTCCTCAAGGTTGCAGCCATCTGAAGGTGTGGAGGTCGCGGAATACGAAGAAGAACCCATTGATAAAACTCAGTTGCCTCCTATTCTTGCCGATGATCACATACTAAGTGACGGCGAGGTCTCTTTACCACTCGCTGCCATGCAGTTTGCCTTGCATTACCTAGTTAGATGCACAGACTACTGTACAGTCTGCCATCGCAGAATGAAAGGGAACTCTGAGGCTCTGAGACCCTACGTCTGCAGCAATCCCCTCTGTCTTCACCAGTACATGAACATAGGCTTGGGCCCGGCCGTAGATCATGAGATCCTAAGTCAACCTAACGTCGTTGACCTCCTAGTCAGCTTCTGCTATGCTGGTCTGTTTGCCTCGTTGACGGCAGGGAATTCTGTCATGCGAGAGTTTCCCACGGGGTTAAACTTACAAGTGCCGAAGATACTAGGACACTACGCACCTGTACGTTCCATCGAAGATACTTCCATGCGTGAAAGACAAATGTCTGGAAATGAAACGCCCCGCATCGTACCTGTATATGGGGGGGAACTTATAGACCCCTTGGACGTGACGTTTAACTTGACCGACTCTACCGCTACGATAATTAGTAAGTTAGACGGCGTTACTATAAAAGAAGGCCAGTGGGTGATTATCTCGACCGAGGTCCCAGGCAGTCTCGAGAAGAAGCTTGATCCAATGACTGTGCTACACCATGCCCGTATCGTATGTATGTATGGGAATTGGCTACAGCTCGACATTATGGTACAACATATATTGCCTCATCCAGACACCCATGCATCGCTAGGATTTGGCCTAGTTGATGGCAAAACCGTCCGTTCCCGTGTAGGGGATATCATACCGGGTTATCTCGTATTCTGCGATGCGGATTTAGATGATATCAGTAGTATGTACGACAAGGCTTTCTCCATGTTAATTACACTTGCCACCTTCCCTTCGGTCGCAGACATGAAGCGGCATTTAATTAACAACCAACAGCTGTTCAAGTGGAGCAGAATGCCACGGGCAGCCGTGGATCTACTAAGATGGATTCTGGCTTCAAATAGGTCATATATCGTACAGGTGGACGATGAATGCCCTACGGATACTGAGGCTGTTCCACCCCCCGAGAAGATTTATGGCGTTGATGGTTGGATCCAATTCAGATTCGCCCAAGGATCTTTAGAGAAGGAGAACCGCTTCAACGAGGTTCTGAAGAATATTGATAAACCCCAGAAGGCCCTTCTTGCTTGGCACGGGAGTAGGCTTGGGAACTGGCATAGTATTATTCGCAAGGGTCTGGACTATAGCATCACCATGAATGGCCGAAGTTATGGGGACGGTATCTATTTTGCCAGGACGTTTGAAACCAGCCTTGGCTATACGGCTACAGATGCTAAATCTGTAAGTGCAGTTCGGTCTACCTTCACGTTATAAAAGTAGTATTCTAACTATCTCCTAGTCAATTATATGGCCTAACTCCTCCTTGGGGATTCGGACTGTCATCAGCTTAAACGAGCTTGTGAATCTGCCTGAGCAGTTTACAAGCAACAACCCTTTCTTCGTGGTACAGCACTGTCATTGGACTCAGTGTAGGTATCTTTTCGTTCAGCCTACACTAGAGGCGGATCAGAACAGGTCTGGGAATGCGGCTGGGATCCTTGCTAAACAAGCAAAGCTTTCGTTCAGTCTTGAATCTTCACATATCAGTAAGAAGCCGCCTACTGGGGTGCCAGAATTCGTACAAGATCCAGCATGGTACATTTCAGGTCCTCATAATAAAACTATGTTTATTCCGAGATGTGCTATCCTTTCAGCACAATATGGATGCAATACTTCGACGATATCATTGGTGGATGATATAGGGGGACCAGAGAATCCTGAGATGGTCAGCAGCGACGAAGATGAAGAGGATATCTTGTTCCTATCTCCAAATGAGGGGGTCTCTCGTAAGGACCAGATACATAAAACTGATTTTCGCCCTGGGATGCTTGATTTCTCTACTCTTCCACAGCTAGCGCCTCCATCATACGCAACCAAGGCTGCTCAAAGGGCTCTCGGGCAGGAGATTATGAAGCTAGAAAAGATACAATCCACAATACCTCTTCATGAATTAGGTTGGTATATCGACTTTGAAAAGATCAACAATATGTTCCAATGGATCGTTGAGCTGCACTCCTTCGACCCCGACCTCCCGTTAGCGCAGGACATGAAGGCGGCTGGTCTAACTAGCATCGTCCTTGAGATCCGCTTTCTCCGCGAATTCCCCATGTCTCCGCCATTTGTTCGCATAGTTCGCCCCCGTTTTCTTCCGTTCGCTAGCGGTGGAGGTGGTCATGTCACAGCGGGTGGAGCTATGTGTATGGAGCTTCTAACAAACACGGGCTGGTCACCGGCAAACAGCTTGGAAAGCGTTCTTTTACAAGTACGCTTAGCTATCTGCAATACAGACCCCAATCCAGCACGCCTAGACAACATAAAACAGCGCAGAATGGATTACGGTATCTCCGAAGCGTTGGAGGCATACACTCGGGCCGCACTTGCACACGGATGGGATGTGCCCAAAGACCTGCGAGAAGCATCTGCTTCTGGATTTGCTTAATGGATAGATCTTGGTCCCAAGTATAAGAGACTTAGGCGAATACTTCAAAATAACTTCAACGCACTATACCAATAAGAATCAAGATTAACTCATAGGGTATGTAGTAAGTTAGTTATCTTATGTTTCCCTCTAAGCATTGATCCACCAACCTATCTTAGGCGCTGGTCCTAATTTAGGGTAATTTGCTTCATACACCACATACTAGATATGAGAACTTGTCCGACTTTGATCAACGACGTAAACAACCAATTCTATAGGGCTTATAGCTTAACATCTGGCCATGTGGTAGTCGGACTGCCGACTGACTGCATGCAGTACTTGGCCGCACAGGAAACCTAATTCACAATAGCACTTCGTACTTCGTTGTATTTAAGGGGTAGTTGCAAGGTAGTTAGTCTATAAGAGACCATAATAAACATTAATGGTTTGCAAAACTAACTATGATCTTACCTTATGGCATGAGGGGATGAATTTTAAACGGGTTATTATTTAGACAGCCCATGGATCCGCCCTTTGCAAATATGTTGCATCCCTTCAATTTTCCCGCCAACCTCCCTACCCCTATTACGCGTGCAATACAAATATAAAGCTTGCAATAAGCAGCCCGTAGAAAATGATGTCTAATTATGTCACTAACACAAGCCTATAAGTCTCATCACCATGTCGAAGTCACTCCTAGATCCCACACTTATAGCCAAGTTCAACAATGATGAAGTCTATCTTCACGAACTCATACAGCACAATCCTATATTACGGCGCGCAATAGTTTTGATCTCGACGGTGCTCTCACTAACTGCCTTCCTTGCCATACACCGGTCGAAGGTTAGTATATGTATGATGCTTACCACTGTATCATGGAGAGAGACTAAGCAAATGCAGTTACTCAAGTATAAGTGCCAATATGTCGGTTTACCCTATAATAGCTTTCCGGGTTTAGAACAGCCGAATAGAGGGCACTTTATCGTGATATCAGATCCGACGAATATGTCTCGGTTCGCTAAGGGCAGGTGGCTGGGTAGTTAGGCTTTGTTGGGTTTCTGGAACAATCGCACTTGGACTAAGACTCTTGGTGGCTTAAGCTTGGTTGTACGTTGGATTTTAAGATAAGGCAACTTGGAAAACTATATGTCTCGAAGGAGAGTGTTAACAGAACAGCCTGTGATTTAAACTGATATCCCAGGAAGCGGAGGCAGATAAACGGGTAATATCTTCACTATCATATGGTTGAGAGCAGTTGACAGTTTGAACTGAAGGTGTTTGCATCACGGAAGGGTGATGCTAGGTCGCAGTTTCTATAATACTAACTTACCACTGATATTTGTGACTCACAATATATTGTTAGAGAGATGTCTATGTGAGTGTTATATTAGATGATCTCCTCAGGCATAGGTTCTGTTAGTATTCAGCAGCATTTACTTCAATATCCGTAGCTAGAATTACATTATGTACGTATCCGCTAGTTATATTGGTACACAGAAGTACTTAAGTTATTTGATAGTAGGGCTCAGATCACCTGTTGAGAGGCTGGGTGCATTTATTCCTGGTCTAGGTAAGTATTATAACATAGGTAACTTGCTTTTGTAAAGCTGGTATGGTACCAATCTGTTGCTTTCTTGATTATTTAATTTTTAATTGAATACATGTAGATATTCAATGTACCCTTCAAGGAGCAACGCAACTGCTTCCTTAGGTACTTAAAGCTTGAGATTATCCTAGTTCGGCAAGTGGGACTGCCTAGATCCAATTCTGCAAGGTCCGTCACCTGTTCTCATACGGCATATTAGCACCTGTGGTACGTATCTCCGTACCTGCCGATTCCGCTAGTTCCATAGACTGGTTAGACAGTTAGAACAGGGTCACACAACAGGTGTGTAAGTGAAATCGGTTCGCGACTATCTAATCGATCAATCCTGCTGTCGACCTGCCTAACCTTTTTCCTTCGCACCCATTAAACAATTGACAAGACACACTTAAATTCACAATACCTGTACCGCAGTTAGGTTTAAACTACTACTGCCCAACATTTCTCAATGTAAACCTTATTTCTGCCTTGCAATCCCATCCTTTTTAACTTTCCCTATGTTGATAAAACATCGAAGCAAAACTTGACTTTCAAGCGTTTTACCGTTTTACCATTTTACCACTTTACTATTTTACCACGTTCGCAGTTCGAATTGCACCTCTTTCCGTACAATTCAATCGCCTGTACACGACCTTCTACTCCTCATATTTTATACTTTCAAGCTACCGAAGTCCATACTTTACGGGCTCATATATCCTCCAACCTTTAAAATAGACTGTTCCGGGCTTCGTTTCTGACTTGATCAGCTCAGAATGGCTGCAACTGAATCTGCCCAGTCGTCAGCTTTGGCGGCTACATCCAACAAGACCACCCGAACGTCTCCCCCGCCCCAGTCTAAACGCGACAAGAGGCGACAGGTCGTAAATGACCGTCTAGCTGTTTTGGCTGATAAGTTCAGCCGGGACAAAGATAAACACTACCGAGACGAACTTCATAAGATACAAATCGATGTTAACCTCGTCGGCCGAGTCGATCCCTATGCCGACCGACCTCTAGACGCAATTGATCGCGAGTACCGAGAAATACAGCATGCTACCAATGCGCAACAGACTACAAATGTTAGTAGTAATGGTAGTCCTAAGCGAAGTCTGCTCGAAATGGCAGGCCCTACATTCTCTGAATGGGTTCACCAGATAGAAGACCTTGTCGAGCATCGCGACTACGAGATGACTAGCCACAAGGTACGCTCTCTATAACTTTATAATCCATGTGGTTGGAAACTTACATTTGTTAGATTGAGTACGAGAGGAAGCTTCGTGAACACCAGAAGACACACGCCTATAAAGTCGAACTAGCCAAGCGTGAACATAAAACTCTCTCAAACACCCTTAGAGACCGTCTTATTAATGGTATTACTTCTAAGAAGTACCGATTAGGCAAAGAAAAGGAAGCCCTGGATATTGCAGATGGCTCTGCTCTCCTTCTACACCCGAATCAATACAGCCTCACCAACCCCGCAAGCCCTGGAGGAACGCATGGGAAGCGAAATACTCGACTACGAAGAGAGATGGAGGAGCTCCCAGGCTACTCGGATAACAAGAAGAGGAAGCGAAATGCCGCCGATGAGGAGGGTTCACCAGCTCCCAAGAGAGGAGCCCTTGATAGTTCCAATACTACGCCTTTCTGGTCGAGCGAAAGAGTCAGAGGTCTACGTAAGGAGACGGGACCAGTCTACAGCATTGACAAGCTTTTCACCGATAAAGAACTAGCCATGACCTATAATGCTGCTGCCCTAGCAGCCCATAAGCATCTCTTGATACGCCGAGACACAAACGGCAATATTATTACTCCCGACGAGAGTGTCGCAGACGGTAATGACGATGAAGATGAACCTTCTGCAGTAAATATGGAGCGACAGCCCTCACATACTACGCGAAGTACTCGAGGTGGACATGGTCAACAGAATTTCTACGATGACCAAGTCCTAGGAATAGAGGGCTTGGCCAATTTCGAGATACCGGGAAATCTCGATAAGGTGGCTGGCTCGGAACCTAAGCTCCCCCCTCTTACTCATTCGCAATACTCGAAGGCTTATAGAAGGGACGAGTCGAATACTCCTCCGACCTTGAACGAAAGCGACCGAGATAGAGATCTTGCAGTGATGAAACTGTTGAAGACATACCAGAATAAGCATGGTGTTGGCGCTAATCTTGACGTTAATAATGGCGGCCGGAGACTGCTCGAGTCTATGGCCGCGCCGCTACACAAGAGCAAATACGTAGCTTATATGCAGGGTCCAAGGCCTTCCACAGACGCATTATCAGAATCCTTGGGTGTTCAGGATAGCGACATGAGAGGCGAAGCCGCAGGTGTCGAACCAGATAATGGCGGAAGCGCTAAGGACTCCCCAGCTGTGGGGAAGGATTCCGCACCGGGAATTCCGATGAGCAGACAGAGTAGTCTGGGAGGTGTTGTAATGAGTCGATCGGGAAGTGCACGGGGCAAGCGAAAGGCCTAATTGCAGGAAAAAAAATCTTTTTGATTCATCTTCGGTTTTATCATAGGGCAGAGAGATCATACGTCCCAGCGTTATTATGTGTGGATACCCGTAATATTTACGGAAGGGTTGTTTTGTCTCTCAGGACGCATAAAGCCTACAGTCATACGGAGGAAGTAACATGCATCCATATTGAGACTTGGGCGATTAGGTATATCCCGGATCGGGATGGGAATTGGCACCATCCATGAATAGGCGCTCGGGAGCATTAGACTTGCACTTTTTACATATAGCGATCCTTTCATAAAAAAAGTAATGCTGAACGATACCATTATTAAAGTGTCTTAACTACCTAAGGGAATCGTAAACTCGTATAATATTGATTTTAATTATACCATCTTCAAGGTCCGAATACCAGTGCCCGTATCTCGATACTCTCTCTACCTTCTGCATCCGGCCTCGTCCTAGGATCCTCGAAAGCAGTGTGAGGTAATCGTCCACCAGCTACACCTGAATTATCCTTAGTACCTTCACTATCGAAGCACTCGAGTAATAAACGCTCATCACCCGTCATGCCGCTGAGATAGTGCCACTTCTGGTCGGGATTGTACGCAATAGCAGCTGTCTGACCAATATACCCTTCCGGATACCGGTGCTCTACGGGAATAACGTCTTCATCGTTCAAGCTGGAGCTAGACGCGAAGGCTAAGGGCGTCGCCTCAACGGGGTTCTTGTTCAGCGTACGCCATACATTGACGATGCGGTATCGCCCCTTTAATAGCTCCTCTGCGTCATCTCCCAGGTGTCGCCGCACACGCTTCTCAGCTGAGTACGGTGTCTGGTCGATATGTGCCATGAGCACGGCACGACGCGGTGCATCCGGGCCAGCCCGTCGGATGGTGTGGTCGAAGATGAAGACCCGGTTGCTGCCAGGGATGTTGTCGAGTAGTAGCTTCTCAACCTCAGGGTAGTAGTTTGCGGTGATAGAAGCGTCGTCCGTGAATCCGGAGCCGGATCCGGTCTCCTCGGCTGACGGCGGCAACCCCTGCACGATCTGGAAGGCGTCCCGGTCTAGCGTGTACTCGGATTCCCGACCCCGGACGTCGATGATGGTGACATCATGCACGGCAACTGGAAGGTTGCGCTGGGGCTGGCCTGCTGGTGGCTTGTCTACATAGTTGAAGGCTACGACGCCGGGGGCTGGCCGTTCATTGAAGTTGATCTTGGCGGTTACGGGACCGCGGGGCACGGTAGAAGCTGTGATGGCCATTGTTGGTGCTGGATGGATGCTGGGTGCTAGGTATATAGATCTATGAAAGGCGACTGCGCCAGATAAAATTTAGAGGACTATAAAGAGAAAGTTTGGTATGAGATGAGATAGGATGGGATGGGATGATGATAACAGTATATTCTCGACTTCGACGTCGGGTATGACTTATATAGACATCAGGAGCCTAGCTGTCTGAAACATCTCTATATACGCATTTCAAATCAATCGAACGATAGGGAGAACCATCGAATCACGTCATTGGTTTAGGGAAGGGGTCCCGATTAGTAGTATGGTGTCGGTTAGAGGGAGATGACTCGGAATGATATTCCTTCCGCATACTTTCTCTGTAATCAACGGATAGAATCCAAGGAGATTCCCCGCCATATGCCATATGTAGGGCGTAAAAGCGTGTACATTTATGGTATAACTTCGCCTCTAATCGTTAAAGCGAACAATTCCGTAAGCGGTTATATCTGCCGCCCTCTATGTATGTAAGTTGGTACTGCGCAAGGTTATAGCTTTGACATCCCGAGCACGCCATCGCCCTTGAAGTTTATTCGTATAACTAGCCGAAGTTTTCCCAACATTTCCAGCGTTTCGCCGGTTAGGTATTTGAGCGTGTGTACAAAGTACCTACCTAAATAAATGTATGCATGCGAGGCATACACGTACAACATGTACATATTGATAGGCTTAACGTTGTGAACGATGACGTTATAAAATCGAAGTTGTTCTACTAAAGTCCAATAATAATATTGATTAGAAATAATTGCTTAGCTAAGAACGTCTTTTCGGGATTTAGTTTACTGACGTTAGATCCCATAATTGATTTATGGATCTTATGCCAAGTCTTTTAAAATCTTTAGAGGTACCTAGGTACATGTATGTAAAATCGCCCCCGCTGGTACGTACACGTGTCAGTGCGCTACTGTTCCTGTCAGCCTTGCGAGCCTGCCCTTTACGCCATTATGAGACCTATCAGATCGCGCTAAAGTAAAGTAATTTCAAGTAAACAAATTGCTCCTTTTGGGTTTTCGGTAGCGTTTAGGTATAGTTTTAGCTTCCGGCGCGTATTCTGCCTTATCCTTGCATTGAATCTTTCACAACTGGGTTCATTCAATACCGAACTCCAATATACCAATTGCATCATTAGTTTTAATTGTCTTCTATCCTAGACCTATGTTCATTAACTGCCTAACATCTATCACCATCGCTGGTTGCTATCATGGATGAATCGTTATCATCTCCTGACCCTCTGGGCGACGAACCTCCAAGCTCGGCCTTTCCACATGCGCGACATACTGATAATACTCTCACACACCACGACCTCTCCGCCATTTCGATCCCGAAGAGCCAAATAAGGAGGTCTTCACCAGCGAGGCAGTCTCCTAGGAGGAGAACCTTCGAACTAGACGTCGGCAATGAGCAAAGATTACTCGTCACTGTCGAGGCCGAAGAGGCTATGAAGCGGGGTATCAACCGAAGACTCTTTCAATCATCTTCACCGATACGAGCTCCCCGTCGTAGAGAAGCCATCATGACTACTACGATACCACTTAACGATGAGATAGAGAACGAAGCTACTCCGCGACGACGAGGTCGGCCGCGGCGGATAAGCAATGGTACTCCCATGCCGAGGGGGAAGAAAAGGGCTGCAACACCTATGAAAGAGACTCGGCGCACGCGACAGAAGAACGATCTGGAATCCGAAGCTAGTTTAGCGGGTGCGACACCTACTGGACCACAAGCAGACTCGGTCGCGTCGAAGGCAAAGGCGAAAGTACGGAAGACACCTAAGAGTACATCCACTACCCAGGTTATACCGTCGTCGCAGCTCTCCAATAATGCGACGAAGAGGAAACGTGGGCGCCCGCGAAAAGCGCTAATGCCAGAGGAGGTCGCTATATTAGCAGATGCGGGCGACGTATCAGGCAATGGTGTGGCTAATAATAATCGCACCCACTCCGTCTTCGATAATTCGGAAAACCTACCGCCGTCAGCTCTGAGCCCAGTTCTGGATTTACCTGATAAAGAGGAAGCTCAGCAAGTGACGACCAGCGATAATCTTATCGATGATATTATAGAGGCGAGTGGAAGGACACCGACGCCGAGGAATGTCTCAAACTTATATGAGACGTCGCGCACAGAGCAAGATCTAGGATCAGAGGCAGTATCATATCAAGAAGAAGAGCTGCAAAATAGCGACTTTGGTATGTCTGATGACTACCCGGCATTGATGGAGGCCCATAGTGACGTGGAGTCGGATTTGGATAATACCGAAGGGATACCTCACAGCGGACAGGACACGCTCGCACATGCCTCCGACTTCAGCATGATCGCTGTGGAATCACTTCCCTCGTTCCAGGCGAATAGAAGTGCCCTCCTTTCAGATCCTCCGGAGATGGGCGAAGAGACGAATATGATAATAAACCAAACGCTAGAGTCATGGCGAAATAGTACCCGAACAGAAGCGGAACAATCATTAGCACGATCGACGAGGAGCGACCTACCAGCGGAGGAAGATCATTCTGGTGTACCGGATCGCTCGTGGACGGAGGGTGGTGGTCGCAGTCCAAAGGAACGAACAAGGAGCCCGAGAAGACAAAGACAACTCCCCTTGAGTCGACAAGTATTTGCAGGAAAAGCGCCTCATGTAGACGATTCCTTCTCAAGTCTTCCGGATAGTATTCTCAAAGCAGCAACGCCGGGACGTTTACCTATGAAACCGACCTCTGCGGTAGAACAACACGGAGATACCACTGTTTACGAGGATGAGTTTTCCGAAATTTCAGATGCTATTCTCGAGGCTGCTACCCCGAAGCCAGCGACTCGAGTTGGAAAGTCTATGGAGGAGAGCCATACGGAAGCCTCGATCGCAGATGGACAAGTCAACTCTATCGATAGACAGACAGGACCCAGCTTTAGATCGAGCAGACTACCGACTCCCGATGATACGTCGTCTTCTAATGCTGGTTCTAGAAAGGCCCGGGAAGATGAAGCTGGCCCATCTACAAGAGAACAAGACATGGCTGGTCCTAGCTCTAACTCAGGTTTCCAGTCCTCTCCTCCTATTATGAATCGGCCGCGTGCAATGGATTTTGGACCATCTCGGTTAGACCAAGAGATCAACAACAACACACCAGAATTACAGCATTCCTCTCCCCAACTACCTCCTTCTGCCAAAGCAGCTACGGAACCTCCTCAAACTTTAGAACCACCTCCTAATAGTAGACCATCGCTCTCACCGATCGTACGCGTCGGACGAACCCTCCAAGATGTAATGTCGGACAGACCATCCCCTGAACGTCGTGAAAGTAGTCTCGGTAGCCCATTTAGAGGATCGGCTACGAACGACCCTTCGCAACTTTTCCTATCGGATCAACCTGGCCAGCTATCTATACCTAAATCGCCAACTCGATCTGGCCGTGGCGTCTCGACCCAACTCAATCCCCGATCTTTATCTGGTCCTGGTGCCGCTCTCTCTCAAATTAGAAGGGCCAGCCTTTCCCATAGCCAATCATCGGCACAAGGCGACATTGTTGGTAATGCCCCGGATCCGTTTGGTCCAGCTATGCGCAATAGGTCACAGACCGAAACATCCAGAAATATTATGTATAACACTGATGACCGAGCACCGGAACAAACTCGTTCATTCAATCAGTCGGTACCTAATTCAGCTAGAGCAATACCGTCGAGTGATAATGGGATAAGCTGGGTTGCAGATAACGATAATCATCAGCGAGATGTGAATCAGGGCTCAGGTTCCCAGCCAATACGTTCACACAGTCCAAGTGTTTTCGCCACTTACGGCTCAAATGCAAGTCGCGCAGCAGCCGAGGCCACGAATCACGAGGTGGAAGAGCAACAGGAGCAAGAATTAGAGGAGCAGGGAGATAGTGCGCTGGTAGACTACGAAGCGGAGGAAAGCGACATCTGGGACTTTGAGGCATCAAGGCCAACACCTAGGAGACCGGAACGCACGCAACGTACATCACAGAACCCCGATCAACCTACCCGACGGACGAAGGTTCCAAGTCCTTGGAGAAAAACTAGCAGGCGCCTCATTTATCGCGAAGAGATTGCAAGCTCTTCTCAAATAGAAATTGAGGAGAATCCGCAGAGCGAGGCAGAAGATGCGCCACTAGCGCGTCAAAGGCCACGGACTTCGGATGCTCACTCTATACTACAGGGGTGGAATTCTGAGGCTACTCGCATTATTGAGAGCTCGTCTCCTGAAGTTGAACAACAAATTCTAAGTCCTCGACAGGAAATACAGGAACAACTGGAAGCCCGGGAGCAGTCAGAACCTCGGGAACATTCAGAGGCCCGGGAACTATCAGCAGAGTCAGAAGAGCCAGAAGAGCCAGCAGCACGTGAGGAACCAAGAAAACCTGTAGAGCCCGCGAAGACTGTGGAAGCCGTGGAGCCCGCAGAAGCGTCGGAGTACTCGATGCTAGCACAACAGGCAGAGGCTGCTCCAGCTACTCAACAAAAGCCTAAATCTAGACTATTCGGTGGCTTTGATATCTTGTCTTTCTTTTCATCACCAGCTGCATTGCCTAAGAAGACTCCAGAAGCTGGGTCAGCAAATGCAACTGGTATAACCGAAAAGGTCGCCCAGCCTGTATTTAAAAAACCACCCCCCAAAGAAACAAGTCAACCCCCCAAGGAACCGCAGAGGTCCCTTTGGTCTACGGGATTATTTTCTTCGATCCCGCAAAAGGAAGTTCAACCGAGCCCAGAACCACGAACAAACATGTTCTCTCCGGCACCTCCTTCACAATCTAACGAGACAAGGCCAAAGTCTTACGTAGAAAATTCGCCCTCGCCCTCACCCTCTCCTGCGCCGTCGCTTTCTCCCGAACCTGATTCTCCCGAGCCTCCTTCGCAGTCACCCCGACAACCACCTGAACCATCACCTGAACCATCACCTGAACAGTCACCTGAAGAGTCCCTTGAACAACAATCACCCGGACGGTCATCTTCACCCTCACCTCACCTCTCAACACCTGAACGTCAGGCCTATCCGCCAATCGAGCAGAAAAGAAACTTCACGCCTAGACCAGGTCAGTCTAATTTGTCTCTCTTTAGAAGCGGACCACCTGCCAGCAGAAGCGAGGCAGACGAGGACCTCCTTCTATTACCGAGCGATGACCTGGATGAGCAAGACAAGGAAGACGAACATAACGAGCATAGCGAGCAGGATGAGGAGGATGAAGACGAGGACGAATATGAGGACGAGAATGAATACGATGAACAGCAAGAGAAACAGGATTCATCGCTCTTGACGGATGGGACAGACTATGAGCGATTCCCACCAAGAGATGTCCCATCTCGGTGGGATAGGACACTTTCGCCGTCTAAGTCGTGCTTCCGTTCCCCCATGAAACCTACTACACCGGGCCGGGTCGTGGCTTTTATGCCTAGTGCGCTTTCTTCCGCCACCCAGGCTCAAACTAGTGTCGCGAATCAGCAAAACGGCGTCAGGAATAACATAGCCTCCCAAGGGACTGTTCTCCGACCCATCCCCGAAACCACACACGACGAGTCAACCGATTCTTCGTCCTCCTCAAGTCGTAGTACCGATGCTACGTCTCCTACCACCACCAATCCCCCCATACAGACGCTACCTCAAAATGGCAAGGGCAAATCCATCGCGCGGTCCCCGTCTCGCCGTCCTACCGCTTTCGCCCTATCGAAAACAGAATGGACCCGCCACCACTGGGTGCGTCTAGACGAGCTCCTCCAACTACGACGCTATGATCCCCTAGCATTCCAGCAGCAGCAGCAACAGCAACAACAGCAGCAACAGAAACAGCAGTCATGGGTGCAGAGTTGGTGGCGTCGCCAGCCCCCCGCCCCCAACGCCTCGGCTCTCATAGGGAAGGAAGTCGCAGCTCAGGGCGAGCGTCTGATCCTGGAGCAATGGCATATCGAGGTCGTAGAGGCGTTCGCACGCGAAGTCGGTGGGTGGAGTGAGAGTGCGCTTGCGAAGAGGGTTTTTGCGCTGATTGTAGGCGAGGAGAGAAGGAGAACCGGAAGAGCTGGGAGGGTGGATAAAGGAAAGGGAAGGGCTGTTGCTTAGATTTAAGCTTTAGCTTGGTTATCATTAAAAAAATTATGCCTCTACATAGCTAGGAGGCGGGAGAAAAAGGAGTGACGAGTTGTTTGATAAGGGTGTTGGAAAGTGAAGAGCTAATATGCTCTATTATATACCCCAAGTTAAGGACAGAGGACAAAGCAAAAGGGGAGCCGGAGTACGTGATGATTACATAGCGGGTTTTTTGGACGATTGGCATTTGGTCCGGTCTGGTTACTTTATCTCAGGGAGTGAGCATATTAGATCGCATCGAATTGCATCATATCACATCACATTACATTGGCGGGGTATTATTACTTTACCTCTTATACCGTTGGTTTATCTCTGTATATAGCCCAGCCTTGGATGTATGGTATAGCTGGCGTTTTAGGCCCAGGCAGACAGATAGGCGTACGCGCGGGTGGGCAAGCATACATGCCATACCTTATACTTGCATTCGGGAGGCGTTGGGATGCGGAAAAGAAGGATTGGCAAATAAATGCATAGGTAGTGAGATTGTTTGGGTACTCGATATTAATTAGATACCCTTCTATTCATCTTCATTGCACCTCGTGATTTGGTATTTTACCTTTTACCTTACATGTCTATCTTAGGTACACATATATACCTAGGTAGGTATCTACTACGTTCATGGAAAAGCAAGGTTGACCAAGATTATCTTTGGAAGTTTTAGTATTATCAAGGGGCGAAGAAAACAATAAGGCGAGTGATAAGACAGATAGCACGCATACACTTGAATTGACACAAGTTCATGTTGATATATGTACGAGTGCCACAGAAGCCGCAACGCCGTCTTCATCGACGCCGGGGCCTTGGCCTGATACTTTCTCTACCTAGTAATATTACACCGGCCGAGCTTTCATTCACCTCCTTCGGCGTTAGATGCACGAAGAAGACTTTCTTATTTGCTTAGTTCACCTTCGTAGATCTACTCCAGCATCGAAGCCTGGTTTGTATACAGGACATCCACGACATTGCTCAACTTTTCAATAGTTTGGAGAGCCGCATCATAGGACTCATCACGTTGCGTCTCGTCGAAAATAATCAAGCATCCGGCACCTTGGTCAAGCACGCCGATGATCACCTTGTCGAGGATCATCTGGGAGAGCTTGCGCTCGACCTGCTGGGTGTCGAGGCCGACCATCTTAGCGATGTGGGCGATCTCGACGCGGCTAAAGGGCTCGATGACCTTGATCAGGTTCTGCTCGAGCATAGCGTCGTAGAGGCGACGTAGGTGGTTGCGGATGAAGGCGTCGCTGCCGAGCTCGTAGCGGTACGCGGATAGGGCACGCTCATACTCTTCTAGAGATCGGTTCGAGTGCGCGCGCGCGATGGCCTTCATGGCCTCGAGGTTCTGGCCCGCATACTTCTGCGCCTGCTTGGACGCCATTAGGTTGTTGACGTCGTCGACAAGGTTAAGCATAATCTTGCAGAGCAGCATGTATTGCAACGCGGCGGTAGCCTTGGCTGGCTCGTCCTGCGTATGGTAGCCGTCAAGTGCCTCGATAAAGTAAGAGAAGGCCGTGTTGAAGTCCTGGTCCATGGTGTGTAGCATACCCGACTGCATGTCTAGGTTCGCTTGAAGTAAGGGAGGTGTGTAAACCGAAGCGGCACTCGTCCTCGCGCTGGTGAGAGCGGCACGAGCCTTGGAGTTGTTGCCGAGAGCATGGTATACTCTAGATTCCAATAGTTGAACCTCTACCAACACTAACTTGTCGTCCAAACGCTTCAGCTCCCGCAAGAGACCGTTGATAAGAGTAAGCGCATCGTAGTATGATTGCTTAGCAATATATAGGGTAACGAGTCTGGTCTCGAGGTTCTGGCGTAGGAAGCTCCGCCTCTCGGAGGTAGCCCATTCTATACATGACTTGGTAACGGCGATCTGGATGTCGGTTGGGTTTGGGATGGCTTCAAAGAGATCGAGCAGCTGACGGACTATTTTGAAGTGGTGTTAGGTTAGATGTAGGCTTATATTTTATTTATAGTAATAATGAAGGGAAGCTAGAGCTTACCTAACTTAGCCGTCTTAGCCTTTGCGAAGCCCGAAAGGACGGTTCTGCTCGTAGTAACAAGGTCGACGAGTGCCTTGGGATTCCTAGGCACAAATATTAGCTTCCAGACGCAAAAGAAGAATACTAAAGCCGATGCTCACTTCTCATCCCGGTATAGCTCCCCTAAACTTATGAGAGCGGACTCGTATTCCTTTATTGCTGCATCTGAGGTAACAGAAGGAGGTTTGGATATGATGTCTTTGTAGATAGCTTCAGCTTTTCGCGGGTCGGAGCTGGCAATCGATTGCGCTTCCTTCACAGACGGCTTCTGCGAAGCCATATTGACTGGCGTGTGCTCGAGATGCAAGTTGGGAATTAACTTGAATTATAATAAGGTAAGGGAACTCTCGAATTGGTATTGGTATTGGTGTTGGTATTGGTATTGGTATAAAAGAGTTGATAGGTACAGAAGTGGTAAGAACCTTACGTTGTTCAAAGGGTACGTACAAATTGAGCTTAGAAACTCAACTTAACTTAACTTAATTCAACTCGCCTGCTGTTTCCTACTGTGTTTCCTACTGCAGCTCCAGCCTTGCGATTAGGTGATAAAGTGGATACCTACTGACGCAGCTCTAGACTGCCTGAAATGCTAGTACGGAATAACCCACCATTCCGTTCCTTCTTGCTAGATACTTATTACCTAGGCCCGGAGCCCTTAGGTAAGATAGCTGAATGTACCTAGGTACTTTTTATATATAACTACCTACCTAGAGTTACCATCAACGTTGTCTTTGAGTTATATAACTAATATCAATACGCAATTTTTTCATAATTCCGTAGGATTGATTATAACACTTCGTATAAGTTGGACTGGTACCGAGATTCATCCCACTTCTCCTTGTTGAACATAATAAGTTCATACCCGTCATCCACACTGTAAATATTCACACATCCAATAAGATAAGTATCCATTATACCAAGCAAAGCCTCTTTCCCCATTCCTTTTTTTTTTCTTTCAAAACGAGGGTTACCACAAGCGCCACCGAGATCTTCCCTATCCGTGTCAAGCCCAAGGTCTCGCAACTCCTATGTGTATGTACTAATACGTAGTCATCTCCCTCCTCCCCCCCCTTTTTTATTTTATTATCCTTCAGCCTTTTCCAGGACCGTCAAACGCTTGTCGTTTCTGTCATGACGCGCCACGATGTCAGTTATCCCTCTACATCGGATTAGTACTTGGGATGTAATCATTACCTGAGTATACGTGAGCCTGCCAAGTGCGCACCTTGTTTACCCTGCCATTCGTAGCTTGAGAGCCGCTACCGCCAGGCATATCCATCTCCTGAACGGAGCTACCGCTCATCGGCCGGTAAGAAACCGATCGGGAGTAACTCGACCCCACTGGACCGCTATGTCTCTTTCCAGCAATATTAAACCCCTCGCCCCCTCCGCTGATATGCATGTTACCAAATCCAAAATCCCAGCCGTTATATTGATGGACGCAGTGCGGCTCTAAAATCATGCAATTCTCCGTCAGGACTTTGTATGTGCACTGCTCTACCTCCTGAGCCGTCGGCCTCTCGTGGGGGGCTATTGAAAGCATTCTTGCTACTACCTGCAGCATCGGCGCTATACCACGGAACACTTGGTCATCCTTTTTTGATGCATCCTTAGCAAGCCCAGCCATCCATGATTCAACCTGTCCTAGATTTTTATGGAACGACGAGTCCAAAACTGCCCCTCCTCGGCCGGCTTGCTTATGCTTTGCAGATCGATGCGAAGCGAAGGACCGGGTCTGGCGTTTCATTAGGAAACTTAGCAATTCAAGTATCACACATCCTAGCGAGAAGATGTCAACTGCTTGAGGGTCGAGGGAAGGTGTCGACGAGTGGAGCATCGAACTAGTTTCCGAGTTCCCTCTATTGATAGAGAATGTCGAGTTATCTGATGATGTTGATCCTGAGGAAGTGACGAGAGTGCTTCTTCGGTGGCCGTGGCTAGTTGACGGACGATACCACTGCTCAGGAGCCGCGTAGTCGTAAGACTCTTTGTCAAAGGCTGATCTGTCCGACGCAGTGGCTATCGCTTCTGCGCTTAGATGGGTTACGTCTGCGTAGAAGATGTGATTATTGCTGTTGAAAAGCACAGTCGAAGGCTTTATTCTGCCGTGGGATAGTCCGCAACTATGAAGATAGCACAGTGCGTCAACGAGGCAATGAATCCAATTCATAAATAGACACCGTCGATCCTGCTTGGCCAATGACTTCACCGAACTTGGCGTTGTTACTAAAAGGGACCTGAGGCTGAAATCGCTTGGGAGAGTAAAAAGAACATAGACGGCACCCTGGTGGGCATACGATCCGTAATAAGACATGACATGGTCGTTTTCAATATTCCTTGCCCTGTCGATCTCGTAGAAGAATTCCTTTTCGCTTAGCAGGCCAGGACCCGTTCCGATCGGAATGCGACGCCGAGAGAATATCTCCCCAGGTCGATTTGCCAACTCGACTCTATCCACAACGCTGTTAAGGCTTAGCCCAGGGCGCTTATCGACGGTAAGAGGCACAATCTCGGGATTTTCGTATACTATATAGTTGCCCCTTTCTATAAATTTAAGTAGATAGTGAAACTGGCGAGAATAAAACTTCCTCTCAAGTTTGTCGTCTCTAGTAAGAGTAAGCGCCAGCCTTTCGATCTGGTCAAGCGGAATTGGGAGGTCATCGTCGTCCCAACTATCGTCGATAAGTCCAAAAATCTGGTCTGGGACACCTAGGTCCAGAAGAATGAGAAAGATACGCTTGGCCTTTTCGTCAATCCATTCCCAGTAGGTCCCGTCCGTCAATCCATCACCGAAGCCTAGCGGTAAGTCCAGCCGTTTTATCTCCTCGGGGAGAAGGTGTGAACAGACAAACTGTCGAGTGACAGTCGCTTCAATCCGCGACGGATCCCACCACATAGCTACCATAGATAGAACAAGGGTAGCATTACACCATAGATCCACCCTAGATCAGTCCAGTCAGTTAATGTAGTCGAGCGCCGCATGTAATAAGGTTTGTAAATTATTGTGATAGATTCGATGGGGCTCAAGGTTGGTGGTGTAAGCAATACAGGGGCATAGCCCGTTTATAGGATCTACAATCAGATGCGACACGGCACCCGACCGAAGACGCCCGCCAGAGGTGCAACATACAGGTAAGTCAGCACAAAGCAAATGTTGCCTGGGGGCGATATTTTTCGGATAGGCACTCAGCACATATACCTCTAGGCTCCATAGTTTGCGTAGTAAAAGTCTGTCCAAGCAGAAGCATCTAAACAGAAGCGCGCATATGATTGGAATCCTTCGTCTTTGCTGCTAGATACTGATTACATTGTGTACTTAGCAAATCATGTTGGTGGCCATTTAGGGCGAATATTGGTTGGCTTTAAGGTGTGTGATTGGTCGAGCCTAAGGCAATAGATAAGGGATATTTTAGTATCCAGAAGTCAAAAGCACCCCGGTAAGACGCCACTAATAGGGGGGGGATTATGCTTAAGAGGCTCTCGTGGGTTTAATGTAGATGCAGCTCGAGGCGTCTAATAATGCCGCCCAAAAGCGGTCTCCCCGGAAGCCCCATTCGTGGCAGCCAGCAGGAATATATTAATAGCCTGGATCGGGTCACAGACGAACTTTGAGGTTGGAATGTAATAGAGACAGCATTGCATGTATTCGCACTGATGTATTCGTACCTTGTTGGATGAAGGAGAGTTCCGGACCCCGCCGGTCCCCCACGCATTTCTACTGTAGTTCAACTCCTCTCTCCTCTCTCCCCAATTGTGTTTGACTCTTGGACACTTGGCAACCAGAGACATTGTGACCTGTCTTCAGCCAGACGGAACACGGTACGACATCATGGTCCTAATATCGAAAGGATGATCGTTTCCCGTATATCCGATGTATGTATATGCAGGTGCGGTCCATGCCCGTCACAAGGGAAATATGGGATATGATAGCTGACGAGCATACATATGTATTATCATCGGTGGCGTGGTGATGAAGTGCATAAGATCTGAGGTCCTTGGCAGCCTTAAAGCAGGATAACATAACAGGGTTAGTATAGTAATCACATATAAGGTGATTCTTATCTTTTAGAACCGCACTTGTGGTAGGCTAGCACCATCGCAAGCCTAGCTTGCTGGTTGGTGAGTTGGAGTTAGCGCGTTTAAAATCATATTGCTTGGTGTTTTTGCATTGGTACATGTATTATTGATGTTCAGCTATGATAAGCTTCAACGACTGCGGGGAAAAGGGAAAAGGAAAAAAGGCAAAATGGAACTTCTGGGGTCCCCCCCTGGACGGATGACTAACAGTCATCTTGAAGGGCTAGACCTATCAAGTTGTGACTTCCTTCGCTGTTCAACCCCTTTTTGGTAGCTTCTATTTCGACTCACTAAATGCAACTGTCTATCATGTTCTTTCCTTCCTTTCTAAGGCTATATATCTATCGGATTAATATACATGGGACATTGCCACTATCCATTTTCAGCCTTCCCTTACCTTGAAGCCATGTTTAAGGTTTTATTCACGTGTTTACCTCTACTTAAACCCCACATATTATGTAGTTATTATGTAGTTATTATGTAGTTATCTTTCTCCTGCAAGATAGATTAAAAGAGTTGTCAGGATGCACATAATACGTAGCATTTTAAAGAAATTTGATACTCGGTGTGTATCTAAGATATATTACCTACTACCTACACAAGTATATAGACATGTAGACACGGCATTATTCTAATATTTAGACGGTGCTTTGTTTGTATGAGAAGTTTGGCATCGAACTCATCATTATTTACATTGTGTAAAAAGGCCTCCAATTTATGTCGTGTAACTATCTCATCTCGGGTATTATAGGTTACACTTGAAAGCCATAGGTTGAATGTGTCATATGTTCAACATCGAGGCTGACAGGTGAAAAGGAGAGGCTCCTATAGGTACATATAATTAGAAGAATAATGTGCTTTAATCTTCTATTAAAATTGTTACCTAAGTACCTAAATTCATACACGACGTGATTAACTTGAAAAGCTGAAAAGAGGCAAGTTCGTACGTTGCTTTAATACCAGGTAGGTAACCATCATAGAGCTAGCTAAGTATTGTATATTACTCGGCTATCTTAAATCATAATATAACCTACTCGATATAATAATTGATATTATATTAGATATTATACTAGCATTCCTTCATAGCATTGTAAGCATTTCGAATCCTTGGCTAACTTACACATGTTCCAATAAACGTCAACCACTTGGTATCCTGGAGCCGGTGTGGAAATTCGTAGGGAAAATATTGAAGAAATATATTAATTTATTAGAGCCACACTGTCCGTGCATCTCTAACATGACGTCGTCGGCCGTTAACACCGGGAGCGGACGCGAGCCGAAAGGCGAACCTGATAAGCCCTCTATACGCAGCTTCTGCATGCTGCCGCGTGGGCTCCAAAGCCTTGGTGGCATTGTTAGAGGTACTCGGGCCGACCTACCCATTCAGAACTCGAGGCACTACGAATATCATATGCAGTGCAACATGCCTAATATGCTCGATCAAAGCCAAAGATATCAATGGCCAGCCACAACATTTTGGCATTGTGACTGGTAACTTTCGGTCTCCTTCTCCTAATCGGGACGCGGACACAGTTTCTGATATGGTAGATGATTCTAGCACGGGCAGTTGCTTATTAGAACACGGAGGTTGAACTGCAGGCCAACTAGCCAGTTATAGAGACGTCCACTCCAAGATGCGTTCATGGCCTCGGGAGGCCTTCTTTCGCATTCCAGGAAATTCTGTTGACGATCAACTTCATATCGAAGCGTGTGCTCTTTCTTTTTACTACACAACATCTCCCTTACACATTACTACCATTACATTTTAACAGACTCGCAGGCGCCAGCGTTCTACTGTCTGGTTTGTAGTATGATCATGAATATCTCTCTTATTAAGTCAAATACCTTCATTGAACCACCAACCAATTCGTGATAGATGTTAGATCAAGTGCCCGTTCTTCTCGCTCAGTTGAGTCCCCCTACGACCTATGAACGTAGTCATACCGCTGTCTACGCCGGAAATTCTCCGCGCAATCTTCTGTAGACCCACTGGCAACACGTTGTACCAATCCACCCAGCGCGCGTAGAGGGGCATGCCGATGTGATCGCTTAAGCCGAGATCGATAGCCTTTATTATCTCCTTGGCCACTTCTATGGGCTCGACTACCGGGGCGATGAAAGGATTGGGAGTCTTTACGCCGTAGAAGAGTGGTGTGCTTAGCTGGCCCGGCGTTACGAGGATAGTTTTGATCTCTGGGTATTCCTGCAGCTCGGCAGCGAGAGACTTGTGCAGAGCCGTCACTCCTGCCTTGGCAGCAGCGTAGTCTGTGAGCCGAGCTGCACCGAGGTGACCAATAACGCTAGAGAGGGTTACAATAGTGCCGCCGGTCTCATTACGAATCATCCCCGGCAGAAACGTCTTGATAGTGTAGAAGTGCGATAGGAGGTTCGTTGTAATGCTTTTTTCGACTTCCTCTAGATCCATATCGAGTAGCTTCTTTCCAACAACCTCGGCAGCATTGTTGATTAGGACGGTAGGTGTTCCGAGCTGGAAATCATATTAGTTCAGTTACATGTGCACCAGTAGAATATAATACACACGTCGCGCTCTATCTCTGTTGCAACTCTAGCAATCTGTGCCTTATCTCGTACGTCACACTTATAATAAGTAATGCCGCGGGCTTCTGTACTTTCTAATTCGGCGGTATCCAAAACCGCGATGGTGGCACCTCGCATGCCATATACCTCAGCAATTAACAGGCCAAGACCGCTGGCACCGCCCGTTATTACAATGACCTCCTCAGTCAAGTCGACCTCCCGGTGCATTCCATACGCGATCTTGTGACTTATAACGTTTCCCATCCATAGGAAAGTGACGAATGTAGCCCATACAATGCTGACTACCATAGGGTTGGTGTTCCAAGCCTGATGCTCGGCGCGGAAGCAGAGAGGAATGATCCATGCTACGAAAGGATGTAACAGCGTAACGTTGAGGACCTTGAGGAGGACATCGACGGAGATGGGTGCCCACCACGATTCGTGCGCTGATGGTTGAGGATGATCCATGGTTGAGGATAGTTGAGGAGACGAATGCTGACCAGCAAGCACTTCAAAGTTGGAATAATACAGAGAAAAGAAATGTATAAACCTTTAATTAGGTGTCCTTTGTAAGAAAGGATGAATGGAATGATAGAATATAAGATGAAGGAACTAAAAATTAATGGACCGGCCCCCGTGTCAAATTGAATCTGATCAGTCGTCGCAACTTCCAGCTCAGCTTCTAAAAAAGCTCCTGGGCGCTTGAAACAAATGGGCCCAAGCGTCGTAAGTTTCGACTAAGGCAGGTTCCAATTGCACTCAACCAATCGGCTGTACCCATCTAACCTAAACAACAGGGATCTCGCTATGTAAGAGTTATCAAGCGCTTTTTCCATCTACATATCTACCGATTTTATATTCGTACATGCACTCTCATGAAGCTTAAATACTAGCCACTACATACATCTAGATGGTTTAGTAGACGATCTCCTGGTTGTGTCTAATCCTAGCATACCAGGCTAGGGTAATTCAACTTGATGCTATCGCCTCCTGATGATATATATATACTTTAGCTCACATCTACCTAGTCACTCGGTTTTGTCCCTTACTGAAGTTAAGTAGAAATCCGCAGTAAGAAGTATATATTTTGGCCCGTCGCAAGAATGTGGACGCAACCTATCGATGTTATGCCTGGTATCGAAGTCTTCCTTAACCCTCAACGCCTTGTAAATGCAGTTCATGAATATCTGACTGACAACTAGCTCCTTCGAAATGCCATCCGCCATTACCTTTCTCGCGCTAGGATTACCTTATCACGTTCACTCTTCCTCTTCTCGAATTGCTTCTTTGTATGCTTCCTCTCATTTTCCTCCCGCCGCTTAATAGCCATAAGTTCCTCCTTCTTAATTTGGCTTGCCTTCTTGATAACCTTTGGAAGATGTCTATGGCGCTTGATACGTCTCACCTCAGGCTGTTGTCATCTACGTTAGCACATGATTTTATAATATATTTATCAAGGGAGAAACGGTGTTTGAAACATACCATGTGCCCATATCTTTCGGACAATGCTTCATTATATTCTAGTGCTTGTCGCTGTTTTGCGGATTTCACACCTTCTCGTTTAGAGGAGTTTGCCCTCCAAAGGCGAATATTTCCGTCATCCGATCCACTTAGGACATACTTGGAATCTGGCGTCCACCGAGCGCAGAAAACTCGCTGCATTCGTTTCGTATGATACACATCTCTTGAATGGCCCTGGTCTCGGTTGAATAGTCGAATCGTCCGGTCATATGAGGCTGTAACGAGCTCTTGTCCGGTCGGGGAGAACTCCACGTCCATCACTGCCGCAACGTGATCCTTGAGTACGTTCAATGCTCGGTCAAGCCTACGCATATCAAATAGATACACATTATGGTCTTCGCTCGCCGCTGCAAAGTTCATCGGCTCTACCGGATTCCAAGCCAGTTTGTTGCAGCTAAAGTTGAGAAAGGTGCGTGCAAGTGGCGAGGCTGTTCGGAGGTCGTATAGGATAATTGAGCGATCTGTAGAGCAAGATGCGAGAACAGAAGTCTCACTTTGATTGAAGGAGACGGAATTAATTGTTTCGCCAGACGAGGGCCAGCGAAGAACTTCTGGCGCAGCTGTATACTGGTCGAGGTTGTAGACAGATATAACATCGGAAGAGACCGCAAATGCATTCTTCGCTCTATGAACACTTAAACTTGTGAAGGCATTCGTACCGAGCCAAGAGTGAATGGGCGGCGAATCGTCACGCGTATTATAAGGATCGTGGATTTTTACCGACCTATCAGCCGCGCAGGTAAGAAGCTTCTGATCTGGCGTCCAGGCCATACCCTTTACGATATTCTCGTGAGCGGTCGTTTTCCAGACCTGGTCCCTACTCGTTAAGCCCCAACATTTTACAACGCCATCGCCCGAGCCAGAGGCAAATCTGTCGAGAGAATTGGGATCCTTCGCTAAGGAGTAAACGCCGTCAACATGCCCATTTCCAAGCTGTGCGATAAATGGCTGAGCAAACATGCGCTCTAGCTTTACTGCATTGAGGGCACGCGTATATTCTCGTGCTCTTTCGAACGGATGAATCGCGGGGTCTAGGTTGCGAGGTGCCTTGAAACTAGTAAGAGACATGAACAGCAAAGTGTAGGGTTTTCCAAGCTGGAGAATTTACCTTCGGAACATCAGATCCGGCGGGTTGGTACGCCTCCGTTGAGCGGGTTAATGCCTTGATCTTCTATAATAGGAGTTAGAAGTGCTATAGTGTAAGTGGATGCGATGCGACACGATGCGCGACGTACCATAATTGCGAAGCACGAAGATATGACAATGTTGAAGCTAGTTGCGCATTCAACGCGATAGAAAAAAAAAAGATCAAAGTCCATATCCCACTTTGCCGGCTGGCACCATCTGTTTAACATCGATAAGCCTTATCGGGCTTATCATAGTTCTTATCGATACCAATTTGCATTTCTTATCTACTATGTACACAACCTATACGGGTACCCATCTGTTCTGTTACAACTACTATATTGTTCCAACGTATCACATTATTTTATTGTTACATTTTACCGTCGGAAGATATAAAAAGTAGTGTAACGTATCTTAAAATAATAAGGTATGTTTCTCCTCGTACTGAGGCTTTATCCAACTGTATTTCAGAGCGTGGCAAGTGAACGAGGGATACATTCGTTTTCAGTTCGTAAGATCTACTTACGGATTACTGTTTTAAGGGAAATATGCTACCCAAATTCACGTTACCGCGCACATAAGCATCATGATAATAATGGTTGATATTATACCTAAGCTTACCCTTTCACTACGTCATGATGCACAAATTGGGCGGGTAATTTAGGAGGCATACTATCTGCGCTTCGTTTACTTGTATATATGTCCACTAAGAGGAATGGCTAGGAAGCTGCGTGGTTGCTTGAGCGTTGAACCCGTATTTGTATATAGTTGACTCTACTACATTTTGGGTTAAGTCCGTCCAAGTAAGCAGCTAAGGATACTCCCGAATGCTTGGCTGATCAGAAAGCCACTATTCGGATCTAACCTTATTCCACACAACATCGTGAGGGTATAGAAGTATCGAAGATGAAGGTTTGCTTACATAGTAAAGGATTCATTGCGCATCCCTGTAAACTATCCAATGTATGAGGTAGGTACATAACCCAAGCAGCCCAAGTAATGTATGTAGATCTGTGCAACGGTACATATGTGTGTAAATCTCTCCTATCATGAGCAACACATCTAAATAGAAAGTCTGAAACACGGAACCCCATGATATAATGAACCAATAATGATGCAACTTTTGGAGCCGTTTGCAGCAATATCTACCTCGAGTAAGTATGCATACACGATATTTGAACCAATGTCTTCACTGTTCGAATTTATAGCATACGCGTCTACGTTTTACTACGTATGTTAGTGACATAGTACTAGATAATAGTCACCAATCGTTGAGTGGCGTTCTTTCTAAATTTTCTTTTCGCCGGGACAAATGACAGGGGTACAGGGGAGTCCCCCTTGTCGATCCTTTCTTATCCTTGATTTCCGACCTTTACATATGTATGTACATATGTAAAAAGCCCCAAATCTTATCTACAAACCGATGCCAAGCTCCAGTTCGGTCTAAAGCCGTTGGTCTGTCATTCGCTGCCAGTGGTTGCTAGTCGACTTTCAGCCTATTAGATCGAAGATTGTGCCAAGCTTGGATCAAGCTTCCCCAAAAATCAAGGTAAATATTTCTTGTATTTACAAGGGGTTGCTTAGGAGAAGGTCCCGCTTCTTCGATTAGTTACGGTAGTAGTGCGTTTGATATGTAGGTACAGGGTTAGGTACAGGCTAGGATTGCTCTTTTTGCTGAGACCTACGAGACTTTAGGTACGCTACATTACCTCCATATTTCTAATGTTCTTCTTCTCCGGATTCTTCAACCCTTCTCTTTTCTCTCCACGCATCTCGTGTTATCCGTGATTTACTTTCGGAGGAGTAGAGTTGTAGAGATTTGGTCGAGTTAAAATCGAAACGGGGAAAAATCATAAACATTCGCTTGTCCGTTCGTTGCCAAGTTCGATCTGGAGCGCATTCGTTTCGACTCCGGACATTGATACTCTTTCTAGCCCTCGCTAATCAGGATTCATCCCTAACGACTCGACTCACACTCGTTCGACCATCGTTACTATTCAAGCTTTCCAATAATCGCAGAACTGTGGAGGATTTTATTGAGAGCTTCACAAGTATTTTTCAAATATCATAATCTACATTGTTACCATACAGTCGCTCTCGATCCAATACCATGCTCTCTTCACTACTTCTAGCGCTATGCAGCGCTACGCTGTCATATGCCATACCGACAGTTGAGGCAGTCGGCGGCAAATTCTTCACAAGCGATGGCGATCAATTCTTCATAAAAGGAGTTGCTTATCAACTCACCGAGAGTAAGTTTAAACCCCGAAACATGTGCAATTCAGTAAACCAAAACGTTTTATAATACTAACTTGTATTCAGAGGACCCATTGATCGATACCGAACAATGTAAGCGGGATGCCTCTCTTATGAAGAAACTGGGTGCCAACGCCATTCGTGTCTATCACGTCGACCCGAAAGCAGACCATGACGGTTGCATGTCTGCTTTCGCCGACGCTGGTATATATGCCATGGTAGACATGGATACCTTCGACACCTACATCTTGCCCGTAAGCTCAAATTTCAGAAGACTTTTATGAGTCCTCCTTCGAATTGACCAGTACTAAATTGTTTTAGAATGACCCGTGGTGGAACCAAACCCAATTCGACGCCTATTCTAAGGTTATGGACACATTCCATGACTATGACAATCTACTAGGCCTATTTGTGGGAAATGAGATTATTGCCATCAACAATCAATCATTGGCCGCGCCATTTATCAAGGCAAGCGCTCGTGATCTGAAGGGGTATAGAGATTCGAAGGGATACCGCAAGATCCCAATCGGTTACTCTGCTACTGATATTGCGGAGCTTCGACCTTGGTTACAAGACTATCTTACCTGTGGAGGAAACGCGTCCGAGAACATCGATTTCTACGGCTTGAATTCATACCAATGGTGCGATCCTACCGATTATCAGACCTCCGGTTACGCCAACCTGCAAGAGCAGGCTAAGAACTTTCCCGTGCCTATTTTCTTCACCGAGACTGGATGTAATAAGCCTGGTCCACGATTGTTCGACGACCAAGCTGCTATATTCGGTCCCGAAATGGTAAATGACTGGAGCGGAGCTATCGTGTACGAGTGGATCCAGGAAGCCAACGAATACGGTTTAATTTCGTACGGTCCCAAGGTCGACCCGACTGTCACTGGTAAGGATATCGTTGGTGGCTTCACGCGTGCAGGTACCCCGACACCCGTCAAACCCGATTTCGACAACCTCAGCAAGCACTGGGCGAGTATCACACCCACTGGAGTTCCCAAATCAAAATATGACACGAAGTCGGTCTCGACCCGTGCTTGCCCGACTTCAACTGTCAGCGGATGGCTTGTTAATGGCAACGTCGCCGTCCCAAGCTTAGGAGCAACGCTTACCGCCAGCACTTATTCGTCCGTACCTAGTGCTACCGGTACCGCTGCCGGTGCCGACCCGTCAGAAACCCAAAATGCCGTCTCCGGATCGAAAGAGATTGCCGGTATGGGTGCTGGCCTTGTGGGTGTAATGATGGTATTTACATTATGGCTTTAATTCAACTTTAATTCGGTGGAAAGATTTTAGAAGTATACCTTTTTTTCGATCCTGATGTTCCATTCCGCCATGCCCTCCCTTAATTAATCCCACACGGGAGGTTTTATGGCCGGCACTATTCGTCAGGTACCACCTAATTCTTCCTTTCAACTAGTCGGTTGGGGAAGTTTATTCAGAGCATCTGCAAGGCATTGTACACGGCGTTTATTGTCTTGCGTTGGATAGCTCTAGGCCATTACCTAATGATCGGCATCTGCTGTGGACATTTGTATATGCTTAGATGATACACTTCAGTAGATGACTGCGAGGAATGTGCTTCGACTTGCATACGAGGAGGATGAGTTAAGAGGTTTTCAGATAAACGACACTCATGATTGTCATGAAGCAACAATTACACAGCTAAGGAAGACCAGCTTCCTGATACCAATTAAATAAAAACGCCGCTTTGGCTGTGATACCCTTCATTACCTAAGGTAATCATGGAACTTTTTGCTACAATGTGATTATGTATTGTACATTAAGGTTCTACTTTTAAGATGTGAAGAAGGCACATGTACATACCTCTTAATTACATAACATGTATTCAGTGTCTGGGTCTGGCTTCCCAACATGTAAGCTATTGGTGTTTCTAGTGAGAACATTGTTCCTTCCATAGATTCTAATCCAAGCCTTTCACTCATAGGAAAGTAGGTACCTATCGTATACAATGTCTATCCCCTATGCAGTAGGTGCTACTTGCTTACATATATAAATCTTGAACGAAGCGCCTCAAATAATAATTTTACCAACCCTCATTTCCATATACACCTTAAACTCACTCCTATTATCACCTAAATTTTTTCCGATTCAAAGTGCATCCCGTATCTAATTGTAACCTTGAATATTCTAACAGTCCCAGTTGTCCTAACTAGATACATGGCAGAAGAAAGACAACCCCAACCACAACAGCCTTCAGTAGTAGTCGCTGACGAGCACTGTAATAGTCACAAGCGCAAAGCCTGGAACACCAAGAACGAAAATTGCCTGCGAGCCAAGTTCGACTGGCACCGGTAGTGCCCGTTCCAGAACCGGCCTACGCTACGATGGATCTTCCTCATCTCGCTCGTCATAATCGTCGTCGGCGTACTGATTACCGGCGTCGTTTTCACCGTCTACTACGACGCCATGTACTACTCGAGCGGCGCCTTCCTGCTGAAAGACAAGACCAAGTCTACCGACGGCCAGCCCAAGGGCCCAGACACCCCGCCTGTTGTCCCAAGAGGTGTGAACATCAATGCGTGCGGTGAGAAGAGGGATAGCTGCGAGGCTTATGATCAACCTGTTCGTATTTTTCTTACATCTTTATACTAGCTACCCTCTTCGGCTTTTTATAGTCACCTAAGAGGGTATGACAGTGTAGATATAGACATATATAATCTAACAAGAAACGAAGAATATATGCTGCCCTATCGGAATGATCTGCTACTCAAGCAATTTCTCACCATCTGGCGTCTACTGCTGCTCGAGCGAAACCCAATGCCTCGCCAGTGAGGTCCAGCCACCGCGTTGTGACGGACGCATGAGCCCTTGCAACAAGAGCATCGGGGGCGGCTGCTGCGCGCCGAACACCGAGTGTACTAAAGACGGGTGTCTGAAGGTATATCGTGCAGAGCCGGGACTCGCGACGAGCGTTTTAAGCGGCCCGCCCACGACCATCACGAGAACTACCACTGTCTTGGGAGTAGGGACAGGGGTTGGCGGGGTCACGGTCACGACGGTCAAGATAGCAGAGACGGGGCAGAGCGGTGGGCTAAAGGGGATTAAACCCACATTTGGCTTTTCTAGTTACCCGTCGTTGGAGGTGTTTGTCTTTGGGTTCGCTCTTGTGTTATCATATGTGATGGTTTTAAGGGGTGGTTAAGACTGTTCGCTTCAGGGTAGTTGTGCAGCACATTCTTAGATTGTATCGTATTCACGGTATTAACAGCAATACCATACCTTCCTTATAATTTAATTAGATTAGTATATTTTAAAATGTAACTCTCTTACTTCTATGGTTACAATCGGTACGTAAAGTAGTATCGTCAAACGTAGCATGGGGAACCACTGAATCCATCAGTACAAAAGGTCCTTTAGATCACCAATTGACACACGACTGCATTCATAATGAATTCAACTTGCGTCCTGCCGGCTTTTTTTATTCCGTTCTCTCGATAGATTTTGAAACCTGATGGAATTGGAGGTGATCTGATATTATTGACTGCCGAGCTCACCGTTTGAGATGCTTGGGAATAATCCTTCTTGTGGGTAATACATCATTTGATATTTGCTTGTCTGCCTAAGTACATACGTCGTACTAACTCATCCCAACTTAATCGTCCGACATGCAAGTATTTTGTGGTCAAATTAAGGTTAATCGCGCCCGGATGTGACCAAACAAGGATGTCGATGTCTCTACGAGAGATGTATGGAGCTTTATGTTTCGCTTGGATCAAGGGTGGTGTCATTTATTCCATGTATAAGAGTGGTTCTAGGATGTGAGGGGCAGCCTTTAACATGCAGGTTTTGTCTTCCCGGTATATTCCTCGACAATATCTAAAATGCTCGACAGGACGCGTAATAGAATTATATTAGAGTACCTAAATGTATATAAGGCAGTGAATCTTGATATGGCCAATTAATAGAAAAGCTGCTTCCGAATATAAAACGATATAAGGTTGCCCCCTTTCTCCTTCATTGGGTTAATGTAGTACGTGGAATTCTCTACTTCATAGGTCATCTGTCCATTTTAGGATGAGAAGATCTGTTGTTAATTGTATTATGCGACCAGCTTCGTACCTAAGCCAAGGACTCTATGGCGGCATCGATATTTACCCCATACTTAAAGAATATAATAATATTCAAGAGAAAGATTCCGGCGGAGTTGTCATTTGAAAATATAATTGGGGGAAAGGCACGCTCGGTCAGTACGCACCGTAATATGATCTTTGTACAGTACTAATATGCATATAAGCCATGCTCCTTAGATGACTTTACGAACTATCTAATGTATATAGAGCGAAGTGCAGAGAACCTTCAGTTTTTCCTGTGGTATTGTAACTATGTCGAGAGATGGACTCAACTACCCAGATGTGAGAGAGAAATCTCCCCGGTGTGGGGTCTAGGAAAGAGGGTATATATAAAATCACGGCCGCGGTCGATAAAGATGGAGGAGAGGATAGACAAGCTAAGCCGAACACTTACAGTTTTGGACGGAGACACACCAGCGGTAACACAGGAAGCTATGCCAGGCAGTAAGCCGGAATCCAAGATTGATGCAGACATAAATTTCTCGAAACCGCGAGCGTTGGCAGCTTCGCCGGGGGTAAAGGATAATGCTCAAAACGAGTGGCGATGGCAACCTTGTAAGTAGAGGCACCATATATTTGAACCGTCCTGCTGCTAATGTTAGAGAAGTCTCGACGCAACCTTTCCGAGACGAAGTCACAGAAATAGCTCGCCAATACATATCGACCTCTGGATCACGGAAATTGAACCTGTCCCATGAAGACCGAACTGCTTGTTTCCACGCCTTGCAGCATACGACACATCCGTCTAGCTTTCTTTTAGCATTCTTATTGGCCGAGACGGAGTTGCGAAGATATAGCCACCCCAACTTCATCCGATGGAGCACTTGCAATATCAACTCCTCACGGGTTTCGTGCGCGAGGGTGTTGAGCGTTATTCTAATAATTTTGGCCATCATACTGAACATACTCCTGGTCCTTTCTAAAGTCAACCGCCTAGGCCGACTGTCTGCCGTGCCTCTATGGTACGTCGGGTTTTACATGTTATTGATAGAAGGGCGCGGGATAAGTATCAGGCTATATATGAATCAGAAGAGACAGTTGCGCCCATAGGAACAAGCCGCAAGTTCGGAACTCGAAATTATAGATTCGGGAGCAAGAGCTGAACAGACAGAGTCCCCTGAAAGTAAGATGCAAAATACATGGGTTGAGTTGTATCGACAAAAGCCGATCTGGCAAAGGATTTTCGATACCTCTGTGGTAAACCATAACAGACATCTGAGAGCTTTACAAGACAGGGTTGTCTTTACATCGTTGTTTTGGGGCTGTTTCTTAGTGGTGGTGTTGTCAGTTGGTTCTGTATTGATATCTTCTGGTAATATGTTTTGATTATAATTCGAGGATTAAGTGTTTATATATGTAAATTTTATTAATAGGTACACGCTGGAAGGTAAGCACGGGTCACTATATGTTGTGCAATGTCACACAGCAGCTTCTGCCCTGTGAACCTCGGAGGCCGAAAATTAACCGGACCGCTGACGTCGCGTGCTCGACTACAAACCGTACCACTTCAACATTTATTAGTGTAACACTTAAGGTCTAGAAACAAACTACGAACGATTCTGTGTTTGAAACAACGGCGACTCCTATGGGAACCTGCTAATACAAATATGAGCTAATGTGGTGACGGCTAGCACCAGTGGTATCTCAATATGGCAAGTCCAGCGGAAGCTCCCCTACTATCGCATCAGGAGGACGAACTAGAAGAGGAAGCGCGTTCAGATGGCGAGGATATGATTGTGGAATGGCCCGTTGGTCGCCCGGGTGTTTTTATATGGCTATTGACTCTGTCCGCTTGTATTAGCGGGCTACTGTTCGGATGTAAGTTTATATAACACTTTTCAACGTCCTGCGCAACTACTTATACACAGAAAGATGATACAGGAGTAATTTCGGCTACGTTGGTTTCGATAGGCACCTCGCTTTCCGGGAGGATGTTAAACTCCCTCGATAAATCTCTCATCACCTCATGCACCGCGCTGTTCGCCCTTATCTTGTCCCCGATCTCGTCCATCCTTGCTGATTACTTCGGTCGAAAACCCGTTATACTACTGTCGGATCTACTCTTTGTAATTGGGGCCGTGGTTCAGTCTATGAGCTACACTGTGTCGGGTATGGTCTTTGGACGGTCGATAGTTGGAGCCGCCGTGGGTGCTGCGAGCTTTGTAACACCGTTATACATTGCTGAGCTAGCTCCGCCGGCTTACCGTGGTATGCTCGTAACGATGAACGTGCTATCAATTACTGCTGGACAAGTCGTAGCTTACGTTATTGGATGGATGTTTGCTGAGCATGGTGATCCTTCTATAGGATGGAGATGGATGGTCGGCTTAGGCGCTCTGCCAGCCGCACTGCAATGTCTTCTCCTGTTATTCATGCCCGATACTCCCCGCTGGCTCGTGAAAGCAGGAAAGTCTGCAGATGCTCGGCGCGTCATCGAAAAGACGCTGGGGTATGACCCAGCTTCTCGCCGATTAATTGATAGCGTTGTGAAAGATATTGAGATGGAGCTCAGGGAAGAGCAGGGGAATATAGCATTGGCCAATGATGGAGGCAGGAATAATAGTATATGGCTTAAGGGATGGGATGAGCTTCTCAGCGTGCCAAAAAACCGGCGAGCGCTGGTTATCGCTTGCTTACTCCAGGGGCTACAACAGCTTTGCGGTTTTGTAAGTTATTACGCCTCTCCTAAGCATCTCATTCTAACTGATCGTGAAGAACTCTTTGATGTATTTCTCTGCCACAATTTTTACCATGTTGGGATTCTCGGTCCCAACCCTTACATCGCTGACAGTCGCTGCCACAAACTTCGTTTTTACCGTATTTGCACTGCTTTCAATCGATCGCATCGGCCGTAGACGGATCTTACTATACTCACTACCTTTCATGGTAATCGGCCTTTTCTTGTCAGGATTTGGTTTCAGCTTGCTTAAACTACCGTCTAGCGATACCAATGTCGGTGGCGGTGCACCTGTTACCAATAGCGCCTCAACATCCTCTCGAGGTGCTGCCATTGTTATTCTAGTAAGTATCATGACATACGTTGCGGCTTACGCTCTCGGACTTGGCAATGTACCATGGATGCAAAGCGAGCTCTTCCCGCTTAACGTACGTTCACTTGGTAGTGGACTAGCGACAGCCACGAACTGGTTGGCTAATTTTATCGTTGGGTTGACATTCTTGCCATTGGTATGTACTCAATGTCCAGATAGCTACAATACTACCTTTCTTTTATTGAAGTTTAACCTACTAACACATCCTGTAGTAAGTAACTAATAGTTTCGCAATCAACGTCCCATACAACGAAATCTATAACCTCTATTTCTTGCTGTAAAAACTAACTTATAGCAGGATGGACCTATTAACCCCCTCGTTAACATTCGGTTTGTACGGCGTCGTTTGCGCTGTTGGCTGGTATGCCGTCTGGAAGATATATCCGGAAACAGCGGGATTGACTCTCGAAGAAGCCACTTGTTTGTTAGAAAATGGTTGGGGCGTAAAATAACAGCGATCTGTAGTTTTTTCGTACCGAAAGGGCACAGAATCTTTTAATGATTACGTTGCCGTCAGAAAAGCGATTTCGGTGTAACGCGGCTACGCAAATGACCGATCCTATATACGAAATGCCGTGTCCCGTCCTCGTGGTAAAGTTAAGGTTACAGGTGCTGCTATCTATTAATGTACAACCGCACAGCCGCAGCGCAGTCAGCTTTAACTTAGGTACGCTCCACCTGACGTTAGGATTAGTTACGCCGTACGGTGGCTTATCACCGCTAACACCATCTCCGAGTTACCGTCCGAATCGGCACGGCCGTGGAGAAAGGATGTAGTTCGAACCTGGTTTATAAACAAACCCGATCCATTAAATAATTGATCTGACAAATCTAATTAAGTGGATTGTCTCAAGTGAGCCCTCCCACAAATTTTATTTATCTGATTATCAACTAGAATTATGCACGAGTAAGCGCAGTACATGTAGCATTATGTAGGTCGGAATTATACTAACCGACATAGTGGTGTGATGGGCACCAAACTATTACTTAGGTACCTATATACACTACGTCTAGCGAATTACCCACCCGGAAAGAGAGCCGCAGCGTTGACCGTATGTAGTATATACCTATACATGACAAATATGGAATCCCGGTGTTGGGGTACTACCACTCTATCGCTATCGCATACTCTACGTCTCATTGACGTATAATTGGAGAAATGATCTACGAATATTAGATAGTATAAGAAACGGATTGGATCATATATACTAGTTGTTGTTGTAAGTTGTGACCGGTGTGAATATGTTTGCTATGATATTTTGTAATTAGTTTCTTGGTTACACATTCGTAACCTTTATTATCGATCGTATTTATTACGTATATTTACGTACATTATTTTCTCTCGGCGTCGACGAGCCGAGGCTGATTTTATTTTTCTTGATTCCTTTGTGATTATGGGAGATCAGATTACAAAGTATTTTATAATTGTTGATTGTTAGCTCACCGCTGTGAAGCGCTTCAAACCGAACCGGGTAGAGTAGCCGAGCAGGGATCTGTGACTGATAAACCAATCTTTTGAAGACCCGATCTTGAATCTCGACTCTTACTTGAACAGCTTTGGGTCTCGACATACTTTCGACACCGCACGTTCGATGGGTTTCAATGGGTTTCAATGGAGACAATAGGAACAATGGGTAAGATGGAGTCGATACTTGTGTACAAATCAAAAGATCTTAGATACGAAGGCCCCGCCATCGTAGCACTTTTTCCCCTTCTCTAATTTGCACCTCGGCCCATCCTACCCTTTTAGTCGCCCCCCTACTGAAATTTTTCATGTTATTTTCTAAATTTTATCCAACAGGTCAAAGCAGGTGCGGCTGCTTTACAAGGGTTCCGTTCTTTTGTGATTATCAAGGAATTTGACTTAAGCATACCTAACAGGTACCTAAGTTAGCAACACAATATTCGAGTGATCAATTCAGAGATTTATACCTACCTACCTACCTACCTACCTAGCTAGGTAAGAGAAATGTAAGTAAAAAAGAACGCAGATAAGAGAGGCACAGGCACAATCGAGTCATTCGAAGGGTGCTTAATAAGTCAGCCTTACTAGTCTCAGGGTTTTCAGGTGTTATTAATGGTCATGCTGTCATAAAGCCGACGGGATGAGGGCATGGATGGGGACATGGATGCGGCCGTAGCATTGGGTCTATTCGCGTACTTTCTAGAAATTGCGGAATAGTCAAGCTTTTTTCTACTATGATAGTTGAATCAAACAATACGGTCAGTTTCATGCACCATCCCGAAGGGTAGGTACAATACACTACCTAACCTACCTAGGTTACATACATACAGCCCAACGACTACCCCCCCCCCCCCGGTGAATTTAGGCTGCTTATTAGTCGAAAGGCCCTGTGGAAATCTTTACATAGTGCATCCCTGATCAATCCTTCGTCATTGAAGACCCAGAGCTTTTCTATCTAGATCCATAATTATTTTTTTTCCCAAGGTAAGTTACCACGGCAAAAAGCGAATGCCGAACCCCTTCGCATTATCGCCTCTAATAGACATTAGAGCTTTCTTAATCCCGACCTAAGGTATCCCATTTCGAATAATATTTTTTTTCCTTTCCTTTATTATCAGGGTACCCCCATGGCCTAATTGAAGATTTTCTTAACTTTCTTCTTATCTTCAATTCTCGTTGAGCCCCTCTTCGCGGTCTATTATATCATTACTATACTCGTTGTTTCTTTGTTCTCGAGTATAACGAACTATACCTTTGTTTATAAATTTATAAGCAAAGCTTCCACTTGCTACTCTGACCGCTCCACCACAAACAAAGCATCTATAATCCATTTGGTGACAAGTATATTATTTTTTAATAATTATTGGGGTCGGATATCCCATTGTCGTCTGAATAATGGACGAGGTCGATCGTGAGCTCATCCGAGCTGAAGAGGATGCCTTACGGGGTATCTCCCCTTCTGCATCCAGGGCTAACCCCGAGCATCCATACCGCCGTGCCAGTAATGAAGTTGAACGAGTTGTTTCGGCGTCGTCTATATCGACGACTTCTAGTGATGACGGTATGACGCATAGAAACCAAGGCGGTATGAGCCGTATTCCCACACAACGAGACCTCGAACGACATCCTACCGAACTAAGCCGTATTAATACCGCCCGAAGCCAACACAGTGCTACCGTTGGACGAAGCCTTAGGAGCCGTGAGTCGAGAAAACCGTTACCTGCCTTCGGGGCCGGGAAGCCCTTCCCGCCCCCTCTACCAGACCAAGAAGAATATGTTGTCGAGTTTGATGGCCCTAATGATCCTTATCACGCTCAGAACTGGTCTCTTAAAAAGAAGTAAGTTACCTATATAACGATTTAAAGTCATAACCGCCTATACAATTCTCTAACCTGAGTTACTATAGGTTACTCACAGCCGCTATGCTCGGTTACACCACAATGACTGCTGCTTTCGCCTCCAGTATTTTCTCAGCCGCTACACCATATGTGGCTAAGGAATTCGGCGTCAGCTCCGAAGTTGGCATATTAGGTGTTTCTTTGTTCGTGGTCGGTTTTGCAACCGGCCCGACATTCTGGGCGCCGCTATCCGAGTTAAAGGGGCGGCGTTTGCCGATAGTTATAGCTATGTTCGGATTTTCGATTTTCTCTGTTGCTTGCGCAACGGCCAAGGATTTACAGACACTCCTCATCTGCCGATTCTTTGCCGGTTTCTGCGGTGCTTGCCCGCTGGCTGTCGTTGCCGCCGTCTTCTCGGATATGTTTAACAATGCCACTCGAGGTGTTGCTATTACCCTTTTCTCCATGGCTGTCTTTACTGGTCCCTTGCTAGCTCCTTTCGTGGGAGGTTTCATTGTGACATCTTATCTCGGATGGCGCTGGACAATGTATGTCGCGAGTATCATGGGTTGGGTAGCGTTCGCCCTTGATCTAATTTTCTTGTGCGAGACTTACCCTCCCGTGATCTTGATCGAAAAGGCCGCCGAGTTACGTCGTCGTACTAAGAATTGGGGTATTCACGCCAAACAGGAAGAAATTGAAGTCGACTTCAAAGAGCTGCTTCAGAAGAACTTTACTCGTCCCATGCGACTTTTGTTCGGAGAGCCAATTGTCACACTGCTTTCGATCTACATGGCTTTCATTTACGGGCTACTTTATCTCTTCCTGACGGCGTATCCTTTTGTTTTCACAGGAATACACCACTTCAACTCTGGTCAGTCTGGTCTGGCCTTCTTTGGCATGATTATCGGTCAACTCCTGGCAGGTGTTGTAGTGCTGCTCGATCAGCCTTCGTACCAACGTAAGCTGGCTGCCAACAATGGCATACCTATCCCCGAATGGCGTCTCCCTATTGTCATTGCCGGTGGTGTTTCGTTTACTGGTGGTATCTTCTGGTTTGGATGGTCGGGATACCGATCAGACATCCACTGGATTGTCCCTGCCGCCTCAGGTATCCTAACCGGTTTCGGTCTTATGGGCATTTTCCTTCAGGCTCTCAACTACCTTGTTGATGCCTATCTTATGTTTGCCGCCTCGGCTATCGCAGGCAACACATTCCTCCGATCTCTCTGCGGTGCTGGGTTCCCTCTATTCGCGACATATATGTTCAATGGGCTCGGAATTCAATGGGCGTCTACGTTGCTAGGCTGCGTAGCTGCTCTGCTGGTACCTATCCCAGTCATGTTCTACCTATACGGTCACAAGATCCGTGCCAAGAGCAAGTTCGCCCCATCACTTCCCGGAAACACGCCGGGCTTTGCCTCCAACTCTAGCAATGATACGGCAGTCGACGGAGAGATAATAGATCACGCTGCCGCGGCAAATGCCCCAAAGACTAATGTCGAGACCGAAAAGGCCTAGGTGCGCGTTTTTTATTAATTATATACCCGGGATTTATAAAGGAATTAAAAATACCGGGTGGATCATACGGCTGGGTTTAGACTTATAGATGTTACGGATGCATGCGTTGTTATGAACGACGCAATTTAACTATACCAGTACCAATAGATGATAGGTACCTAACTTGTAAATACTTTGAAGTAGTATAACTATAGCTATAGCTACTACTACTACTACGACTATAACTCATTTTGAGTAATAATTCCATATACCATCAATACCCTTGATATTTATTGTTTACATTTATACTTGTGATTGTTTTGTCCTAAAACTATAATACTTGGTTCAAGTTTAATTGTCTTAACTACCTGTTGATTAAAAGATGATACTTAGAGTTTAGAGTAACTCTAACTATAAATTATTGAAAAGTACCGTTACACAAAGTTCACGCCACCATAGAATTCCGCCAATGATGTCGAGATGCATTGCCTAATTCGTAGAAGGACGTGTCCTATTTGCTTAGGGCTTACATGGAAGGCAACCATGGATATTCTAGACTAGGTTCCCTAGCTTATCGATCGAGATAGACACACGTATGAGACGCAATAATTACGTACATAACCTGTGACTTATTCGATGTACAAACATACATACATTAGGTACATGCTGGAGGATTTATGTAGGACAGATATTTTGAATCCCTGCCCGTCGTACAAATAAGGGCGTCTGTTCAAAGCCACTTATTCGGATTTTTCCCCCGCAATGCCCCGCGCCCTGTACAAGACAGAGGACATAATGTAGGTTTACATATAATATAACTAACACAGGCAAACTACAAGTAAATCGAAGCGCTAGAGTACGTATATCTACATAGCGCATGCAGGTCTTATCGTCAAGTCTACCTAGCTTCGGTGACTGCGCTGCGAGTTCTACACACCTTCTATTATTAACTGAATAAGACGGGGTTCTTTGATCCTTCATGCGGATGTCCGTGGCAAACGACCCCGCGGTTTTTATGATAGGTTGATTTAGGCATTTGTATATTAATAATACACATGTGGAAAGAAGATTTATAAGAGGATTATAATCCTCAACTCTATAGACTTAACTTTCTCGATCTGTTAACCACATAACATATACAATTACTCGGCCCATCTTACGTGCGTACCAATTCTAAGTCCTAACCCTAAATATCCGGAAAAAAAAAGGAAAGATAAATAAAACCATGAGTTCCGCCGCCGCAGCCGCAGAAGAGAAGGTAGAAGACAGAAAGGAGACGGGGACATACGAGGCCGGCTGCCACTGCGGCTACATCAAGTTTTCCGTCACTTTATCGCCGCCATTCCCCGAGTATAAAGTTCTCAACTGCAGCTGTTCCGCGTGCTCTCATCTGGGATATCTGCTCGTTTGTAGGTCGCCCTCGTCGCCACGAGATATACCTAAACGGTAGCAATATAAGAAGAACACCACAGACACCAACTAACGCACACCTGCTTAGACCCCAAGGCCTCGGATATCGTATGGCATAACAACAGCCGGGAGCGATGCGCCAGCTACCGCTTCAACACTAAGCAGAAGGACCAGATGTTTTGTCCCAAGTGCGGTGCTAGCCTGGGCATCGACTTCTTAGAGGTTTTTAAGGAGCATGTGTATGGTATTAGCGTAAGTACATGAGAGAGAGAGAGAGAGAGAGAGAGAGAGAGAGAGAGAGAGAGAGAGAGTGTGTGTGTGTGTGTGTATGAGCATATGTATGGTGTATAGTATATGACGAAAGAGAGCAGAGGTCAGAACCCTCAGAAACCCCCATTTGCTAACAGCATAATCAATACAGGCCCGTTCATTCTACGGCATCGATCTCGATACTTTGACGTATAGGAAGGCGGACGGGATGCGCAGGGTTGAGCCTGCACATGATTTGTCTGGGCAGATATGGGACGAGGAGAAGCAACAGCTAACCTAATTGAAGCATCTAAAGGCTCATGAGTAGATAGGGGAGTGCTGTTAGTATCAAAAATAAAATATCATGAGAAGTCAAGAATCCACCAGGTTTCTAGCGAGTTCGTATATAATTCGAGGCATTCCTTTAATACATGCCTAGATAGCTATTTATTTACATTCTGCTTGGCATCCGACCAACTCTCTTATATGCCCTACATAACGCTGATGTTCAATAATCACATCAAACATTAACCATATATAGTACCTCTCATCTGATTAAATTAGAGTCACTCCAATATGACTAGGGATAAGGTATCTATTGGCCGTAAACACCCCAAAAGACAGCATATCTTTCTAGGCGGCAGTAAATAGGTCGGTAATATAACACCGGAGAATTAGAGCTAAGGTAAAGATAATAATTCAATAACTGACTTATAAGGAATCCGTTAACACGATAACCCCATTTCCTGTCTATTTTTTGTATACTCACCCACGCCCTTAAACCCAATCGATTTAATTTCCATGGAATATTTTTCAACCATCATCCCGCTGCGCTCTTTTCTACATCGTTCAAGTACTTAGGCTTAAAGATTTCAGAGTATAACCTTGCTAAACCGTAACATCAAGATCTAGACGAACACGATTGTGTCAGACCAGGGCAAAAATCAGATATTCTATTTCTGCTGTCTTTTTGCGTAGAGATTTTCCGCCGATGTAATACAATGCGTGTTAGCTCCTAGTTTGTTTATCGTCTCTATCCATTCCTCATATGGATCCGAGTCGAAGACAATACCACCCCCTATCTCAATTGTCAGCAAATCCAGAAATCAGTGTTTTTAAATAGAAAATGCTTACCGGCTTGGAGATATGCAACTCCATCCTTAACCAGCATGGTTCGTAAGGCGATACAAGTGTCCATAGCCCCCTCAGTTTCCTTTCCATTGGAATCTACGCTACCGTACCCGAAGTATCCTACGGCTCCGGCATATACACCTCTCTTCTCCTTTTCAAGCTCAGCAATAAGTTCCATTGCTCGAACCTTTGGAGCACCCGATACCGTTCCAGCAGGGAAAATCGATCGGAAAGCATCGAACCTTGTTTGGTCTGGTCGTAGTACACCTGATACCTGGGAAACAAGATGTTGAACGTGACTGAATTTCTCCACTACCATTAGTCTATCAACTCTCGTAGTCAGCGGATCACAGACTCGGTTGATGTCATTCCGCGCTAGATCCACCAACATGACATGTTCGGCACGATCCTTAAGTGAGTTGCGAAGCTCATTGGCAAGCCGCTCGTCCTCCTCTGGGGTCTTGCCGCGCTTGACTGTGCCGGCAATAGGATGGGTAATGATCCTTCCTTCCTCCTCCTTCACAAGCAGCTCTGGCGACGCGCCAACTATTTGGAAATCTTGGCAGTTAACATAGAAAAGGTATGGAGAAGGGTTGACCGTTCGCAAGTGGCGGTAAATGTTGAACGGGTGCAACGAAGTCGGGCGAGCAAACCGCTGGGAGGGGACGGCCTGGATGATGTCGCCAACGACGATGTGCTTCTTCAGTTCGGTCACGTGTGATTCGTACCCTTCTTGACCAATATTGGACGTGTACTGCTGGCCGAGCTTAATGGGTTGCTGTTCGGGTATGGGTATCTCGGGAGAGTTGAGGACGTCAATAAGTTCGTGAATGGTTGTAGTTGCTTTGTTATACTCATCCGCGAGGGTATCTAGGTTCTCAGGGATGTGAAGGTAGGTGATAACTTTGATAACGCCGAAGAACCTGTCGAATGCTACTATGGTATCGAATAACATGAACAAGGATTCTGGTATTTGGAGGACGTCTTTCATAGGTCGCGCAGTCTTGGGTTCGAAGTATCGGACGCAATCATAGCCCACATAGCCAACAGCACCTCCAATAAGGGGCGGCAGCCTGAGGTCCGGGATCTCAGCCATGACATTTTGTGCTAACTCCTTCTCGAGCGCGGGTAACGGATCTACCGCCTCTCCATGACCCTCCCCAGCCTTCAGGATTTTGCGCGGGGCCGCACCAATGAAGCTATATCGACCAACCCGTTCCGTAGCGGCACTCTCGAGGAGGAAGGAGAAATCTGTCTTGAAGTGGTCTGATACCTTTAAATATGCCGCAGACGGCGTTATTAAGTCGGCAGATATTTGACCGTATAGAGGGACTAGATTTGGCTTCTTAGGTCCTGTCGTGGGTTTCGATAAGATTTCCTTGACGGTGTCCAGGGACGGTAGAATCACATCCTATAGTAAACAAACTGCTTGTTAGTTTGACTCGGGGATTCTATAGTTTGATATACGACACCGAATGAATTGAGAGAAGTTTCTTACAGCTTGAGCCATGGTGGGCAGGTTATTGAAGAAAGTAGTAAAGTAGTAAGAGGGAGGATGTCACTCCCCTTCACTCCTCCCTTGCTCTTGTTAATTCTCAACACACACACACACACAAGTATGTGACACCAAGTTGACTCAGCATAGAATGTTAAACCCGCTAGAGCTATTTGGTTGGTCCTTAAACTTTTTGGTACCTTACATTGATTGCTCCTACGCATTTTATCCGAAGACGGAGCTGACGGAAGGAGGGGCATTTTTGTCATAACTACCCCACATGGTACTTAGGTATTAGTTATATCTTATCACATAACTATACGAAATAATCTTATCATAACAAACCTTTGGAGGCTTAAACAAGAATCGCGGGGTATTCGATACCTTAGCATAAATTGAAGCATAAATTGAAGCATGAATTGAAACTTGACGAAAAGGACTTAGGTACCTAGACAGGAGGTACCTAGGTATGTAGATCGTCCTCTTAAGATGCGTACGCATTTAATACTTCACTATTTTCCCCGGCAGTGATCATATCCGATTAATCAACTCTCAATCGCTAGCGCCTTAACACCAACGAGCTTCGCGCTTGGTCCATTACCTTCCGTCGTAACGACCCAATACTCGATTTTGACGCCTCCTTTCGAGACTCGATACACCCGGACGTCATTCCCCTTGCCTGCTTTGCGCACCGCATCTAGAATCGACTTATACTGACCCTGCGTGTCCCAGTCCGCGGGATCTTGAATTTCAATCTGCGCATTTGACGGGTCTGGATGGTGTATCAAGGATGCGAATTCCTCTATAAGCTCAGAAGTTAGTAGTCGTAGAGACCAGCGAGTAATATATTCATCGATAAAACCTACCTTCGTCTGGTAAACCTTTACCGCTCTCGTCCCATGCCAGATAGACAGGTACGAACGGTTCGTCGGCGTCGCTCACGTAAAAGCTATCATTGGTTGCTTCCTGAATAACAGCAGGGATTTGCGCTCCTTCGTCAGTCGCCTTGAAGTCTTGCTTGTTTGCGCTCTGTGCCTTTGTATATCCTTCGCTCGGATTCTTGTTCGCCTTGTTTAAGAAGGCCATGTAATCTTCGTCGGATGCCATTTTTAATGCTCTGGTTGTGGTGAAACTTCTTAAATTATCAACCGATCGAAGAAAGTGTCTGTTTTGTAATGTGACCGTATTGGTGGAGGGTAGCCAGTTAAGTCGTTTTCCTTCTAAGATGTTAGTGGTACGATACGATGCTGTAACTCTCTTTGTTAATTGACCACTGTATCGATAAAATGATCTAGAAACGGCTCTATGATTTAAAGACAACGTCAATGACATTGATCCAGATAGATCATATTTAGTAATAAATTGTTGGATACTTCATTACCTTTGTAGGTAGATAAAAAGCATGGAAGTAAGGCTGTCTTGTCGCTAGTTACATCATAGCTGCTAAGGAAGTATAGCATATAACAAATACCCCTCTTAGTGCATATCTATTTTTTAATATTCGTATTTAAAAGAACTAACTATATTAAGAATATTTACCAGAATAGTAGAAGCGGCGAGAGGAAACTTGTCTGTTGATTAAATGTACTCCTTTTACCGAGTCAAATAACATTTTATTTTTAGAGCGATTACGATAAAAGTTTACTCAACTATCTCATATTCAATACGTTGAGGCCTCAGTTATGTAGATGTGAACTAGACACCCCCATCAGTTTATCGACATACATTTAAGGTATGGACCATTGTCCCAACATGTATCTATGTAGTCAGTGCCGTTAAATTTTTAGAGTAATAAAATTGGAAGTTCATATGTATATCATTGCACGAGTAAACTTGGGCATACCATAATTTTCATCTCGTGATCAACTAGCTAGGTTAGTGAGTTTATGCTCAGCGATTAGTGGCTGGCTTGCTGTCGACAACGTTGAAACTGAACCTTACCTAAGTGAGTTTTCATAGCTTAGGTACGCAAGGACTTAAACCACTTGAGTAAACATGTGGAGAGTCCGTGTCCTTATTAATAATAGACCAAATTAATTAACTTTATACAAGACGCGCGGTACTTAATAGTAGATCTAGGTATGAGATATCTTAGCACCGTTTAGTTTGGGTGATCGGACTACCGAAAAACTCTAAATTTAAAGTAGCATTACGTTTCCTAATGAATATAGAAAATACATGTGAGCATCGTAGTATAGGTATGTATTTACATGTACAATTATGTAAAGCGGTAATAAGTTAGCTGAAGTTTGTATTGCGGAGGCTAGAGTAGTTGCATAAGACTAATCTAAACTGACCCCTTGAATACTGTCCATACTGATAACCGACTTTCCTAGGCTTCAATTAGTTTTCATGGATATAAGCTGGATCCTTACTGATTCATACTGGCCATTACTTGCTTGCTACTAATAGGGTATGCGTCTACTTGGCTTAACATTACTATAGTTCAGCTACTGTATAGTGGACTACGATTGCTTGTCACGAACGTAGAAAACAGGCATCTTATGGCTTTTACTTCATGCATTTGTTCATTAACTTCTTTTGAGTCTCAAATGCTAACCCTAGACCATGCCCATCGCAGCAGCCGAAAAAGGGAACCAGGAACACCGATGCAAAGACAAGATACAAGGAGACGTAAAGCCCTCTACGAGCTCTGAACGAGGTCCTTCTTGAGCGTACCTTGGTACTGCTTCTTCTCTGCAGGCGTCTGGAAGGCACCGTGACCAAACTCGGAAGAGGTGTCGATCCATTTCAGCTCCACCTTCTCCAGTGCCTTTCTCGAAGTGTGAGTGAACATGGACTTCCTTAGCGTCGTGACACGCTTCTTGACACCAGGAACGGAGCCCTTGACCATGACGAAATCATTGTTGACCTCACCATATCGGACAAAACCACCCAGGCTATGTATACATTAGCGGAATCCTAATAGATCTTTAAATTGGCAGTGACTTACGGAGTGATGGTCTTCTTGGTAACATCTTGCTCGGTAGAGGCGTTGGCCTCGTTGTCGCCCTTACCGATACGGTAAACCTTGTGGTTGACCGAGGTACGGTGGTGGTAACCTTGCTGACCAGCACGGGCAACAGTCCACTGGACGTGGGAAGGATGCCAAGCACCGATACAAGCGACCTTTCGGAGACCCTTGTGAGTCTTACGCGGTAGCTTCTTAGTACCCCATCGGGCAGTAACACCGTTGAAACCGTGACCCTTGGTGACGGCGATAACGTCAATCACCTCATCTTGCTCGAAGATGGTGTCGATGCTGACGGGCTTCTCGAAGAGACCGTGGCCGAACTCGACCTTGTCGGCAATGGAGCCGCCGTTGATCTGGATCTCCATAAGGTGGGCCTTCTTCTGCTTGAGAGGGGTCTTTCGGATCTGGGTGTGGGCGAGGACACGAACGACGGTGCAGTACTTCTTGATGCGCTCGAGCTCGCGGGTGATGGAAGAGCCGCTGTTCTCCGAGTGCTTCTTGGCATACTTGGTGAAAGCCTTCTTCTTGCTCTTGTACCAGTTCTTGTAGAATCGGCGCTTGACCTCGTCGCTCAAGTGCTCGGCCCATACGGTGGTGAGTGATCGGAGACCGCGGGGGGTCTCAATGTAGCCCACAAGACCAACAACGATCATCTGTGAAGATGTTAGCCATAGGCGCAAAGCCAAGCGGGCTGCGTTGTTCGTACAGGTGGAGTGTCAATAATGGTGACTGCCTCAACAATCTCCTTCTTGTGTGCCTTTGCGCCGGGTCGGTCGAGGTCACGAACGATCGTAGTCATACCAGCCTTGTAGCCCAGGGCGGCAGTAAGGTGTACAGGCTGCTTAGGGTTATCCTTGGGGAAGCTGACGGTAGCAATTGTAAGTTAGTATCAAATTTAAAGTAAGAGAGATTATTTCGCACGACTGCGATTTGATTGATGAAATAGGTATTAACTTACGACTTTACCTTGCCGCGATGACGGGCAGCACGCTTTCTCGGCAAGAAGGCGAGAGAGCCATGACGGGGAGCCTCGAACTTACGGTGCGACATCTTCGATTGATCCTTTGTTGTTAAAGGAAGAAGTCAATCGACAGGTCGTGGGTGGGAGGTTTAAGGATAGAAGAAAATGTTCGGGATTGAGAAAAGCTCAATCTTTTTTTTGGTAGTGGGTAATGCAAAAACCTGTGGGCTGTAAAATCCCGGCAAATAACCGAATGTGGGAGGAAACGCAGATAGAGGAACCCTAAAGCTTGGACCACGTGATGGGAGAGCTTTTCCAACCCCACTAAAATGATCTTCAAGCTAATGTTAGGTTGTTAACGAATTAATTTTTTAAAGATCCATTCCATTCCCATTACGATTAGGTACATAAAACTATGTACCTAGGATACTTGACATGAGTGCATACTTAGAAGTTACGGGTATCATCACATCGGCAATGCATATAGTCTGAGGCACAATACAATACATTAGGAAGTATTTTGGGTTTATTGAACTGATAAAGCAATGTTTAGAAACGATAGACAGACTTCTTATCGCCTTGCCAGTATCTAACAGGAGGCAGCTCGCCAACTTGACCCTTGATATACATAGCTTTGAAATAATCCTGAACAATGAAATGGGTATGAGTCGAAGTTCAGTATTCATTACTGACATCTTTCTATCCTAAACGTTACCCTCCGCTTTAGGTGTAGGTCCCATTATTCCATTGATGCTGGCACTGGTGGGTGTCGTGTTCTTTAAATCTCCAGATGTTGAGCCCGGCCCCGATGCCGCGCCATTAACGCCCACCTTCTTCTCTTCTTCTCCACTATCATCGTAGTCATCATCAACATCCATTTTCCTAGCAGCCCGCTCTGGTTCATTTATCTGCGATGGAGTAGGAGCCGGTGGGTGTTCGAGTCTCTGCCGCTCATCTTGGGGGTAGTCTTTTGGGGCAGGGCTTGGCTGCGGTCCATCATGAATTAAGCTTGGCAATGGAGGAGGTGGACCTTGCTGCATAGGGGGTAGATGGTTTGCCATTGCATGTGCTGGCGGATGATGAGCGGCATCTGATGGATGATAACTCTCGGCTGCATGCCGTTGCTCTTCAACACGTCGCATTTCTTCGACTCTTCTTTGGTCGTCAACGCGTCGCTGCTCCTCGATGCGCCGTTGTTCTTCAAACCGGTGAGCATCAGGAGAACGACGGTAAGGATCCCGCGGTGGAGTGGATTGTCGTCGGTGACGTATATCTTCCATGCGAGCCCGAGTCTCCTCGTTGGCAGGCTTTTTAATGGAAGGTTCGTCCTCCCACTCTCGCATCCTCTTAGACGCTACTGAAGACGGTCTATCGTGATCCTGATGAATATCGGGTCTGATTACCCCTTTTGGGTGAGGGCCTGGTTCCATATTGCCCGGCATTCCCGGCTCTTGCTGGTGAGGGAACGGAGGTTGGTGCTGAGGATAAGCTGATTTTGGTGATGGCATGCGGTTGTCATGGATGAGTCTTGGTTCTGAACGAGGGGAACCGTTACGGTAGGGCATTAGAGAGTGCGGTGGGGGGCCATTAGGCGGGCCATTTGAGGGACCCATGTTCGAGGAAGGTGCTGGCGTATAATTCGGATTGTTAACTCTAGCCGGACCTTGGGTAGGTGGTGGAGGGGGTTGCTGCGACGGTCCTGGTAAAGGGGGTGCATATTGGGTGGGTGGGCCTGGAGAAGGACCTCTTCGAATCGGTGCTGGACCAGGACGACCTGAATCCCCGTACTGCCTCATCTCCTGCCGAGGGCTAGGCTGTCGCGGGAGTGGAGGTGGTACCCCGCGAAAGGGCTCGCGCTGCTCATAGGGATTAGGTGGTTGTGGTGGGTTGATATCACTGGTTCTTTGGCCCCAACCGTTGGCTGCGGCAGGTCCCGGGGGCGGCCTGTGAGGGCCGGGTCCGGATTGCTGCATTGGAGCAGAGCCAGTCCATGCAGGTGCTTGTGGTCCCTGAGCACCGTAGGATTGGGGATGAACATCAGTGGGCACAGCTTGCGGGAGGCTTCCCGGAGTTTGACCGGCCCTTAGAAGCTGAAGTCTCGCCTTGATGTGTGGGTTAGCGGGATCCAATTCGGCAGCCCTTTGATAGGCATCCAGAGCATCATTGATCTGATTATTACAAGACTCGTACTAGAAACATTCGTCAGCTGATTTATACTTATGGAAGACAGCAAACAAAACTTACCAGAGTACCGAGATCATACCAAACTTCAGATATATACGGGTTCAACCTAATCGCCCGAGAATATGCATCTAAAGCATCGCGGTACTGATTGATCTGGTAATAGAGCACGCCAATGGAGCACCAGAATGTAGGGTTCCGCCCGTCACGATACACCGCTTGCTGGTATGCCTCATATGCCTTGGGATACTTCTGCTGTGACATGTAACATCGGCCAAGGAGGTACCAGCTTTGGGCGTCGTTGTTATCTGCCACGTGTGAGTTAGAAATGCACAAATTTCATACTATAGATTTGACCACCACTTACCAGCCGCGACAGACTTCTCTAGGTACTCGATGGCACGCTCCTGGGTTTGAAAGCTGCTGCTTTGCTGATGGTGAAGCCAACCTAATTGTTGTAAGACCTTGGCATGGTTCGGGTCACGCTCAAGAACCCGCATATAGGCGGCCTTTGCACTATCATACTAGATATGATTTTAGCATACACTCCAACGATACAATCGACTAGTACCTACGTCTTTCTGCTGTTCATGAACATGTCCAATTTGGAACCAGATATCTTCTTCGGTCAATGGCGGTGGCGGAGAGTTTACGATATACTTGAAACACTGTAATAGGTTAGAGTCAAGTTCGCTCATGCTAATTAATGGACTATACCTCTAAACTTGGGCCGTATTTTGATTGCTGCTTGTAAATTATACCAAGCCGGAAATAGATCTCATTTGCCTTCTCGAAGTCCGGCTGCATCTGCATAACCTGCGAAAAAGCTTCCTCGGCATGGTCGAGGGAGCCGTATCTGTCGTATAAGATCCCTATCCCGTACCATAGCTTGGGTTCCTATTGCGTGTTAGCTAGGCATTGGGCAAGGAGGGCAAAACTGTTATTTACTTTGGGGTTCGGCAAATTGACTAATGCGGATTGGTAAGCTGCATATGCCTGCTGCAAATCGTCCATCATCAGATAGCAATGCCCTGAGAGTGAGTGTTAGCTAAGTTAATAAATACACATGTGTGGGTATAAAGTTGAATATACCTAGGCTACCCCAGACTTCGCCATTGTTTGCATCTATCTTCAGTATAGCTTGCAAGTATTCTACCGCCTTATGAAAGTCCTCACGCGTCCTTAGGATTAGACTGATTGCATTCATCGCGGGAATGGAGTTCGGGTTCGCGTTCAACGCGCGCTCGTAAGCGAGCATGGCTTCGTCTAAGTTGCCGAGGAGCTCAGAGAAACTACCTATATAAATTATTAGTCCACTGCAACCGGCGAATGACACCCTTATATTATACTCACCAATTTGCATCCAAAGTGCTTCGTTAACCGCAACAATGTGTCGCGACGGGGCCCATTGACTCCCCTGGGCCGGACCAGGAGGAGGAGGAGGTACTGGTGGGCCATGGTGCTGCATTTGCATCGCCATCTGTGGCGACGGGTGGTGATTTGCCATAGGATATTTCAACTTGTCAGCAAAATCCGCCTCACCGAGGCGCTTAGGTGTTTTCCAGCTTCGGTAAAACACAAAACTGAATCAAAGCCTGATGATGCGGAGAACTCGTTTGCGACGTAGTTATACCAATAAAAGGTACATAAATATGTGAAGTACCAAGATACGCAAATATGAATTAAAACTTTGAGGGCGTAATGCGCAAACGCCTATAAAAGCTGGTGGTAAACTGCAGGTTATACGGTTGTGGAGTGTTATGATGATTTCAACGGTCGCAAGGTCGTAAATAATAACTTGGTCCGGGCAAAAGCGCTTAATACAAGCGGCTAAGTACCAAGCAGTATAATATGCTCGGGGTCGCGTCTAGGCGGTAATAACGTCTACAAACGACAAATTTAATAGTCGAGACGGAATAGAAAGGAATGTGGAATATGAGGCTCAATCTTTGTCTTGATGACCTATTTGCTTAGGGGAGGGGAGAATAAGCGGTGGAGAGGCTGGACGGTAGACGGGAAGAAGAGAAGAGTTTGGGAGAAGACCCAAGGAGGATTTCGATGGACAGCAGCTACCCTAACCCACGATAGCACCTGCAATATTTAGGTAGATAGAACTAGCATGGGAGTAATATGTGGGGCAAGGAACGAGTGTTCCTAGACCTAGAAGTCGTCTAGGCTAGGTAACAACAATGTACACAGTAGTATAAGTGGGTCACCTAAGACGTGCAGGTAATACGAAGTCCACTCTTCTTTTAATCCAGCCCCAAAGTTCCCTATACTTAAAATTTTTCATGTTTCTCAGCTACGTACCTACCTACATATGTATGTAAGCTGGACCCTTATTGCTCCTTCGTATCCTAAATATACATCTTACATACACAGCTTCGTTGCCATCACGATGCTTGGCTAGAATAATATTACAGACGCGACGGTGCATCTTTGTACCAAATGTTATATGTGCTTCGATACTTTACCAGCTTGTGAATACCCAAGGGAAACGCAATTCGAGTCTGTTGAAGCATGTTAACGCGTATGTAGGAAACACGCCAAGTCCACTGCGTATAGGTAGTAGGTAGCACTGGCACTTATTATTGTTTATTGTAAGTTACTCTTCGCTGACGAGGTAGACAGAGTTTTCTCTTCCGTGTTTAACCTATCTGTAGAGTATGCGTCATCCTTTGCCGCATGCGCTTGAATATTTTATAAAGTTTACTACCTAAATCAATGCTGAAGTCGTAGTATAGTATAGATATTGACAGTTTGTATTATGATGTTTGGAGCAAGATTTAACTATTGCCCGAGATAACGGGCGCGGCTAGGAAACCCGCTGTAAGTAGACAGTACGTTTTAACCCTGATTGAAACCAAACTCTGCAATGATGGTTCCTGCAAGGAAGAAGGGGAAGGGTACGAATTAGTTACTTTGTGGAAACCTAGACCAAGGAGCGGGCAAAGTTCCGAAACTCCTACAAATTTGGTCAATCGCCGGTGGTAGCGGCTCGGACGGATTCGCTCTTACCTTGCCGCTTGGCATGGGCGAGCCCCAGAGAGGAGGGTTGCTTGGAAGGCAAGGTACAGGGTTTGAGAAAGGGCGGGTGTGGATGGGTCATATTGCGGCTTGGCATTTGAACCGCACACCCTCCCATGTACATATGTATATATATACATTACATAGGTATATAGTGGACCTTATAAACCCGCACCTGGGCGATGGGGCAATCCTCATTGCGTACTACATACCACATACCACATACTACATACTACATACTACATAATACGTCGCAGACGAAGAAGAAACCTAATGGGAAATCAATTTAATTTTTTTGAGGAACGCTTATCTCTCTGTCGGAGTATTTATCCTCATCGAAGCCAATCTCGCGATGAAGGCTTGACGTACAGGATCGAATTACCCAAGACAGTTAAAGCTAACTATGTCTTAACAAATTCCGACGTTTTGGCTTGACACTTGTCAAACATACAGACCACAACCACGCATTCGCCCGTACCGTGCTGACACTCATTGGCATTTTATTATTACGAGCGCGAATTGCTAAACGGACCAAGCATTGCAAAGGTCAGGCAGTAGTCATTTGACGTCGAGGATCCGCGTTCGAGACCATATCTTGAACCTGTTGTCGGACAGACGTAGTTTTAACAACATTGGTCAACTTGAGACAGCGGGTCACCAACACATCAGGTAACTTGCCATTGCCGAGTTTTCGTCACTGCAAATCATGCAGAAGCTCATCTAGACCATCTCCGTCCCTGAGCTTATATATGAATGTCGAATCATGAATAAGGTCAAAACCAGAGACACACTACTGGTATTGATAAGCTTAGATAATCGTGAGTGGTAGATGGTAACATCTCGTTAGAAAAAAAAAAAAAAAACAAGACAAAGGTTTGTGAGGCTATTATGGGTTTTTTTTGTTACCGGATTGTGTCAGCAAGGAAATTGAGGTGGAAATAGCCAAGCGACCAATCTCGTCATCTCCCGAAGATCGAGGGTAAAGAAACACCGACAATGTGGCACCAATTTTTCTCAGATTTGGGGGAACAAGAAAAATAATACCATGGTGGCCATTCCTGTTGAGGTAGTGTTATCGTCGGCGCTAACACGCTTCTAGAAAGCCCACGTGTCATAACAAGAAGGGGCTGGAATATGTTCGTGACCTTTAAACGCTGTTTGGGGCTTATTACCTACTTCGTCGTAGCGTCCTCCCGAAGAAATCCTTCAACCGCGCGACCTTACTAAATTACTTTATTTGTTTCATCACCTCGGGCTTTTTCTCGTCAACTTTACCCTGCTCCGCCTTGGGCTTCCTACTTACCTACTTGGGTACTATTACTACATCGAGCAACGGTAGTCGATCCTATCAGAGCCATGTTTCAAGCCTGCTATGAAATCATCGTGTGTACCTGAGTATCCTGAGTACCCTAAGTACATCCCTTAGTCGACACGCTACCCACGCAACCACGCATAGTTTTCGAAAAGCAAGTCGGGGGAGTGGGGTTTAGTAATGGTCCTTCGATAGGATTATTCATGGGGTTCATGAGTCGGGATGTCAGGGTGTCAGGGTGTCGCTTTTTCGATAATCTACTTAGATTGATTGATCATTTGGAAGATGGCCGGTTGGCTGATCACTACTTGTGTGATCGTCATCGCCAGGCAGTTAAAAGGAAGCTTTCTCCCGCAACCTGCACGCAGTACATAACGCATGCAATATGTGATTGCCCGGCATAAGTGTCCACGGAGTGGGTGTTGGGATCTATCAATGGAGAGGGAGTGGACGGATGATGCTGCAGCGATGGTTGCACAATGGGCGAGTTGGTTCGAAGCGCCCCAGGAAAAGAGAGGTAAGTTAATAAAAGAGTGGGAGAAGGGGGGGGGAACGGTCGAAGGGGCGTGTCGTAGCCGGTGTGACTTTTCCCATTGCCCATTTATGTACATCCATAATACCTTACATATGCGGGTTCAATACCGTATTTCGGTCCAACCCTTTATTATTAGCTCAGCCAGATTGAGGCCAGTGGAATGAAGAGTACAAAGGTACGAAGCGCTAGATATGTGTGCTGCATCTCGCGCATATGCAGCCGTTGGTTGCGTGGGCTATTATTCGCCAAGAGAGCAGCGGTCCGTACGGTTGACGTGCCACACCTCCAGATACAGATCACCCTACCACCCGTGTGAATGGAGCTGTCAACCCTGGCTAACCGTCCTGCCTGCTTGCATCGGGGCCCCGGCGGTCTAGTAATGATGATGATGGTGTGCTTTAAAAACTCACAGGGTATGTACTTTGTCCTGCGTCGCCTAGACACACCTGGGCTTCTCCTGGCACACCTCCGGATATAAGTCACGTACCGAAGTAGGTAGGTTACCTAGTCCCATGTGTACGTACATAATCTGCAAGCGCCTTTTCATCATCACTACTCCGCGGGCTGACGATGGTGGCAGCGATTTATTTCGGGACGGCCCAGCATTAAAACAAGCAACAAAGCAAAACCGATCGGCCACGGACTATACTGAGTATATATTGCAGCTGAAATGGGGTTAGACCCCCCTGCTGTTTTAGCATATATATGCATTCCCGCTTCGTTACTTTACTTAGGCGAGAGTACGAATAGAGCAAGATTTTTCGCCGCATCTCAGTCAGAGATAGAACCTCACCAAATCTTCTACCGCATTTGGCGCTTGTATTCCCTCAATTTGCAACTGTAAAGTCGATATTGCAACTTTGCAAATGCTTAGCTAGCCAACGGTTGAAGGGACGATGCTTACCGACCGATGAGCAAGCTGAACCTGTTGGTATTATCCACGAACTATATACGAAATAAGCAGATATACCAACGTTAGTTTGCAGCATTCGCTTGCTAGAGATGGAGGAATGTGGGTTGAAACATGACCCATCTTCTTTTAGTAAAGGCCGTGGGTTGGGCAAGGTGGACGGGAAGAGAGGGCGGGCTGTCCCAAGTTCCGCTAGCACAGCTGGCATAGGAGACGGGAGACGGACAGCAGAGAGAATAGGATTTTTTCGGAGTGTACAGGGGCTTACACAGATTGAAACGTTTTAAAGTACAAGTGTACTGTGGTAAGCACTCTTCATTACATTGATGTTCTGCATGTTCTGCATGTACAGCGTAGCTCCCGAAGAGAAAAGCGTGAGATTTGCCGATTTGCACACTCGTTCAAGTCACATGTAATGGACCTGAATGGCTTCGGGGATAGTGTGCAGTGCGACTCACACTCGAGCGATACGTGTGCACATGTACTCAGCCGATCCGGTTGTACTCAGATGCAGTGGAAACCGATTATGATGAGACAATGTCCAAGGGTGTCAGTGTCCAAGGATGTGTACCTGTTTGAGGTTTCCCCAAATTAATGTACGGTATAAGCCACATATTGCCCACTATTTTAGGATCCACTCTTGATGCAACTCGACTGACTTTGATCTAGACAAGCCATAATGCCACATCTCAAAGCCACATCTCAGAGCCACGTTACAGATAGGTACCTATTAACCTTTCGCACTACGTGCAGGTGGGTTTTAGACATCCGTACCTAGGTATTTAGACGAATTAGATTGGGTCTAAATTGGGTTTAGCTTAGGTGACAGGGTGAATACTCAAACGGCGTCACTACTGACTAAGATGAGAGTTCTACGTTCAACAGTCGTCACATGTAGGCGTATTTATAACTAGAGGATATATATATATATAGAAATTACCTAGGATAGTAGGAATTAAGCAATTAAAATGTTCTCGACTACCTAATCCACCTCTTATCTCATGGACTTAGTGGTTGATATATAAGACATGGCTTCCGTAAAGCCTTATCTAAGTTGAAAATGTAGGCTAAACATTGTTTAACAGTTATTCCCTTTCCCTTCTGGAAACCGCTGATCTATTTAGGCGAATAATTATACACTACCATATATAGGTATATGTATTTATTTATTTACCTCCTTTGTTTGTTATTCTTTAACCCATTCTATTGAGCATTACAGTAGGGAGAGTTTGTACGATGTCGTATGCTACTGTATGCTACGCGACAGCGTATATCCTTCTATGGGTGAAATACTGTAAAACAGATATGTGGACAGTGTGGTATGTGATGGCATGCCGTATTACCCAAACGCTAAGCAGTGCTGATATTATATCTATCATAGAATTGACATATAGTGCTGCATGTCAAGCCCAGTTTGTAGTCCTCGACAAAACCAAACGGGAACCTCAACCGTAGCTTGCTGAACAGCCAAACTAAACCCGACAGCTATCCGGCCATCATGTGAACTACACTGTAGCCGGTACTTTGATATTACCCGATTAGGGATATTTTACGCCCTAAACACAAAACCCAGGTGCCTCATCCTCTAATGCCGACTCCGAACTCGCAAGTGCTCCCAAAATAGAAATACACGCGTATTCGGACATATAGCAAAGGGGGTATTTCGAGATCCAAACAAGAGAGCCCCCCGCCAGCCTCCGCAGAAAATTAAACACTTCAAGAGTCGCTCTTGTCGGTATGATCATGATCAGGGTTATAATTTGTCTCTCCCAACACGGTGTTGGGCTGTGATGTCATCGCAGCCTGAGCGTTCGGCTGCTGATGCGTATGTGCCCCCGAGCCGCCTGGCTGGTTAGGAGGCTGTGATTGACTTCGTGAGCCACTGCTAGGTCCCGCGGTGGCAGCGTGGAGACGTTGGTCAAGTACTTTTAGAGCCAAGGCTCTCCGTCTTTCAGCTTCAGCTCTAACACCTCCATGGCCGCTACGCTGTATGAAGTTACCGCCTTGCGCAGCGGAGATATCAGCCTGTGAGAAAGGTGTGCATATCCTCATTGCTACCAACAGGTTGAAAATCGGTTCGGTAATCGCGGAAACGAATGGCTTAACTGGTCCTGGGAAGAATTCAGCAAAAGCAAACGTCTCGCTCGCATCCCCACGCATAGATGTCGGTTGCGAAGAATCGAGATCCGGAAAAATCGTCTTATAGAATCGTAAATACGTCCAACTAGCAAGGAGACCGAATATGGATAAGAATAAGGAAGCGCTCGTAAGCAACGGAGTCAAGGACAACACAGCAACAATGCCGATGTATATGAGGGGAAACTTCGGTACGCGCAAAGACAAAACACCTCGGAAGAGGGTAACGGTATGCGCGGGAACGAGTTGGCTGAAAGCGACAAGGAAGGAGATCTGAAGGGGTATCGTGCCAGCAATAGTTGTCAACCTGAATTTTTATTTGTTAGTACTCCCGGCTACGTATAATAAAAACCTAGAACATCCGGAGGGGGAGGGGGGACGAGACTTACGTCCATCTCTCGTTGCGAGTGATAGTGAACAGTGTGACGAGAATCAAAAAAGTTAAAGTATTGGGTATCAGAGATGCCACAAGTAGGAATTTAGCGAATTCCCTTGAAGACCAAGCTCTTTCCAGGTATTTCCCTCCATGGTAAAGGGTCAGACCAGCAATCGCTAACGTAAAGATATTGTTCTCGACTAGAGTAGCCGTTAAGAACGTCCAAGGATAGAACAGCGATAGTTGAGGTATGAGTGTCAGCCATTCGACGACGATTTCGGAATGCGCAGACCACTGGCGGTAGCGCACGGCAGCACTTAAGACGGACTGTAGAAGCAAGACTACGAGTACCACACGGGTAACAGGTGGGATGTTTAGTCGCGGAGGCATGGCGGCAGTTTGGATATAGGGATTTGAGCTTCTAGGTAGAGTTTGAGAGATGTCGGTTTTTCGGGGTCGCGTCGAAGCCGCACATCACCTTACGAGGTTAAGTTTGGTAACGGCTGATGTGGCCAGTGCGTTTCCCGTCAGCCACAATTTTAGTAAGCTACCCTAAGGTTCTGCAGGGAGAGGTAGCCCAAGCCTACATTAAAATAGGACGCCCTGTGCTTTAAATGGAAAAAACATCAAAATTAACCTTTACGGATGTGTCGCTCCCTCCCTCCGGTCAGGTACCGCAAAAGTACCTAGGTACATATATCATATCAGCACAATGACCTGGTACGAAACAAAGCTTCAAGCTATTATCAACATGGCTAAGCTCTTAGATAGACTCTTAGATAAGCCTCTATAGATATTTGCACGCAATATTCATCCATCTATCCGCCTCCGATTTTACCGAACCGGAGTGAGAGAGATTCATACGTGTGCGTGACCTGAATAAAGTACCAAGTACCTAAGATAGATTAGCCCCGGTCTCTAGGGCCACGAATTTTCTGCAGGGGAGCAAGGTTCGAAATGGTTTCGACTGATAAAAGCCGATGATGTGTAACTCGTGGAACCCATAGATTACACGTCCTCCTCATCTTAGTGCAGGCACATGCATACTATATGTATGCTGTATGTACATGATTTGCAACTCCATAATAGGATAATCCATTGAACCATCTAAGAATATTACGTCTCATGTGCTTTGGGCGATAGATGCTACTATTGCGGGCTTTACGGTCATGGCAAAGGACCAAAACAAGCCCAACTCTCTGCTCTCTATCTTCTCTCGTCTGTATTAACCTAGGCAATCTTTAACTTTTAGCGCTGTTGCATATTTACTATGATAGGTATTTTCTGGGTAGGGATTGTTGGTGATGCCGGAGAGGCACAATGCTATTTTCAATGCACTAAGCCCCAAGCGGATAGGGCGATTCGCTAGTCGGATGGCAAAGTCTTGAAAGATCGTCTGTTTCTTTCGCCTAAGCTTGGTACGCTACGACTTTCTCTGGTACGTACTCTTCTCAGCTCTAGCGGCCGCCGAACCCAAACTTCTTTTGTATTTTACCAGGTACATAACAATATACATGCTCGAAATCTATAAGACTAAAATATAGAATTAGTATTAGTCGTCGGATCTTTTCATAGGTACCTAACCTATATAATAAACAAACTAATTTTTACTATAATGCGGTTATTTCCTTACGTGTTCCTATTGCATTGAAGCACGACCGATCTCAGTTTTCTTAGATCCTCTCCGATTGCGAATTTCCGGGTGTACCCCAGCCAAGCGACCTAGGTAGCCAAGCCAGGATGACGGATTAATAAAATGATAAACCCTGATCATTTGCCTGTGGAGTCGTCTGGAGTTTCGCTGTCGTTTCTATTGTTCAAAGGAAAATTACCTCATAGGCTAAGCCGTCTTGTCTCCCTAGCAAAATAGAGTCTAGCCTCTCCATCCATCCCTCCCACCCGACAGAACACCTGCAGCACCAGGAAACGCCCTACCGCTACCGCGTGGATCATCAATAAGATGTGGTGAAAGAATGTCACTGAGACACACTGTATGATGAAAAGAAAGCTACGATGTCGAACCTGATTCGGACAGGGTTTCTATTTAAGCAATATGCAGTAGAGCTATTCGACAATGCAATTTGATAAAGACTAACCTATTCGCATGGTAAAAAAAAATGGGGGTCCTTTTTAAATACTTTTTGAGGGAGAAGGAGAGGGTTCGACTAATAAATCAACTCAGTGCTGATGTCCAGTCAAAATCTTGCAGCGGAGCAACAGCCCTACACTGTACAATCAAAGTCGCCCCGAAGCAGACCCCTTGCACTCTCAGAGATTTCCAATTCAACTCTCGACCCCGTATGTTGTTATGAGGTAGCTAGGTTAGGTACCTAGGTAAATTAGTTAAGTTAAATGTGCAAACCGTTTGCATTGGTTATACGTCGATTAATACTTCGTTCAGACGTTTTTATTCTAAAGTCGGTCGCCGTCTGTTAGGTACTTCCCTAGGTAGTACATACATAATGTACCTAATATATTTACATGCCCTTATATGTAGATACTTAGGTACTTATGTAAGTTCAATGTTGTTTAATCATGCAAAATTGGGTTAGTTACATACCCTGTAGGTACCAAGGTAGGCTGTAGCTCCCCCAACTAGCAACGGCGTGTAGGGTATGTACTTAAGCACTCCGTACTAAGATGGATTTGGCGTGGATCTACTAGGAAGGCAGTACCATAGTAGCTTAGCCCCTGCCCGTGGATGCATCTCAAATCATTCAAGGCCTGACAACCAAAATCTCGTTGTCTTCTTTCCTTCACCATCCTCATAAGAAGAGATCAAAATACCGCCTATCCCAGTATAAGGACACCATTGTTCGAACTATTAGATATTGTAGCATCATACCCCTTCATATAGTCCTTCGTTTGCGACCATGAAGGAGTATTTAGACTCTAACCGAGTCAATTTCTTGATTTGGAGGTATGTTTTTCTTACTTAGGTATCTCCGGTTTTCTTCACACACCAGAGTGCTTGTGCCTTTTTCCGTACCCCCGTTACTCCTGTGCCGTCGCTTCTTACCGGGTCATTGACATCAAATCGCAGATATTTAATAGAAGGCAGTACGTGTTTCTCATAACGCTATCGCGCACCTCACGCATCTTGAGCTATGCAATGATGTGTGAGTGTGTATGTGTATGTGTGTACATACACAGCGGTGACGTTGCTATAGACGGCCGGAGTCAAATTAACCTGAAGTTGCAGATTATCGAGAGACAGCCGTCAAGTTCCAAAAAGAGTGGCACGTCGAGGAACCTCACCGACAGCTAGATTTCGCGCAACATGTTAAAAGTCATGCGCTAGTCAATGTCATAAACAAGGGTCTATTGTATAACTCATTAGAAAGAGAGCATGCACAGTCGCAACAGGTATGTCGATGCAAAAACTGAATTCGCCCTAATTATTTTCTATGCGAGGTGCACTGCGCGCGACAAGTCTCCAACACATGTTGTGATGGAGTCAAAATCATTTTTGCTCTAATTTTGTCCAAAATTCGGCCAGATGGGCACTGACAGGTTTCTTCTGCGTAGTTAACCCGTGATGCCGCTGCGGCGGCAGTGGCCGAGGCGATGCAACTAGGTATTTTTGGTCCACTACTTGCAGGTCCACCGCTTCACCAGCAGGAGCAGGAGGAACAGCAGCAAACAGAGGAAATGGACCAGGATGACGAGGCAGAGACAGAAACAATAGCTGCAGCGACGACTACGTCCGGTGTTGATGCAGAAAATAACCGAAAGCGTCAAATTGAAAGGCAATCACAAACGGCGCTTCTGAATGGTTCCCCAGCTAAGCGACCAAGACTGAGTAATGGGTACGAAAATGGGGTGGATGCAGCCACAACTCCGATGGAACTTGACGGGCAGAACCACGACAACCATGCTTACCCTTCCCCCCAAGAGGGCGAACAGGCGCCAACGCCAACTCCCCGAACTGACGGGCCCGACCAGGGCACACAGGTTGACAAAGTCCAGGAATTGGCCACCGAAACCACATTTATCCCCCTAGGCTCTGGTCACGACGATGCGCCAACATCTTCGCCAACCACGGCATTGGCAAGAATCAATGGCGAGAACGCGCCTGTGCTACTGCATTGTCAGTGGCATCCCCGAGATCCCACCATCTTGGCGGCTGCTGGAACCGATGCGCTAGCCCGCATCTGGAACGTTTCTCGTGGAGCCACAACCGACCCTGCATTCAATGGTCACGTGAATGGCGCCGCCCCAAGTTTTCATTCCCTAGTCGAAGACGATATCAAGTCCACGGCTACAGTTACTGCCATGGCCTGGAATTGGGACGGGTCTACTATTGCTATCGCTACAGATTCTGAATCGAAAGCTCGAATTGACCTCTGGACTTATGAAGGTGCTCATCTACAACGTTTCGAGGTTGCCGAACCTCCCGTCTTTAAATTGCGCTGGAATCCTAATAATACAGCTATCTTGGGCATCGCACCAGATAACGGCGGTGCCTTAATAACTATTTACCATGCCTTATCGACTAATACGCTAACATATTCCCTCCCACGACACGATCTTGATTCGGAGCCGCTAGATGCTGCATGGATTAGCGAATCTGAGTTTCTAATAGGTGGTGGTGACTTATTAATAGCTTTGAGGTGTGCTGATGGGGAAATTGGTGAAATCCGGAAGTTCGACACTCGCGAAGGTGATACCTTAACCCAAGTTCAATTTGATTGGAAAACTTCGCTGGTAGCTACTTGTGGGGAGAAAGGTTTTGTCGACGTAAGTAGTTCCCTCTAGTCCAGGCGAAATTAGGCTGCTTTCTAACGGGTGCATGATCAGATCTGGGACAGCAACGGTAAGCGGCGTGAGATAGAAGCGCACTATGATGCGGTCACGGCGTTAGCTTGGCAGCCTTTGCAGCAGGCACCCTCGGATGACGAGCGGCTCTTGGCTTCTGGTGGTGAGGACGGGGCTATTTTTATATGGAATGCCCTAGCTCTCAACGGAAAAGCGAAATGCTCTATGACCATGGATTCGCCAATTGTTTCGATGGCTTTTACCCCCGACGGCGCATTTATTGCTGTAGCTACAATCGAGAAGATTTTAATCTGGAAGGTCGGTGACTGCAATATTCCCCGGGCAAGTTGGAGCCGAGCGCCCCATCCCGGCTGGCTTAGCCCGCGAATGAATCCCGACCCGGAGAAGGAGGATGAGCATTGTTTAGAATGGGATATAACAGGCCATAAACTTGCCTATGGAGTCAACAGCCGGGTAAGCCACGATACCTAATTTATTTAACCCCAAGCTAACAAAAGCCAGCTCGCTATTATCAACTTCCGATGATAGACTACAATTATATATTCGTTCCCTTCCACTAGCAAACGCAAAGAATTACGTTACATCCCAGTTATTGTTGGGATGATAGCGACTATCATAGCGTATCAGGATATATTTGTTGGCTCGAGGCCTTAACTGGTTGCTAGTAGCGAAAAGTCGCTACCAAAGGCATACCAATATTATTACTGCATTTCCGAGTGCAATATCTAACTCCCACGAAGCTATAGAATCTATGGTCTAGTATCGCAAGGTCTAGACTCCTATTGGTAACGGTTTAAAGAAACAAAGGACAGCCGTTCTAGGTTGTGAAGCGAATCGTCGCGATAGGTGTCATGGAGCTATTGTGGGGACTGTCACTACTGATTTGTTATGACAAAAACGAGGAGACGACTCCTGGGTATCGGATCGGCATGTCTGGCTATCTTGGAGGCGGCGAGGCGTTACTATCATATAGCTAGGAGCATTGGGGCGAGGCATTTTTCCAGGTATACATAAGCTAACGGATTGTCCTTTTTTGTATAAGCACTACACCCGGCATCCACAGCGAATCTGTGTCAGAGTACGAACTGTGAGAGTCATGTCAGATAATTTTATTATGTCGTTCAACCCTAGCCTAGCTCAACTCTACGACTTCCACCTCAACAATGTGAAAGTGTGCTTTGCAAACGTATATTTCCCCTGGCCATTCCACTTCCCTTCCGACAAGCTAACCTCCTCCTTGCCCTCTTTATTTGTCGAACTAACTTGAGATCCCGACACGGTGTATATAGATACATCGGCACCAACACCCTTTAGCTGGGCGGCGAAGTCCTCCGTCTCGCTAATGTTGACAACGACCAAGTTAACATAGCCATCGTCACCAAGGGCGGCACTAACATCGAGCCACGCCGCACCCGTCTCGCCTAGCGTCCCTTGTAACCAAGCCGGCGTCGTCTCTCCCTCGTAGGCACCGGACCGCACATGCGTCGCAACAGTCTGGCCACGCATGTACTTACTAAACAGCAGCAGCGGCCACCACGTAGCCTGGCGCACGACGCCATGCTCGTTCGTCATAAGGGGACTAATGACATTAACCGTCTGCGCAATATTCGCCATGCCCATGTACTTGCTCTGTCGCACAAACACATTCAGCCACACCCCGACGGCCAGGGCGTCAGACAACGTGTACTGCTCCTCGGCGCCCTTCTCGCCGGGTGCGCGCTCCGGATCCCATACGTTCCACTCGTCGAAGCAAATGCGCGTGGGCGGCTTCGTGGGAGAGACTTTGTTCTCGATGCGCGCGAGATCGATCAGCGAGGCGGTGATTTGGATCGCGCGCTCGGCGGCTAGGGGAGCCGTGGCGTTGTGCAGGTGCTTGTTCGACGCCGTGTATATGTGGATGCTGTGCATGTCAACCCAGCCAACACACTCGTGCAGTACGTAGTGGTCCCAGGAACTCTGGCCGTCTTGTCCGCAGAGGATTAGCTCGATGCTGGGGTCGAGGAGACGCAGGGCTTTAGCCCATTGGATGGCCTTCTTGGCATAGTCCTCCTTGGTCATCTGCTCGACTTGCCAGGGGCCCCAGACCTCGTTGCCGAGGGCCCAGTACTTGACGCGGTAGGGCTCGGGGTGACCGTTGGCGCGGCGCAGGTTCGCGTAGTACGTGTCCCGCGTGCCGTTGCAATACTCGACCCAGGCAAGGGCCTCGTCGAGCGTGCCGGTGCCGAAGTTCAGGCATAGGTACGGCTCTACGCGGTGGTGCTTGCCGGCCGAGAGCTTATCGAGCCAAAGCATGAAGTCGTCAGTGCCGAATTGGTTGGTCTCGGTGCCGAGCCAGGCTAGTTCCGGACGGGAGGGCCGCTTTTCGCGGGGCCCGATGCCGTCTTGCCAGTGGTACGTTGCGACAAAGTTGCCGCCGGGGTACCGCACTACTGGGATGTCGATCTCGCGAAGAGCCGAGAGCACGTCTGTCCGGAAGCCGTCTTCATCGGACAGGGGGTTGGATGGATCGTAGATACCTCCATAGATGCAACGGCCCATGTGTCTTGGTTTATGCTGTTAGTTATCTTGTTTTATGTTAAAGGTGAATGTCCCTTACTCGGTAAAGCCGCCATATATCATAGGATCTATTTTAGACAGACGTTTGGCCGCATCTACCTCGATAAGGGGAGTTTCATCTCCCGTGATCTTTGTGAAGGTAGTCATTATGATTTATTAAGTAGGTTAGGTACTTTTCTCCTTTTCCCTTAATGTACAATTACAAATTCGGAGTATACTCAGGAGAAGAGTATTAGAAGAAGACATTATCACCAGCCCGGACTCGTCTGTTATTCATATGATATTGGGCTCTCCGCTACGCGCCTCTCCCCTCACGTATTAGGGTCCACCGGAGACCGGAGCGGGTACGGGAAAGTTGTCCCATTCGGGAGAATCTTGCCCGTAGGAGTCCCGATTGGTGCGCATAATGAGGCGCGACAAGGAGTTCGTTTGATCCCGTGTTCAGCTTTGACGAAGGTCAGGATGAGAAACCAATAGTTTATAGGTAGATTAGAATTTTATTAGTTAGACTCATTCTTAAGATAATAGTTGGATGAGGTAAACATTTTCTTATAAGGTGAGTAGGGTGCATATACGGTACATATATACATATACTCGCTATACACTACCTACATATATGTACGTAAGTTAACTCTAATGTATGTCTCTATCATAATGTACCTAAGTACTCAAGTATATACATACATAATTCATCTATTGAAACTCGACTCCTTGTCAATCCCAGATCAGATCGGTCAGTACTCACGTTACCCCGCGGCTAGATATATGTATGTAGGTACCTAGGTATGTACATTACCCTTTCCCCAAGTACCAAATTATGTACGTCAACTTACCTACCCCCACACCAAGCCCGCAGCCCGTACCCGGCACCGCGGGAAGGAACTACTACAATATCTGGCTTAGGTTTATAGATAGTGTGATGTACCTAGTGTAAATATTAAACGCCGGGGCCAACTGTCAACTGCCAACTGCCAACTCGCTAACACTACCTACCTACTCGCTACACTACTCGCTACTCGCTACTTGTTACTTGCTACCTATTTGCTACTCATTATGTACATACATACATACATACTTTCATACTTACAACCACCTTTACTTACAACTTACACACAACACTCGCATTGCATCCATCCGTCAATCAATTAATCCTCGACATCCCTTTCCCCCCCCATAAAACCACCCTCCTCATTGGGTCAAGCTCCTCGATCACTTATCACAAACTAAACCGTCTTATACGTAATAACTATATATTAGGTTAGGTACATACAAACCGCCTTTACACTACTACTGACCGACGACACATTTTCGGCATACCGAGACAAGAAGAAATAACAGAACGCACATTAGCTTCGCTAGGGCGACCCGGTTTACCAAAAAAAAAATCCCACCAATACATACACATACCTACCTACCTATCTATCTATCTTCCAAGTCCAAGGCAGTGGGGGAGGAGAACAAAGCTATCTAGTTTAGTTTAGTCCTAAGTCCAGTCTAATCTAATCTAATAATGAGCAATCATCACGTTCCTACCGGTGGCTACACCCCTGGCGGAGCCGTGGCAGTGGGCGTTGGAGTTGGAGTTGGAGCTGGAGTCCCGGACGACGAGTTCACGGCCGAGATGCGGGATCGACAGGCTCGGGGGAAGGATCCATACGAGTCGTCCGATGCTAGTAGCGATTGGGGTCCTGAGGGGAATAGGAAGTATCGGGCTGGAGGGTATGTCTTCTCTCTTTACTTATCTAGTGATATCTACTCCTCCCTTTACTGGTATACGTTACTCGAGAATTTGTACAACTCTATACGCTAGGTATGAACTAATACACCGTCTCAACTCTAGCGGAAAAGACGAGTCTTACGCCGTACTTGAGCGTCGCCGCGTAGCCGCTCAAGTTCTAGATAGCCCGGAACTACTAATGATGGCAGCGCAGCGGGACAATGAGGTACTTCCCCCTTTTCCCCCTTCTCTTATTGCTTTCTTGTAACCCCTATTTCCTCCTTATCTTTCTAAAGACCAACAATATTCACTCTCCTGTGTTCCGGGTTTACTCTTGTATTCTACTCCTATTTCTTAGGTTCTTAGCTTTTACTTCCGCTCCCTTACATCGATCCTAGCCCCGTGTATTCGTTCCCTAACAAAAACATGCAGAGTATACCGGCTACTCGGCTCCGCTACACCCGCATGCTATGCGGTTTCGAGGAGCCGCCGCAGCCGCAGTCAGCACGTAAGAAATCGCACCGCGGCGGTGGTAGCGATTCCTCACGCGCACCGGGAGGGTCGACGCCCAGTCGTTCGAGTAGGAAGGAGGCTCGGTGAAGTATGAACAGTTGAGTAGTTGGGTAGTTGTGTTGGTGATAGCAGTAGAGAAGAGCGAAGGAAGCAATGTCTAATTCGGTTGTTTGGATAGTTGGGAGTTGCCTGTGTCTGTTGGATTATGAAATCTATTAGCTCGACGAGAAGAAATCCGTGGACCCTACATTATATAGTTTAGAGGGTGAAGTTTAGTAGGAGTAATAAAAGGGGAAAGAAAGGGGGGCGTTATGATGTAGGCACAACGACGTCGAGAGAATATGTTTTGTCCTCTCCTCGAGAAACTATATCCATATTATATTATATCACCGGTGAGGAATAGACAACATTTATCCCAAGCCGTTGGGCAGCAAGAACCTTAGCGTAGACGCACGGGGTACCTAGGGAACGGGCCATCTGTGAAGTTTTACTACCATTACCAGGCATGATAGATCCTTTTTAAGTGCGTCATCCGAGAAAAGCAATACCAAGTACGATCGTTGCTAAATTTGGGATAAGGATAAGTATTAAGATCTACGGTATTACAGAAAGCCCTTACGATAGGAAAATATATAGAGATACAGAAAAATACCTAAGGTATAGAGACAGGACCGGCGGGCTTATAGTGTGTTTATTTGTTCCTGGTCATAAGCGTTCGTCATCTAGGGCCATAGTATTTAACCAAACCCGAGTTCCTCATCTTCTGTTCTTCTTCCCAAAAGCCAAAATTCAGCTCCGAGACCCTGCTGGCTCGCTTGCTGCTTGCTCCCTACAATAGATAACTCCTAGTCCCGATATGCCAACTAGGTAAGTAAAAACTATAGACCTATACCTATACATATATACCTAAAATAGTAGTCTCCAATGCTATCCAAACACCGAATAATAAGTCCCAAGTTTCGTAATTGTGAGCACAAGATATGCACCTCAACTAAATGCATGCTCAGCCTAGAACGCCTGAAACACCGCAATATGATGAACCTTGTGAATACCCTCTATGATACCCTACACCTTCTCAGATTCCCCAGTCGCCAGCCTAGGTTCTCTCAACCCGAGCGGCTACGCATACCGCATTGTAGGTGCTCTAGGTGGCATCCACTGATTTTCGCCTTGCCAGGACTGTTGTTGCTGTTGCGGCGGACCTCGATTATTTCTTCCTGGAGCTGCTGGGGGTGGACGGGAGACTGGATTCGCAACCCACGCACCTCCGGCTCCACCAACCCAGCTGCTATTCGGTTGAGTTGTCTTGGCTATCTTTCTTCTCCGTGACCTACGTCGACAAGATGAAAATATACAACATAACAAGCAGAGTACGATGAAGCCACCAACGGCTGAGGCGACGGGGATGATAATGTGCTTGTTGTCGTTGAAAAAGCTTCCTACCTGGTCGGTGAAGCTTGATCCCTTACATTGTCCATTACCACATTTCCCTCCACCTTGGCAAGGAGTGCCATCTAGGAAGTGTTGCTTCATATCATAGCAGGCGTTTGGCCCGAGATCAGATGAAGCGCACCGAAGTTGACAGGTCTGCGAGTCACAAGCTGACGTCGCGTTATTGTTAGTCAACGAACCTACTAACGTCCGGCATTGTAAATCACGAGAAGTACACTGTCCGGAGGCGCAGGTCAAACCACCACCACTGGCACCGCAGGCTTGACCATCTGCTGACTTGACATCGGCAGGACACGTCCCAGAATTACCACTACAGGTCTCCTGGGGGTCACATGTACCAGTGCTGTCTCTGCAAACCGAACCCGACGATTTGAATTGACATTGGGCCGTACAACAGTCTTCGTTGGTCGGATCGCATACGGCATTGGTTTTAAATCGACAGGTTCCTGGATCGCAGCAGCTGTTATTGGCGCATCCTTCTTCACCTCCACAATCGCAGTCCTCTCCTGTCTCCACGATGCCATTACCACATTGACTTGGTGAGATTGTAACGACGTTTTTATTGTTCGTCAAACAGCTTGACCTTACACTATTCCGACCCATAGCCGAGCAAATGTTGCCAATAGTACAAGGGGAGAATTGCGTAACGCCGTCAGAGGTAGATGGGTTCATAATGAAAGCTCCGTTAGCATTACACGTAGAGCTACTAAGTGGACAACACTTCTGCATCGAAACCGTGCCGTCTGAGCAGGTGTCGGGTACACAATCGTGGAAAGCACCAAACGTGTGACCTGTTTCGTGCGCAAATACCTGCCATTCGGTCGAGGTTCGAACGACGACGTTGGCTCCCGCGATTGTTTCATTTCCTCCGCTCGAGTCTGCTTGAGTTCCCGATCCTTGGGAGCATAGCTGTCCTAGCCATGCTAATCCTACAGCTGCATCGGTATTGCACGTACTCATTAACGTCCAGTACGCATTGGTGTCGTTAAACCGACCTCTCCACTCGGAAAATAAGTTAAGTCGATTCGTAATCGTGACACTATCGCCACAGGCGACATTCCATTTGGCACTATCCGGAGGGGTTCCCGGGCATACCGCATCACTGATGGTTAGGTTTTGGATACCTAGGGAGATATTGAATGAACTTTCGAATAGCGCTGAGGCCGAGCTAACCTGCTGAACGATATGGGAACGCACATCACTCTTATTAGGAAACTGCGCCGTATATGTGCAATCTGCTGCGATCCCGACCAGGGCAATCTTGCGGGTGGTGGGACAACCTTGAGTAGACCCGATACTCTGAGTAAGATTGACACCGGCACCGTTCCCAGTAGTCGTCCCGTCAATCTCGTCTCGGCCGAAGAGGCTATTTGCATCCACCGCCGATAAATCACGGAGATCCAAGCCCCGGTGCACAGGATGCTCGTCCTCGTTATTGAAGTTAAGCATATCAGACGAACACGAGTTCTCACCGAGATCGCGCTTCAATTCTGAAATATCGTAACTCGATTTAATGTCCGAATCCCTCCAGACGACCATGTACTCGTCATCGGCAACATCCGCACTAGGATCATCTTCGTGCTGCGTTTGTCTATAGTTAGAGCTCGTCTGGATGTGGTGGTGGTTCCCGTTGACCCGAAACGTTCCCTCGAATAACGGCCTCGGACCATCTCGATAGACTGTTATCCTCGCCCAACCGGAATTGATCCATTCAGAATGATGCGGATGTTGTACGAAGGCGTGGCCCTTGAACACCTTGTGGTCGGTCCTTTGTATCTTCTCTTCCGTCACAGACCCATCAGGACTAAGATAGCGTACCACTGCTGAATCTGAAAGCACATCGAGGTTAGGTTCTAAGGATATCCGGATCTTGTCTTTCTCGTCGTGTAGTAGGAATGTGAGATCAAATGAAGCATAAGCGTGGACTCGATTGGAAGCGGTATGTATTACGGGGTTATCGAGCCGACTGATATAATTCAAAGCATTTCGTTTAACGGAATGAGCAAGTGAGGAATGTGATAGTGCTGATAGAATGACGGCCGCAGCCTTGAGAATACCGCGCATGATCGAATGGGTGAAGCCCTGCTCCGAGGACAATTACTTGTTCTCAAGACCCCATGCGCCGGCGCAATACTAACAAGCTGTCGCCACGGGCGTCTCGAATTGGAATATTACAAAAAAAGAAAACCAGGAAATTATCGTTGTAGTTGACAGATCGGCGAAAGAACAACAATTAGAGTGCTTCAATGCTTCAAAGAGCATCAAACGTATATTAAGATTTCCAGGGAGAAAGCGGAACCAGAATGAAACAAGCAACAGATGCCGTAGGTGCCGATGCCAAGTGAATTACACGCAATAAGGACGAACTAGATAGGCTCGGCAGCGTGCTGAGGGAGGCTTGGTTCTTAGTTCTAGAGGGGCTGGGATCTTCGTCAGGTTCGGTGCTCACAAATCCTCGTATATATCAGTCGCTAAAAACAAATGATGATTTTTCAGACTAATAAACCTGAGGAAATGATTAGAGCCAGAGTTGAATACGGCTGATAGGAAAGAAGGAAAGCAAAAAGACAACATCCATAATGTTTCAATTGCAAGAAAAAAAAAATGCGAAACAAAAAAGAGGGTGGGAATATGGTAAATGTGGCTGCGCAAAAGTCCTGTGCCTTTGGAGATGGATGCAAAGAATAGGCTTTTGGTAGTAAGGCAGCTTAGAGCCAATAACAGTCACGTATTAATTCGAATTATTGCTGGATGGCAAAGGGCAGGTAAGACAGTCCCTAAAGCGGGGGCAACTGCTACTTACCTGCATGTATATACGAAGGTACGGATCCGGACGTACCTATGTAATGTGTAGGTATATTATTATATAAGATCTGGGGTCCTCTTCACTTATACCTCCGACAATGATTGGTTGTACCGACTGTCTTGGCGGCCAGCGAGTTTACTTCATAAAGAGTACCATCTTCTCCTCCAATTCGTCACCAACGTCCATGCATACGGATAATCAATAGCCTACAGAATATACTACATTGAAAGGTACCGTACTGGCAATATATGGTTACCTGACTATGACTACCTGTTATGATAGTTAGATTAGTTAACGAAGTATCGAAGCGGCAAAACAATCCCGGCTTACATATTACTATTTATACGAATTACTCCGCAAGCATCCTGTAGGGGTGTTTCAGGAGTCTACCCGGACAAACCCTGTGAATTAAAATACTAGTTACATAGTTCCCGTTGTGCTTGAAATTGAAAACGACGTTTATATTGAGGGCAAGGCCGCATCGTTTAGGAAGTAGTTTCTGTTCAACTGTGCCCCCTATCGGACCGAGCCGCGTCCTACATACAAACGGTACAGCAATAGCTACGCCTTTAACAAACTACTTGTAGCCACCAATTTCGGTAACGACGGCATCAGCCACTCCTACTCGCCAATGTCTGTTATCTCCGTGATTTGCGATGTAGGAATCGGATCTTCCTTACCAAGTAGTCTCTCCCCGAGGCCATAAATCCGTCTACGTCTCTTTAATAGCACCCAGCGCTGACGCCAGCTCTCTAAGTCGGGACTTCTGCCAAGAAACTGGCCTGCAAAAACTCACTTCGAATAAGACTTGTGTGACGCGGCCTTCCGTCTTAACCTTTATAATGTTACCAGTCATGAGGGTCTTGAGCTGTGCCTCCTTCCTACGGATACCTACGGACGTAACGGAACTGGATTCGTGCAACGTGCGTTTTAATATTATATAGTAATGTGGCTAATGAGCTAGTTAACGCCCTTTTTACGTACTGCTCATGAGGTGAAAAACTGCAAAGTATACTTCTGCAAAGATGCAATTAGCTAGTATCAACTATTATGTTGATACGCCGTCTATACACAGAGTTGGTTTCAGCCATTTCGTTGACGGAGCTGTCCAACTGCAATGCCCAAAACTAGGTAACATTGGTTGAAACTGGAACGTCGAACCATCCAACTTATGGTCGTATCAGCGCCACGACACCGGGAGCACAAACTCAACCGCTAAAACAACAGTGTCACTAGTCGGATCTTATACGTTCCAAATCCCCCGCATATCTAAGACATAATGGTATCAGAATTCGAAAAAAGGAAGCAAAAGCTTTTATAAGCTTCACTTTCTCTTTGCCTCGTGTACGATGGTGATGATCTTCTCAACTATTGAGGGGTCGGAAAGCTATTACACAATGAGTAGGCATTCTAGAGGGGATGAGAAGGTACTTACCGTTGTTACATCACCAAGCTGGTCTTCCTCACCAGCCAGAATCTTTCTCAGGATACGGCGCATAATTTTGCCACTTCGGGTCTTCGGCAAATCGGGCACGATGAAGACTGCTTTAGGTGCGGCAAACGGACCGATACTCTTTCGTACCTGCAGGATGAATTCTTTTCTTAACGCATCCGATGCCTCGTTGCCGTTCTTGATCGCCACAAATGCGTTGACCGCTTGCCCAGTAAGTTCGTCGGCAACACCAACAACGGCAGCCTCAGCTACGGAATGGTGCTCTATTAGGGCAGCCTCGATTTCTGCTGTCGACAGACGGTGTCCACTAACGTTGACCACATCGTCTACTCGTCCTCGGATCCAGTAGAAACCCTCGTGGTCACGACCAGCTCCATCACCAGTGAACTTCATTCGGTTAGTAATTTGAAAAGCACAGTCAGAACCCGTATACTTACATAGTAGCCCTTATAGACATTCAGATACGTATCCATATATCTCTTGTGCGCACCCCAGACAGTGCGGGCCATGCTGGGCCAAGGTTGCTTGAAGGCCAGAACACCTTCAACATCGTTCCCGTGTATCTCCTCGCCAGATATCGGGTCGATAATGGCAGGTTCTATACCGAAGAAGGGCAGAGAAGCACTGCCCGGTTTCGTGGGTGTTACTCCTGCCAGAGGAGTTATGACATTCGAGCCAGTCTCAGTTTGCCAGTAGGTCTGTCCTGTTAGAACATATTCCTTCAAAAACGAGAGGTTTCAACTTACATCGACAATCTGTGCTTCCTCTTTGCCTACGACTTCGAAGTACCACTTCCAAACTTCAGCCGCGATAGGCTCGCCCACCGACCCCAGTACTCTCAACTTCGGCATATGGGCCTTGACGTAATCGTCACCAGCACGCTTCAATAGTCTCAATGCAGTCGGTGCTACATAGAATTGGGTGACTTCGTGCTTCTCGATAATGTCCCAGTATCTCGAAAAGTTGGGGTAGGCCGGAGTGCCCTCAAAAACGACTGTGGATATGCCGAGGAGAAGAGGTGCATAGACGACGTATGTGTGGCCGGTAATCCAGCCGACATCTCCACCGCAGAAATACCGATCTCCGTCGTGGATGTCAAATACATATTTGCCAGTCAGCGCGGCACCGAGCAGATATCCGGCAGTAGTGTGCATAACACCCTTTGGTTTGCCGGTCGAACCCGATGTGTATAGTAGGAAGAGGGGATCCTCGGCGTTCATGACTTCAGGGGCAATGTATGACGGCCATTTCTCAACCTCCTCGTGCCACCACAGATCGCGACCCGGAGTCCAGGGAATTTCAGCGCCGGTGCGCTTGTAGACCAGAACGCCAGCTACATCGGGGCATTGCTTGAGCGCATCATCGACGATCTTCTTGGTACCGATCAGCTTGCCACCTCGTTTTCCTTCGTCTGTGGTAATCACCACTTTGGATTGGGCGTCGATGACACGGTCACGTAGGGAGTCGGCCGAGAAACCAGCAAACACGACGGAGTGGATAGCGCCGATACGTGTGACTGCAAGGAAGGCAATTACGGCTTCCGGAATCATTGGTAAGTAGATAGCGACTGTATCGCCTTTTCTGACACCCATCTTCTTCAGGACATGTGCGACTCTGCTAACTTCACGAAGGAGCTCGCTGTAAGTTACGTTCCGGCCTTCGTTCGGTTCGTCAGCCTCGTAGATAAGCGCGACCCTGTTGGGGTCCTTGAATGCGTGTCGGTCGACGAGGTTGTAAGAAGCATTGAGCTGGCCTTCGACGAACCAGGCAACATCTCCGCCGACTAGGGAGCCGGTACGAACAGTCTCGAAATCTCGCTGCCATGTTAATAACTCCCTAGCTGTCCTGCCGAAGAACTTCTCGGGCTCGGTGATGGATTCTTTGTACAACTGTTGGTAATGCTCGAGACCTATATGCGCATTAGAAAAGAGGCCTAGTTTTATTTCTCGTGTAGTTTATAGTTTGGCCTTACTGTCGAGATGAGGTTTACTAGGATGCTCTAGTAACCAAGTTAGCTTCATTCATGATTTGCGCGTTGAACATAGTCCTATAACATAAATAAGGTCTATCTCACTTTCAAGCATCTTTGCCGGAGGGTCTATTCAAGCTCAAGTTAGCATTGCGGCCTGGGGTGTCACAAATACGGCTGGGGAAAGCTCACGATAGGTGTCAACCAGATGGGCCTCGGCGACCACCGGTGACTTGGATTGCTCACCCATGATAATGGCGGGGTGATGACGGCGTGTTGGTGACAGTGATGGTTTAGTTGTAGACACTGCGGGGTACTAAATTACGAAAAAAAAAAAGGACTGTTGAGAGAGTAATAAAGACTAATGTCTAGATATTTAGAAACAGGATAGAAACAGGATATTGTTTCAAGGTTATATAGAAATAGTTGAGCCACTACAGCTTCGTGCTTCGTACAAGGTTAAGAAAGTGAGGAAGAAAGGACGAAGGACAATTCATGAACGGGTAGATCTATGTATAGGTGACGAGGGCGAGGCACTTTTTGTATTACGGGAAATTTATTAGGAGAAGATTGAAATGAGCAGGCGCGGGACGTAGCAAGCAAAGCGTATTGAGGTATAGTGCGCCCACATATGCAGTTCCAGGTACAGCAGGTAGCACAAAAAGTACAAATAGCTACTTCCGTGGTTTTGTCATGTAGACAACGTTCGTTAATATCTTAGCTTCTTAGCTTATTAGCTTCTTAGCTTCTTAGCTTCTTAGCCTCTTAGCTTCTTAGCCTCTTAGCTTTCTAAAAGCCTCTAAAGACGCCTCTAAAACGTGACTTTTACTAGTCAAGACAAGCCTTGCTAATCCGATACCAGATGCACTTGACTGGACTTCGTTGGGGATTCGCCGACCCGGACCGGGGTCTGCTAAGGACCATAAAGGAACCATGTGGGTCTATTTTCTCTTCCGCTCGACCGTTGACAGCATCTTGCCTCAATGCCTATGTATGTACCGTACCTTCAATCCCCCCGTCTTTTCTCCATTCTAGACTATTTGATGGAACCTTCCAACGCCAACACTTAATTGCGATGCCCAGAGCGCCAAAGCGTCTCAGATCTTTGCTTGTTGGCTTGGAACATGAGAAAATGCATTCACCTGACTCTCGACGCACGCAGGCTGGTATTGATCTCACACCCTCCTTAACTGCCTAGATACCCTACTACGTAGCAATATGTACAATGGGTAGGATGGACTAGCTGAAGCTCTAGGCCGCAGTTCCCTTTGGACCGGGATATGATGTTGAACAATGTTGGGGATTTGGTAGATTACCTACCTGGTAGGTATTTAATAGTTTCCCGAGCTAGGCGTACGTACAAGTTGTAAACAAGCATCATTATAGGTAGGTAGCGAAGTCGGATGGACCGTGTAACCTATCGTAACCCATATCTTTCATAGCGAGACCGCACCGTGGGATTTATGGGATTTATGGGATTTATGGACCTTTACCGGGACTATGGGGCAATATTTAAAGGTGAAGGGCAACTGCGTCGCAACAACGTCCCGGACGATATTATCAGTACGTCGGCAGGGCTGATCCCCCCTCCTGCAAGGTTGGCCGGATCTAGACGGGGGTTTCTGCAGGTGAGAAGCTCAATATTTGTCCCGGTCCAACGGGGACAGCTATTGTACTTTATTGGCACCTAGACGAGAGAGATTTCAGAGCTCTCTTTTTGGGACCGCGTGGCTATTATTGCTAGCGCATGGATATATATGTATGTAGGGAACGAACATGTCACTTAATGTAACCAAGGATTATGGAATAGTATGGGTCACATTCGACAAGTATAGAATGTACAAGCTTCGGTGTCGTGATACTGTCTTGAGTATACCATGGCAATAACTTCTGTAATCCTATTAGTCAAGACTTTGCTCACCTTACACACCAAATCCCAATAACAAGGGACCGACAAGAACTCCAAATTACTTCGTCCCTCATCTCTCGTCCCCTTACCCCTCAACCCCGCGTTCACCTTTCAGACTAAATCAAGCCCTTGCAGCCAAGCGTACGCTAATCTTCGTCACTGGGAATACCTCCGCAGCTCCGTTGCCCTCGTGCCCATTCAGAAGGATTCAAATTCCGCTGCTTACATACATAAATACATATATACATGTCATTGAGTATCATTTACCCTTCAATAGGATGTGGCAATGAACCATTCTTTTGTCTTGGAAGATAAAGATATCTCTTGAGTTCTCGATCCGGATCCTACCTAAACCAAAAAAAAGCTACCTTTAACCTTGGTGGTCTACTTCATACATACATATATCGCAATGGCGTCACCTTTTGCCAAGCTTCCCTCGGCCCTTGTCTAGAGTTCGATTTTTTTGTTGGCGAGAGTGTGGGGAAAGCTAGCTAGTACTCTTTCTTCCCCAGTTAGCCATGCGAGATATGGCTTGGCGATATAACCATTATCGTGAAAGGCGAACTAGCTACTATCTTCACCGGGATGTTCTCACTTACACTATGACCGTGGAGAAGCCTTCCTAGCCTTGGAAGCTATATCATGCCATTCGCGTTCTTCCGAGATAGGTGTGTTGCGATAAGATCTATTGACATGTCCCTAACCGAGGTATAACTATGCAACTCGTATGGTCTACGGTTGTATTTATGCGACCTCAGAGCCTCACGTCCGACGGCCGTTCCGTCCGCTTGGTATTTAAGTCGCTTGCATTCGGCTCTTTTTATAAACATGACCATTGCCGGATCTTACCATCAAAGCAATGACATCCTCATGCGGGCCGGGACCAACTCGGCCTTTCGGAAAGACGACGCAAGACGACGCTCAAAGACGTTTCCCGAACTATCGGCTAACAAAATGGATATTGAATCGGCTTCATATTCTTCCAACCGCGGTCTTCGGACGTCTAATCCGGTAGGCCTATTATATTTCAGTGTAGATCAAAGTCTATCTCATCATCGCAAAATACCATAGTTATAAAGCTATCCGTTACTCCATAAGCTCCGAGCAGACTAAGCATGCCATCTCCTATGAAGCAGTGAGACTAAATCACATATCCATACTCATTAAATACATCTCGATTATCCGCATGAACTTAGCAACAAAAGCTTCTAGGTGGAAGATCACCTTGGCTCCCGTCTTTATCCTATGCTCGTAGAAGGCAGACCACTTAATGACTTCATACTTCAAGTCATCGTCGATCATAGGAATGAGCTTGAAAGTCAACGTCTTGAGTATCGTCGTAGGGGGTATGCAATGTGTGAGCAGATCGTAAAGCTTTGATCGGACTTGCAAGATACGGGCTGGTGAGTGCTCCTCCATAATCTCTTTGGCTATCTGTGCTATTAACGCCTCCCAATCCGGCGGCGGAATGGGCGTATCATCTTCAACTTTCTCGCTATGATCGGTCAGCTGGGTCGTGACGTAAGTAGGACGAGATACATACTTTTGAGCATGTACGGCCTCGTACATTAGCAGCGCTCTTCTAAGATTACGTCCGCTCTCTTTGGCAATCCGCTTATGTAGCCCTGCTACAACAGGCCATCCCTCTTTCTTGGCCGATTCCGCTAGGACATTCGCAATCTCATCGACCGTTGGGGCTGCGACACGCACGAGGAGCGTTCGACTTCGAATGGGCGCAATGATATTAGCTGTGCTGTTGGCGAGCAATATTAGTCGTAAATTTGGACTGTATTTCTCCATCGTCCTTCTCAAAGCCGCCTGGGCATCTCGGGTCAAGTGGTCGGCCTCATTTATGACAACGACCTTAAACTTCTGCTTGGCTGACTGATCGACTTGTTGAGTTTGAGCTACCTCTTTTAGCAAGTCTTGGACGACAACTCGGTCATAGTTTCCGACATCTGACGGGGTAATCTCGAGGTGGTAAACGGAGGCGACGATATTGAATTCTAATTTGCGGTTGCTGGTAGTCTGGAAGACACGGGCGTCGATCTTGATCTTTTCGACGCCAGGGCCATAGAGCTCCTTTAGAGTCGCAACAATGCGGGTCTTTTTACCCGCACCGGAGGGCCCATATACGAGGAGGTGAGGGAAGTCGCCGCTTTGAGCCTGTGTGATAGAGATTGCTGGGTTAGACGTGAAGAAGAACCACACAAAATTAGGACTACGTACCAAGGAACGAAGCCTCTCTGATAAGTCGGGGTGGTACGTTAAAGACTCGAGAGACCGAGGACGATGCTTGTCGACTATGAGGGCCATATTTACGATTATCAATATGTACGTTCGTCGAGTAATAGTAAATTTGTGTTAACGGACTTGAAGGTTATAAGGACATTATTCGTAAGTGTCAACTTGAAGCTAGGTACCTATCAAAATCAAAATGCGGATATATGCCGCCAAGAATTTGAGACGCGTTAATTGACTTTCTAACGCGTTTGTCCTTTTTTTTATCAGTGACCAATGCCTGCAGTTTGTGAAGAAGTGGCGCTAAGACATCATTATGTGGGGCGTGAGGTTTGTATTATGTAAACTAGCATTTACTTGACTAAGCCCGGTATACAAAGACGGGATCCCCGATGAGGGGTCTTTCGTGCCCCTCACCATTGAATATCTCCCTAAAGAAAACCTCACTTGGTCTACAGTTTGCGTAACTATAAGCCAATCAAGGACCTAAAGTACCTAAACTATACGTAAGTCATGCATCTTGCTTCAAATATTACCCGACACGTAATTCCCGGTCTAAATAAGTATACAACTCTGTCCTAGATACCAACGATCCTACTTTTACTCAACCGCAAATTGAACAAATAAACAATTCGGGAAGGCAAGACATTGGAACGGAGCTTCAAGACATTGCGGGTCGTATGAATACGGAATATAATACTGTTTCACTCGCGGACGCCCATTTCCTGCGGCCGGATAGGTAAGATAATATATAGGAGGTAGGGTAGTGAGTGTAGCGGGTAGGGATGGATTGTCGTGCCTTAATTTGAATTCCGGTTTCTTCCATCATGAGGTTTCAAATTGTCGAATTACACCAAAGGACGAATATCAAGCGTATCCATTCACATTGTATATACCAACATGTAAGTGCTACATGCCGTATACGCGATAGAAAAACGAAGGCAATGTAACTAGAAATCCTACCGCAACTTATTATGCATATTGTCGGGTAGCATGCATAGATCGATCAGCGTCCCCATTCTACGACATCGATGGGATGCCTCCTACAGGTCTTATTTTCGAATTGGGATTGACGAATGTTCTGTAGTATTGACATCCACTAAAAAATACCTAACATAGAATTGGTTTGGATACCTGGTTAGGTTAGGTACGTAAGCGATAGTAAGAGATACGGGGCAGCTGTAGACGCCATCATCAGATTTTATCTACTTCTACAACTGTACCGTACCTACTTTGACTTACCTTACGAGGTACACCTTCCAGAAAAATTAATGATTTGAACACCTTCTTCCTTCTCCTAACAACAGTACGTACATACTTACCGTACAGTACCTTACCCAATATCAGATTTGGTCTTGCCTGATTAACTTGTTTTTCTTCTCTACGATTAGAAACAACATAAGGTAAGTTCTCGCATTGGACAGATTTGATGTCAGACTTGATTGATCACCGACCCGCATCCCCATCCCATGACTTGCCTACTTTCCCTATTTCTTCAAATTGGAGCTTCGATTTCTGCGTGTACTTTTTTTTTTTTTTAAAACGATCCACACAACCTTGGAATCCACCCAAGCAACACCCCCCAAAGCACGACGTTCCTCTTTTGTCGCACCCCACTTTCTCTTTAGAACCCAAAGGGCACACCGACAACTATCGCGATATCATCTCCCCTTTTCCCACTCTTTCTTAAGTTATACCTAAGCTGTACTTATCCTGCGGCGTATTCTGACAACTGACGTCCTTTTAAAAGGAATCCTATCCCTCTTGGTTAATTGACAGCATCTAGTCAAGTAAATTCCATCTTATACTCCAACTCGTTACTTTCTTAATTTTACTGACATCGCATCGTCAGGCTCACCAACCAACTCGCGAACATGTCTTTCGGCAGTCGCAAGTTCTCCATGTAAGCTCACACCTCGACTCTTCGTAGCTGACCCTTCGCTATACATCATTTACGTTATAACGATTTGCAAATATCTTCCCAAGCCTTGCCGTAATGTTATTTATAAATATAACACTACTAAACAAATAATAGGAACAGGAACACTGGTGTTCCCCGACGAAGATTCAGTATCGGCGACCCAAGTGCCAACGGTATGATGTTTAAATTTTAAACCCTCTACACTAGCTCCCCGGATATTTGCGTTCATGCTGTAATACCGCCAAGGATAGCACGTTGCTGTCTATGTGTCGGGTCTAATATAGACTTGTGGCGGTCTTGGCGCTTGGCAAACGTGGTCTTTATGCTATCGTCCCTGTATGTCTTGGTTGATATATAATAAATCGCTAACAAGGCGCCTTGGCAGAAACGAGTTCCAAGATCCATCGTCAGTTCCGTGCTGCAAACCCGGGTCATCTTCCCCATGCAGGATTGGACGCCTCACGTGCCTCCACAGGTGTCGTATGGTGTACTGAGCGAGCCGCCGAGTATGGCTTCCTTGACGAGCCCGACAAGTGGGCCAACCTTGGTCAAGGTGCTCCCGAAGTCGAGGATGACATCGAGGGATGCTTTGAGCGCCCTACTACCATAGACGTCTCTGTTGCTCTTAGAGAGTATGGTCCCACCGCCGGTATCAAACCTCTGCGTGCCGCCGTTGCTAGAATGTACAACGAGATGCACCGTCAAGGCAAGGATAGTCAGTATTCGTGGGAAAATGTCGCCATTGTTCCTGGTGGAAGAGCCGGTCTGATCCGTATCGCTGCTGTGCTGAACAATGCCTATGTCGGCTTCTTCATTCCCGATTACACGGCATACAACGAGATGTTGTCGCTCTTCAAGAACGTAAGGTAGTTCTCATGAACTATAACGTCTAGTACCGTTAACAATACATAGTTTGCCGCCATACCGACACCTCTCTCCGAAGAAGATGGCTACCATATCCATCCTGATGTGATTGCGAGAGAGATCGCGAGAGGTACCTCAGTTATCATAACCTCGAACCCCCGGAATCCTACGGGCAGAGTAGTGGCCAATCCCGAGTTGGCTGAGATTCAGGATATTTGCCGCGGACGCGCGACTCTTGTTAGCGACGAGTTCTACTCGGGCTACAACTACACTAGCAACTGCGATGGTACCACGATCTCAGCCGCTGAAAATATCGAGGATGTAGATGAGGACGATGTTCTCATTATCGATGGACTCACTAAGCGATTCCGTCTCCCTGGATGGCGTATTGCTTGGATTCTTGGACCCAAGGAGTTCATTAAGGCGTGAGTCTTCGAAGAAGATATATTATAACTTGAGAATTGCGCTAATATCGTGTCTCTAGCATTGGGTCTTGCGGTTCGTACCTTGACGGTGGAGCCAATGCTCCTTTCCAAGAGGCCGCTATTCCTATGCTTGAGCCGTCCCTCGTTCGCAAGGAGATGGAGGCTCTTCAGCACCACTTTAGAGTTTGTAGTCCCTGATATACCCATTTGTATTTTAATTCAAGCTGACACAGTCGTGTAGGAGAAGCGAGACTACGTGGTTAAGCGCCTACGAGATATGGGCTTCGTGATCAAGTATGTACCGGATAGCACCTTCTACCTCTGGCTCAACCTTGAGGGTCTTCCGGGCCCTATCTCAGACGGGTTGAATTTCTTCCAGGCCTGTCTAGAGGAGAAGGTCATTGTTGTTCCGGGTATTTTCTTTGACTTGAATCCTTCTCGCCGCCGAGATTTGTTCGACAGCCCTTGCCACCACTGTAAGTCATACTCCTTTGCATGTATAGCCTACCGTGCTGTATCATGCTTTTAGTTTGATTATGTACTCAAGGTACTAATATCCCATCACAGTCGTCCGCTTCTCATACGGCCCCAGAATGGATGTTCTTAAGATGGGCTGCGATGGTATCGAGAGAGTCGTCAGCAAGTAAGTCAAAGTAATGATTGGGTCACAAAGTGTAGAACTAACAGCCGTATAGGTTTAAGAAGTATGTCCCTTAAATAGAGCTTGCATGTTTTACGAAAACACAGACCGGACGGGTATGATCTGCGCAAGGAGATGACTGCATCTTTAAACCTTTTTCTAGATAGAAAAGGAATATCTCAGGCCTTAGATTAGTATTATGTTAGAGGCTTATTGACGAAATAAATGTTTTTCCTTAAAAATCTTGTTCGTGCCGTGCTTTCGTCTCACCGCTCCATGCCCCTGGCTGTATGAAGAGACCTGACGTTGAATATGCCAAGCTCAAGAAGCTTAGACACAGGACCGCAGAGCACGTGAGATCTTACATCCAGATGTACCTCCGCTTTCTCCCCGCTCTCACATGCAGTCGAAATATTGTGGTCTTAGACATCTCGAAAGGAAGCTTAATACAAAATTTTACAAGAGTCGATTATGCATGTATTTACCATATTGCCTATGAGAAGTAAAATAGACTGGTCATAGCAATATTACTGCCTATTCACCGAAATAAGAACTTGCTTGTCTTCTATATCGTACACATTACGAAGACTCGAAACTCGGTAGCAGAATCGTGTATCCTCTTCTCAAATTACTACCTGAACCCTATCGTGCATTTTCATTGGTGACTGAGCCCCGCGGACCTCATAAACGCAAGCCCATTTCCCGTTACCACTGCTAAACGTCAAAGGCAAAAAAAAAAGAAATCAAGTCAAGCTACAGTACAAGCGATGGAAGGAGATGTTGATGCGGAATGGCACCATTCCGAGTAAAAGTTAATCCAGGTCTAAACCATTCACTCACTATACGCTGGTTAGTGGATATGCGAAGTAGAATTGCAACTATACGTACTAGAATTTCATCCTCCATTGGGGCGTCACCACTGGTGGCAGCAGGTGCAGCGCCGTTGGTGTTCTCATTCTGATTGCTAGCTTCGAAGTAATCCGCCATCTCAGAATCGAGCTCCTCAGCTGTCTTCTTGGCTGGACGGCTGTTGCGGGGTCCACGGCGCTTACGACCACGAGCACCGGCACCTGCGGCCTTTGAAGCGGCTTCCTTCTTGTCATTTGCTGCTGACTTGGGCTGAGCCTTAGGCTGAGTGATGCGCTCGGTCAAAGTCTTCGCGGGAGGTGCTATCTCTGCGGCCTTGGCAGCGCTAACGACAATCTCGATCTGTAAAATATAAGCATATTGTCAAGGATAATGAAACATAACAAACTAACCTTGATCGGTCGGTTGTCAACAAGAAGGCCGTTCAGAGCGTTGAAGGCCTTGCTGGCGCCATCGGGTTTGGCAAAGGTGACCGTAGCGATGCCACGGCTTACACTATTCGGGCCGTACGAAAGCTCCACTCGCTTGATAGGTCCAACTGAGGTCGCAAAATACTCCTATGGAGGGCACGAAGGTTAGTCTCAAAAAACCCATTCGAGGTTTGCGCAAGGCGGTAAGGCAATATCGATAATCGTGAGATCCTAGCCGACAGAGAAACACCCAGATTAAGCATCCAAAGGTAAGTCAACATCAACGAGCACGCAGTGAGCGTTAGTAATCAGCATCCAGCCCAACAGTGAGTAAACAACTCTGCAAGATCAGCCATCCGTCACCACTACCCCCAGTCCCAGAAGTTGAATGCACTCTCGAAAAGAGGACGTGATCTCCCACTAAACCACCAGACTGCCTCCAGGCAGTCAACCTTCATGTTCCATACGATATTATCGCGTCTAAGAACTAGAAAGGCTCGCCCCGCATAGCCTAATATAGGATAAACAGTCATAATACTTAAATCGAGATCGACAGTAAAGTCCGTCGCCTATTTTTTGCTGGAACGCTGATGCTCACTGCAATGCTCGTTGGGTTGTAATTATCCTATAAAAGGATGTGGTCTCGCTAGAATCATGGTCTCGTTTGCCGAGACAGCCAGCTTGTCATGATATGCTATAGTCCATTACGTCTGCGCATTGCTACCTGCATGGAGGGTTGCCAAGCCTACCGGAGGTCAAACAATATTGGTGCGCGACAAGGACAGCTCAACTCCCGACACTATAGTAGCACAATGTACATATGTGGTCGACGGAGGAGACTAGGCATTCCGACAGCTTCGTACTGGTCAAATTACACCATCTCTGGGTAAGAGGATAATCATTTCGATCGATTAAGACACGAGCGTGCGTTTCAAGGAAGATGTCGACGAAATTCCGCGGGCGACAGCCCTAGGAAACATACCTTAATTTGGCCTTCGTTCACATCTTTGGGCTAAAACAAAGTTAGCTACGTCTGAATTTGAAGCCGGACTATGTATAATGACTTACTAGGTTGCTGACAACCACCTTACTCTCTCCACTGCTGGTTGCTTTAGCAGGAATTTGCTTAGCCGCTGCAGCACGAGGCTGCCTCGAAGTCTTTTGAACGCCACCAACAGGAGCAGTTGTAGCGGGTCGTCTTGTAGATCGGCGGGGGTTTTGGCGACCTTTACCGACAACGCGGCGCTGGGTAGAGACGATTTCGTCAAGAGACTGATCGAGCTTTCCAGACATATTGATTATGGTTGATTAAGACTGATTATGAGGTGGTTATATGTGATCAGGAAAACGACGCGGGGGATATTCGCGTCGAAAGGTCAGGCTATAGGTAAAATTGGCCTAACGGATATGGCGATGCGAGCGCAACGGCTTACGAAAGAAATGCTGTTAATGAACAGCGATGATGAATGCTTGATGATTTGGCGGTGGCTGAGATGAATAGTAGCCGTGTGCGCGTTGCAAGAGGGATAAAATGGCGGGAAATAATTCGTGAGTAGAAGAGATGAAGGTAGAAAAATATTGTCTCGCAAGCTGGCAGGCGGCGACAAGGCGTTTACGGCTGACGAAGTTGGATGCAACCGAAAAGAAGAAAGTAAAATTTGAAGGTGAAGCAACTCTGTAGTCTTCTCTTCTTAGCGGATTTATGAAGGAGGGAAGATGTATTGTTAAATCGGCGTTGTTGATGAAGTGGAAGAAAGTAGAGGTTGCTTGGAAAGAGGCGCAGTTAAGAGGAAATCAGGGAGGGAGCGCGACGTTGGGTGGAAAACAATGAGTCGCTCAATCATCCCAATCATCCACTGAGCCGTCTACGGTCCCCACTATACGTGGCGTCTGCTACTAAGTTAGGGTTAGCGCATGATTTCTTATGTCGGACATGGTTGCCTTCTATGTTTAGGTACTTGAATACTTAAAGTACCTAGGTACGGATTTTATCTATTATTCATATGTACCTAGGTAGGTACGTTAAATACATATACATATATAGCGCATATTATCATTCAGGTACCTTAGAGGCAATTTCAGCTAGGTAATCTATCGTGACTTAGGAAATAATTAGCTAAACCACCTCTTCTTAATTATTTCGCTATTAGTTAGTTTTAACCATAGCGCGATGTAAGGCTTCTTTATCATAGGCGTACATATCTGCCATATCTTAGGGGCTCTGTCTTAGCTATTGTCACTGCAAAAGACGGGATATCAAATTCATTGTATCTGGGATTTGAATACGGCGCTTAAGGGACAAATGACGTGTAATCGAATCGTAGTCTAGTAACCCTTTAATTTGAGTCTTTTCTACAAGCCAATAAGTCCCTAGGAAAACAGAGGCTGTCCAGCTCATTCTGGAACATATAAGATCACCCTCTTAAGTAGTGTACACTAGTAGTACTGCAATCCCCTCTAGCAGATATCCGGATCGAGACCGATCAAATTATTTGATCAAAGAATATCCCTTCGTAGAATAGCTCTTAGTAACCCATGGTTTTGGTCACATCCCTGAACATCTAAATTATATGGATGAACAATCACCCTGATGATGTTTTGTGTTTTATATAGCGCCTGGGACCACAAGTTTAGAATATTCGTCTCCTTCACTTTGTCACTCATGGTTGCTTTCCCACTGCTGTCGGCTGCTGTGCTAGTATTGATTTCGCGGCTTTCTCGCTCAGGGTGCTGTCCTCTTGCGAATTGACCTCGAAGAAATGGTATAGTACAATAAGGACCATGGCCGTTGAGCCAAGGAATATGGCCAGGGAGTACAGATCGTCGTCGGAAATCATGGTGAGGTAAGAAGGATTGGATTGTCTATTGTTTCTTTATTGAGAGAATCTGGGATAGAATATCAATAATGTGCCATCAATAGCATTAGAAGAGTAGGAAAACTTACTGTGTGCACCTCTAACAAGCTTTTTCGCTGCTAGTTTCACAGGCGAGCCGAGAAGAATGTAAAAGAGTGTTGAAGTGGTGGATGAGTGTCTTTACATGTCCACATTGAATATGGATAAGTTGAGGCCAGCTGGAGCTTTCACCAACGTCGTAATGAGGTACCTACCATATGTACCTCCAAGGTTGATTGTACCTGTGAAGGTACATGAGGTACTGAATGTGGGGCAATAGCATTGTGGCTATTCCAATAATACGTTAAGAACATACCTATACTTATGATATAGTTAACTATGCATTATTATGTACTTAAACCTAGATAATATGCCACATTTTTTCTCACGTGACATTATCCTAAAAACTACGTATGTAGGTACCCCCGCTAGTTTACATACAGCCCACCATCTTTCATTCTTTAGTGTTCGTGATCATTAAAGTACCTAAATTGCCTACCTAACCTATTGTTTCTATGTAGAAACTTTGCGCCAAAACGTTAGAATTCTTTGTATATAGCCTAGATAGGCGCAAACTTCGCCCAATCTCCCGCTTCAACGCTTCAACGAGCTGAATATCCCTCTTTTCGTACAGGACCCCCAATTACTTATACTACTCTGTCTCAAGATGCCTCCAAAGAAGAAGGATGAGCCCAAGGGCAAAAAGCCTTCGGCTGCCAAGGTTGCCGAGGACAAGACCTTCGGTATGAAAAATAAGAAGGGTGCTGTTGCGCAAAAGCATATCAAGCAGATCCAAGCGACAGCCAAAGCCGGAGGTAGCGCAGAAGAGAAAAAGAGGCAAGCCGAAAAGGATGCTCGAGCCCGCGAGAAGAAGGCCGCCGAAGATGCTAAGCGAGAGGCCGACCTATTACTCAACAAACCAGCACAGATCCAGAAAGTTCCATTCGGCGTCGATCCCAAGACTGTTGTCTGTATATTTTTCAAGAAAGGCAACTGCGAGAAGGGAAAGAAGTGCAAATTCGCACATGATCTCTCAGTCGAACGAAAAACTGAGAAGAAGAATCTCTACACCGACGGTCGGGGAGAAGAGGAAGAGAAGAAGAAACAGGAGACATCTGAAGACTGGGACGAGGAGAAGTTGCGAAAAGTCGTCCTTTCCAAGAAAGGCAATCAAGTCACTACCACCGACAAAGTCTGTAAATTCTTCATTGAAGCAATTGAAGACGGAAAATACGGTTGGTTCTGGACATGTCCAAACGGAGGCGACAAATGCAAGTATAAGCACGCTCTTCCACCAGGGTATGTTTCTTATATATTAGGTTGGCGTAGCAGAGTGTCTAACATAACCAATTTAGTTTTGTGCTTAAGACGAAAGAACAACGTGCAGCCGAGAAGGCTCTTATGGATAAATCTCCGCTCAAGACTCTAACCCTCGAGGATTTCTTAGAGTCAGAGAGACACAAACTTACCGGGACGCTCACGCCTGTCACTCCAGAAAGCTTCGCGAAATGGAAGAAGGATCGGTTAGACAAGAAGGCGGCCGAGGAACAGGCCCGCCAAGCCAAGGAATCAACTGGCCGTGCTCTGTTCGAGAGTGGTAACTGGAGATTCACAGAAGAAGACGAATCCGAAGAAGAAGAAGATGGGGAGGATATTGCCTGGAATCTAGAAAGGCTAAGACAAGAAACGCAGGCAATCCGAGACAAGAAGGAAGCAGACCGGATAGCGGCGGCCGCGGGATACTCAGCCGGCTCTACTCAACCTCCAGATACCGGCGATAGTACCCCTATAACTGCAGGCGCCTGATACCTAGTCCCATCTTAGTGGAGTAATGGAGTGAAATCTCCAAGTAAATCAGCGTCTCATCCTGAAAGATGGGCGCTCAATGCAAATGGCTCGTCGAAACAAACGGCATGCCAGCAGCTCAGCATCACCTATCGCATTCTGGACTACAGAAACTCAGCGTAGGTCGAGCTACTACTGATCTTTGAACTGTGTGGGACAGTGGGAACCTATTATTAAATTGAAAGGTTTAGTCTTCTGACTTGAGGTTTACGTAGACCATATCAATCAGATTGATTCAAATGGGAAGCACATAACATCTCGATTCTTTTTAGCCCTTGTCCCTCAATGGCAAGGTAGTTAGTACGACGAGGTAATACCCTTCGATTTACTACCATATTGCACCTATTGAGCACTCAAGTTGACGGGGAAAGATAATTCAGAATGCACCAAGCAGTTTGTCTGTGTTCACCAAGCTTGTTTTAACACCTATAAAGCTGATTTCAATGAATTCAAGCCATTTATATATATATATATATATATATTTGCAGATGTGCCTGCTCGTGTTTGGAAGTCCCAGCTGTCTCAGAAGTAAATACGACCTTAATCTCTCACTTCAATTATGATTAGGGAAAAGAGCTTAGAACTTCTCAACATAGGGTCGTATGTCTATCTCCTGTGTGAACGCGGAACGGTGCTGGGTGTGTAAGTTCCAGTAACTCTCAGCGATCTGTTCTTGAGTCAGCACTGAAAGAGAGTGAGGGATTTCGAAACAGGTACTTACCGCATCCGCCCTGATCTTGCCATCTTCGGCGCCATCGTTAGGGTTATAGTGACTCGTTCGAGGTATATCGATAACTCCGTCGACAATAGCATGGGCTACATGTACTCCCTTAGGTCCAAATTCGCGTGCCAGAGACTGTCCAAGAGCTCGCCGAGCAAACATGCTAGCAGCCATTGTTGAGAACAGATATGAACCCCTGATAGAAGCCGTAGCACCTGTGATGAGTAGGGTAGGTGGATGCTCTGACTCTGTTACTGCGTCTAAGAGTAGTGGAAGAGTCTTCTGAGCAAAGTTGAAGAGGCCGCGACTATCCGGCCAGTCAGTTTGGGATCAACGAGCTTCTGAAATATTTATACATACGCATTACCACCGACAGCAACATCGAAGTCTTCAACGCTCAGTTCAAGGAATGGCTTCCTCTGGAATCCAGCACCGACATTATAAACAGCCGCAGCAAGCTTAAAACCTGGTAACTCCTTTGCAATCTTCTCGAAGGCTGAGTCCACTGACTTGACATCCGAAGTATCGGCACTGATACCGATCGCTTTGCCACCAGCCTTGTTAATCTCGGCCACGGTCTCCTGGTACGACTCGGGTGTACGAGTCAGAAGCACCACGGGGTAGGCCTTGGAGAAACGGATAGCACAAGCTCTTCCTAGAGAAGATGGTTATTAATGAATCTGCGGGTTATCCTGTTAGATGAAGTACTCACCCGTGCCTGGGCCAGCACCAGCGACGACAGCAAACAACTTGGAAGACATTTTATATAACTAGAATTAGGTTATAAAAAGGATGTAAATATTCTTGAGGATGTTACTAAGCTACTAAGACTAGCTGGATATTATTTGGATATTGTTTGGAATAGAAATGGTTTAATCTTGGACGGATCTTGAGACTCACTTATAAATAAATACCTGTGATCTATCTTACCTTTATCAACTCCGCAAATATTCTAGAAAGACATATGCCGCGATAATGATTAATAATTATACTTCCGCATCAGAAAGTTAGTGTACTGATGACAAATTTGACAAGATGTCGCAATAGCCCAACTGTCGAATAGCAAGTTGAAATATGCACGCCTCCGACTGTGAAAGACGATGACGTGCAGCATCAGTAACTGGAGAGCGCGGAGAGCGTAGTAATGGGAAAGCACCTTTCTGTCAGGGAGCTATGACCACTAATAAATTGTTACCGTTAAGTTAGGGTCCGTTTTAATGGTTTAACGCTTAAAAACAAATTTAAACGTCTCTACTACGTCTCGTAACGGAAACAACCCGTACAAAGGGAACTTGGTACCTTTGGTTTGTCGCGTAACCGTTTTTGCTCGACTCCCATGTAATTCGATCGACTCAACAACGCGATTGAATGAAACCATTGTCTCTACAGGAAAGCTTGCCAACCTTACTTAACCTTAAGGTATATTCTCAAAAAAAAAAAACAAGAGAACGAGTAGGTAATTATCCAAGTTCAAATAATAAGTACATTCAAATTTCAACAACAATATTTGTATTTGTTCTTATAGCTCTAACTTAGTGAGACAGTATTGAATTGTTTAATGGCATGGTGATAAAAGAAATTATGGCTGAGAGCAGCGCGACTAGGGGCTTTCAGGCATTGGCATCCGTCTCCAATAACCTCAATGATGAGCTTGGAGAAGATATCACGATACCTCCCGTTCTTTCTGATATATTGCAACCCAGCCAGAACACTAGCCTTAAAGCGCCATTGTCACTTTACTCAAATCAGCAAAATTCGGCCAGACAACAAAAAGTTCAGGAGCCTTCTACAGTTATCTCGGCATCACCATTGCAAGCCAGATCTCAACTAGCTGTGCATATCAGGTCATCAGTACCATCCTCGCCATCCTATACTAGGCAAAGACAGCCTACAGGGTTAAATCAGGAACCACAGCCAAGACGAGATCCTACAGCCGCAAGGGAAAATATCTCTATCGTTCTACCTTTAGCTCCCGCACAGCATGGAATAGAAGGAACTAATCTCCAACCGAAGAAGAGGGGAAGGCCAAAGGGTTGGAAGAAGCCTGGAAACTCCAATGCGGATAGAAAAGAAGACGACACAGGGGATGCTCAATCCAATGCACTCAGGAAAGACCCCTCTAAAGAACAGAAACGGCGCGGAAGGCCGCCACGCGATCCTATACCTTCGGCTAGAGAATGGTACCTACGGTCCAATGTTGAATACATGCCATTCTTGTGCGAGTGGAAACGGCCCTCGGAGCGCCCTTGCCCGGCAGAGCTGCAAAACATGAAAACACTACGCAGGCATGTTTTTCTCATTCATGGGGATGAAGACCCGTTGGTCTGCCAGTGGGGCAAGTGCGTAGCAAGGGATACCCCTATACATTTCGCAACCCAAACAGAATTCGAAGAGCATATGGAGAAGGTACACTTTAGGTCGTTTGTGTGGCACATGGGAGATGGGTACCAGAACGAAGGTATCGCGACACTGAAGCGAGATGCAGATGAACTTCCGGAGTATTTGTTTGACGAGGATGGGAACCAAGTAACTCCGTCAATTACTGAACAGCGACTCGAGGACGATCAGCAGTATAAGGAAAGGAAGCGGAAACTGAAGCGTCTCCTGATCCAACAGGACGAGAATGCTCTAACTGAAGAGGAATACACAAGGCAAACGCTTGGGCTCGTCTGATTTAAGATGACTATGGGTGGCCATGTCTTCCCACCCATATATAGCAGCAATAGGGATAGCTTTATTCCGTGCTGAGCCGCAGTACGGATATACACAACTGGTCTATCTGATCATAAGGATTAGGTCTCTAGACTTGACTCCAAAGGAATAATAGTTTTTCATGATTACCTACTTCGATATTCGAATATCCTTATTTAGGATGCAGTTCAGGTGTGTATATAATTGTAGTACGAAACTTGTAAAACAAGCATATAGCAAATATCCCTTTTAACTTTGACACGGCTCCCATTTCCGTTGCATACCTACAGTAGTGGGTAGCTAGGTTTTCAAAAGCATAACTTTACCGGGCTTCTATGCAGCTCTATGCAGCTCTAGACATCACCACGTACAGTAGACGTTTTGTGTCTACATGGTAAAACAGAGCTTGAGTTAAAAACGTAATGTACCGCATTGATTATATGTATAGGAGTAGCTCAAGGTTATGGTACGTTCACGGTGCTAATATCGTCAATAATGTCCGATAGCATTTAGAGGCTGACCAATCCATACAATTCTAGGCCGTTTTCTCTTATGACGTAATAAACAGGGACATCATTTGAAACTTCAAGGTAGTATCATATCGATAGTATCGATGGATCAGTCTGTCTCGAAAAGTAATGGCGCAGTCTTGGCATTTAACCCTTCTTAAAGAACCACCAGTTATACAAGCAAAATAAATAGTAATAAAGTTATAATATATATCGTTTTATTTGCAAAAGGCTATTATACTTTTTTATCATTTTAATTTTCTTATTAAGATAATAATGCACTAGAAATATAGCTTTAAAAACATATTTTTAATAACGTTTTAATATACCATATAAATATACTTATAATTCCACCATTTTTAAAGCAATAAAATTATAAAAAATACCTATAATAACAAGAAAATCTAAAAAGTCAATAGGTATTTTTTTCTATTTTTTATTGTCCTCTTTTGTGCTTTTCTTTACATATATTATATGGTGTTGTTTTTGGAAGAAAATGCCAAGACTGCGCCATTACTTTTCGAGACAGGCTGTGGATCCACGCATTCCTTAACAGAAGACATCATCAGCAGTCAGCCAGCGTTACTGTAGAGTTTCTCATATTTTTTCATGGACAGCATTTTGTACTTCGTAATTTTAGGGTTCTACAGAACAAGAAAAGTGAAAAGAATAAGGCAACGTGAGATTTGTAATTTATAAGTTCCGTAGTATAAATGTATAACTGGGTAAATAAATGTAAAGACGGACAATTGTAATACCTGATTACCGAATGTGCAATAAAATCTCTATATAGGTAACGGAAATAACGGTGGCGCCAGGTACATACGATACATGTCTACGGGGTCTATGGGAGGTACTTCTTAAATCTGACCTACATGTAAGTGGGAAGCTAAGATGTATTGCTAAGCCCGAATTCACGGTTGTGCCTCTCTCTTCATATCGTCTAAAGGGAACATAACATATCCCTTCAACTTTTACTATTCCTATATTCATCTATTCATTCGTCAATTTTCCCTTTTCCCTTTCCGCGTATACCCTTCCGCGTACCGAACACTTCCCTCATTCACATCCCGTCCCTATCAATGTTCATGCGGACCGAAAGGGTCTAGCGAAAAGCATCTAGATTTACACTATCGCGTACGTACCCAGCCAGACCCGTGTTTTATTAGCGCATCCGCAGCCGTCGGAGAACAGCCAGACCTGGACGAAGGACGCAAATCCTGACTTTACGTATACATCCGGAAAAAGTCCTCTTTAAGAAATATTACGCCGCAGGGAAGACTGATACCTTATATGAGTCTCACTTTATATTAATGTGGTCATTTTATTAGTTTGGGTTGATTAGCAAGCAAGAACAAAGGGAATGACCTAAAAGGCAAGAATCCGGGACGCAACGTATCTCAAGTGCCAAGTGCCAAGTGGATACTCAGTCCCCTCAGGTCCACCCCTTTTGCCCCTCGTTTTGACTGGCAGACTGGTTACTGGTGGGTCAACTTATTAGTGGTTCCCCTGCTCCCCTGCTCCCCTGCCCCCCCTGGACAAAGTGCCTTACCAAGTGAGCATAGCGCCTAAACCCGCCCTGTCCCAGTGTGTTCCAGCACTTCCCAACCTGTCCTAAGCTTTTTACGCCAGGCCTAGATTGGCACCATCCGCCATCCGCCGTCCGCCATCTGCCAGACGACAGCTGCTGCTTGCTGGTGCAATTACATAGTACTACCTACATACATACCTACATACATACATACATACGTAGTACTGCTACCGCCGCCGCGCTACCGCCGACATGGGGTCCGACGAGTCAATTGAACACCATTCCAACCTCAGTCACCCGTCCCAAAACTCTCCCTCACCAACAACATCCGTTACCAAACGAGGCCCTCATTTCCGCATCAAAAAGCGATTTACATCATGGCATCATCCGAATGTTGACCTAAGGGACTCTAACATAGGCGACAATACCGACACCGACAAGATGCCCGTCAAGTCGCCCGCCTCGACCGGCAATAATAGCCATAACAGTCACTTCAATCAAAAGCTGAAGAATTTCTTCCGCATTAACTCCTCCAATACCAATGGTGATAAAGAAAAGAGTCTCGACCATGCCTTGAAATCCGAGAGCAAAGTTGGCTTCCGTCAGTCGAGGAGATTTTTCACCAACGTCGGCAGGATTAGATCGACTACCACGGCTAGCGAAGGACACCCCCTAGACGATGCACTTAGTCCCACTGCCAATGCGAATCCGTACTTCGCCCACCAGGGCCAACCTGGCCTCCGCCATCATGACGAAGGCTCCATTCCGCCGAGCCCGCCGGATACGCCAAGCCTGAAAATACACGGCCCTGATGGTACGACGGCGAAAGAGCAGGCCACAAATGCTACGAAAGAGGAGTTAGCTCGGAAACTACGGAGAGTTGCAAGTGCCCCTAATGCTCAGGGTCTCTTCAACCACGGAAAAGGTAGCGGAGAGAGGCCGGCCACAGCTGAACTCGGCAAGGAGCCGTTAATTCAAGGCGAAAATGCCGCTTCGTTAGGTTTTGCTGATGCCAAGGCAACACTCGCTGCCGATTCTGGAGGCCTTTCTGTACCAGAAAATGATGGACTCGGCGCGCTTCCTCCACCAAGCCAGACCTCACTCGCTTTCCGCAGGACGTATAGTTCCAATTCCATCAAAGTCCGCACCGTTGAAGTTGGACCCGCTAGCTTTGACAAGATTAAACTCATTGGAAAGGGAGATGTTGGAAAGGTTTACCTTGTAAGAGAGAAGAAGAGTTCTAGGCTTTATGCTATGAAGGGTAAGTTGTTCACAATATTTATTATTACTCATTGCGTACAGAACCGCGCTGACCCAAGCAGTCCTAAGCAAGAAAGAGATGATCAAGCGCAATAAGATCAAGAGAGCCTTAGCCGAACAAGAAATTCTAGCGACGAGTAATCACCCATTTATCGTAACATTATATCATTCTTTCCAGTCCGAAGACCATTTATACCTATGCATGGAATACTGCAGTGGTGGGGAGTTCTTCCGAGCATTGCAGACTCGTCCTGGCAAATGCATTCCCGAAGATGACGCCCGCTTCTATGCTGCGGAGGTTACAGCCGCTCTAGAATATCTTCACCTAATGGGCTTTATCTACAGGGATCTAAAACCTGAGAGTGCGTCCACCTTTCTCTTTCTACTCAGGCTATACTAACTATATTGCTAGACATTCTTCTCCACCAGTCAGGACATATCATGCTTTCCGACTTCGATCTCTCAAAGCAGTCGGATCCTGGCGGGAAGCCTACTATGATCATGGGCAAGAATGGTGCTAGCACTTCGTCACTCCCTACGATAGATACGAAGTCGTGTATCGCCAACTTCCGAACGAATTCGTTTGTAGGAACCGAAGAGTATATCGCGCCGGAAGTCATCAAGGGCAGCGGACACACGAGTGCTGTAGATTGGTGGACATTGGGCATATTGATATACGAGATGTTATACGGCACTACACCTTTCAAGGGCAAGAATCGTAACGCGACTTTTGCCAACATCCTCCGGGAGGAAATACCGTTTCCGGAACACTCTGGATCACCCCAGATTTCAAAGTATGTTTAAGCTGAGAACTAACTTACCGCATTGAAGCTAACCCTGTTGTTTAGTCTTTGCAAGTCATTAATAAGAAAGCTCCTGATAAAAGATGAGACGAGAAGACTGGGTGCGAGAGCCGGAGCTTCCGATATCAAAGTACATCCGTTCTTCAGGACAACACAATGGGCCCTGATTCGACATATGAAACCACCGATAGTTCCGCACGCGGGCCGTGGTGTCGACACAGTCAATTTTAGAAACGTTAAAGAGAGTGAAAGCGTTGATATCACCGGCTCGAGACAGATGAAGGGTGTGCCGTTGGACAGCGGACTGGCAACACCCGGCAACGAAGCGGCCGACCCATTCGAAGAATTCAATAGTGTAACATTACACCACGATGGCGATGATTACGACAGCGACAGGTGATCATGCAGAAGCAACGCCTTCGTCGATACAGCGGATGCTCTGTTCTACGCCAACTTCTTGTTGGCATTCAGCAGCATGTCTGTTTCGGCAGCCTAAATTTATATGTGGTTATCGAATTGTGATATCTTGTGCCACGCAGCGTTGATTTCCACGCATCGCCAGCGGGTTTGTACTATGAGACTTGAAATAAATGGGAAAATACTCACCGTCTATTTACATCTTTTCCTCTGTCCTACCATTCATGTCGAAGAAGATTGCGACTAGGGGCTGAGCACGAAGAAGGGAAAGGGAACGATGGCGGCATCAACAAGCATTCATATGTACGGCGTTTCTTGTCGGGCACGAAGGAGTTTTTTTATGTTTTATTTTTATTTTATTTTTTGGAAGGGAAGATCGCAAGAAAAGGGGATTCGCGAAACTATAGCAGCGACTTGCTCACTTGCTCGCTCGTCTGATTTGTATGACAGTTGCAAATAAGGTCTCGCACTTTATGTCAATTTGTTCTGTTAGAAAGTCTTGAAACGAAAACAAGAAAACAGCCCGCGCTGCTTACCCTGTGAGATAGTATACCTAGCATTCATTAACTAGTCATCGGAGTGTTCATATGTCTTTTTTTTTTGTCTTTAGTTTTTTGTAGCCTTTTTTTTCCCATACGGTTGAGTTTTCGATAGTGTGTATTAACCTAGTCTTCTTAGACATAATTTTCCTACCATTTTATAGAGTGTTGAATTAACTAGGTACATATATGAATGAGAAGAGCCGAGTAACCAGGGCCGAAGCACTGTTCTTATTATTAATTAATTAACTAGCTAGCTAGTTTTCGTATCTGCTAATATTGCGGACACTAAGCACTAAGATGGTGATAATATGTGTTGGGTTGGATGTATGCGTGATGAGGTTTGAGGCTGACCTCCTGACATCCGTGGGGGAGCGAGTGGGTGTCATGTAGTATTCCCTGTGACCACCCTCCGGCACGGCACGAGGCTGCTTTCTTAATGAAGCGATGTCTGCTACCTCCCTACCTCCCTAGCACGTTAGGACCCGACCCGATCCGATCTGTATAAATCCAATCCGCTCTAAAGAGTACTTGAATATGTATTACTCACTACTACTAATGGTAGTAGGCAGTAGTCTGGCTACTTATTACTAGATGATCGACGACACACGATAGGCATGTTTTTAGAACTGTCTAATTTGGAATACTACTCTGTTTAATAATTGTGCTGATCTAATATATACTACCAACATATGCATATTAATATATAATGGTAAGAGCCGCCTTACCGAATACTACCCAGGGATCATCATCCTTGGACCCAGGTCGGAATAAATAGATTTTGCACTCGCGCGAGAACGTTCTCGGAGGCGAACTTATAAATACATAGGATTTATGTACCTCGGGCCCAGGCAACGGGACTAATGAATAAATGGGAAGTTATGGTATTATAATCGAACTGTGCTTGTATATTTACGTATATTCACTTTCTTAGACTTCTTTGTGGGTTGATTTCGACGGAATAAATCTCGAGCTACAACATAGAGGTTTCAACCATGGCGCAAGCAAATCTAGAGCAGCAGAATCTCGATTTGCTAGGTCCAGCCTATGCGCTGGAATGGATGGAGAGTCAGCGCTACTGCTCCCGGCGGCAGTTTAGAAGTGCTGAAGAGCTGCGCACTGATATCAAGCAGCAGGCGAAAGAACCGCAGAGATTTGAGTCCCGACGCCGGCTCCTGGTCCTTCGCGAGTTGCCCGTGGACTATGTCCAGGTGTTAAGGGACCTGTTGGATGTCGACGCGGGCTTCATCGACGCACATGTTAGTCGGTTGAGCTATAGGCCGCTTGTAAGGCGGAGGCGGGACCACGGGGCCACTCAGACCAGATTCGTTCGCTTCGAGTATCCGGAATTATTTACGGCATCGAAGGGATTTACCACGGATGTAAAGACGGTCCCGCCAGCGACTGGCTCTCGTACTAGAGGCGAAGATAACGTTGAAGAACCGCCACTGCATGTTATCTCGGAAGACGGAGAGGGGGTACTGTTTCGCCGTGCTTCGCTATGGCAGTGTGCCAAGGCCAATGGTAAAAGCTCTTTTGCTCGTAACATATCGAAAAGACTATTACTAACTCTGTCTCTTAGTCCTTATATTAAACCGTTCGACATGGACTCGGAGATATTATTCTTCGGACCCGGGCCAAGTTCTCTCTACTACCGGGCTAGCAGACGGAGATATGTCGAATTTTGAGTCGCTCCTATACCGTGGCTTAGCGGAGGAATGGCACGATGATTCCTACGAGGACGCAGATATACGTTCTCTCGTGCAAGACATCGTCGTACACGAATGGGCCGAATTCTTCGATATGGTTTCTTCGAATATATCCCCCGGTATGCATCAGATGACGGAACTGTACTGGCAAGTACATGCAAGCCTAGAAAGAAATCTGAGCAGCGCTGAGCTTTGCGAGAGATTGCTCCAGGGTACAGGCACCCCATCTTTATCGCCCTATTCCTCTAAATCAGACTGGGAATCCCTCCTCTCCCGTCTTAATAGACATGTCTCGTTACTGAACCACCTTGCCCCTATTTCCACACAAATTCCTAACACCAGCCCCATTATCCCTGGCAGTATCCCATCCCCTCCACTGGAGAAGCAGCCCCTTACTACAAGAGGTATTCCCCCATCGGAAATGATCCCCCGCCACCGTCACTCCCACAGCGGTAACAACTCCAGCGCCGACGAACAGAACAAGCACGCATTAGACCGCGTCTCGTACATGGGCGGTATTTTACTCCCACTATCTATCGTTTCCAGCATCCTATCCATGAGCGACCCGTTCGGGCCCACGGGGCCCATGTTCTATGTCTTCTGGGCGGCCGCCGTGCCCCTAGTCTTTGTCGCCATCCTAATCATTTACGCTGATTCGATCCGCAAGGCCGAGGTCTGGATCGAGGTCGCGAGTAACGGCGGCATTAGCGATGCCAGCGAGGAGAAACCCGAGACTGACCTTGAGGGTCAGGCTTTACCGTATAATAGGTTGGGAATCGCGGCGCTGGGAAGGGGGGAAGATGGGGAGGAGGCAATGGGGACAGATTCGTTTGATGAGCCAGCTATGATGGTAGAGAAGCTATTCAAAGATGCTGGGAGTAGAAAGTGGCAGAAAGAGCAGCTTGGTTGGGGTGGTGCATGTAAGACTGCCTTGCATATCTATAAGCTCAAGAAAGGTAAACCACCCAGCTGGGTTAGGCATGGGAGGACAGCTTAAGCATACGAATTAGTATTAGAACAATATATAATCTTATATTAAACCTTCAGAACTACGGTTGCTCAACGTGCGAGTTGGCGTCTATCCCTAGTAGCTCTCCGTTTCCGAGGGACTTGGGCTTTTTGTGACATTGTTTATCATGGTTGGAGATACACAGCCGAAAGTGAACCACGAGCTCCATACGTGGCATAGCCTTGATGATTTCACGGCACCGGGAGTGGCCATGGTCGAATTGCTGCACGGCGTGAAGAACAGCTCCGGGGTCGATTACTGATTTCGTCTGGACGTTCATTTGATTCGGCGAGATGACTAGAGCTGAAGATGGAATGTCATCTTGAGCTCTAAGCCAAAGATTTTTTAGATCGTTATAAGACTGTTTAATATATTTTTCATCTAATTCCGTAATATCTTCAAGCCAATCTGCGACTCTCCGCTATCCTACATTGTTAGCACTTATACCATCTCGCAGTCTCGTAACTAACCTGGAAGTATGGCGGATCCGACTCCTCAACGTATAACTCTTTTAGCTGCCGCAGTTTCCCACGATCGTTAGCATTAACAAGAAGGGTATGACATCTATCAATACCCTTTCCAAAGATCGCTTGCACCTTGGGAGATCTACCAAGGTGCATTAGTATGCTGTCGTGGTAGAATAGATACTGCGGTACGCCAGACCAGAAACCCCGCTTATGTTTCCATTGTTCTACGAAGAACTTCCCCGAAGCACCTAATAGAGCTGCGAGGCTCACACAGACGGGACTTGCGGGAGAGCTGGCGAAGTAAAATCGGGTGACGGCGGGATTGTTGACATGTTCCATAACGAGGCCGTTTTGTTCAGTAATGTGACCCTGAACATGCTGAAAAACGGAATCATCGAAGCAGAGCGTATCAGTAGAAGGATCAAACCACGTCATCTGCTTAATCACGCAGCAGACGCCACGAGGACGACTACCAACGAACTTCCATGACCCAGACCGCGAAGCGATTCGCCGTGCTTCACGGTTTACTGAAAGCAGTGTTGGCGGGGCTAATATCACGGCTACCAGATCCGAGCCACGAACCCGCCAAGAATCGTGGTCTAGCTCTTTGGTAACGTTAGCTTCGCCGTCCTGCCTGATAGAGACGGTTTCGTTCCGAATTTCAAAGACCCGGCGTGGCAGAGAAAAGCGCCATATAATATGTCTTAACTCTGCTGGAAGGTCTGGAAATCGTGGAAATGAGGTAGCAAACACCGGTTCTAACTCTACCATGGCTTTCCCGTGACAATTATCGTAAGGGAGACTGAATATGGTATAGCCAATTTCTTAGGGTAGATAACTTGGGTTGGATTGGGGGGAAACAAGGCTATTCTATGCGGTTGGTATAATTTATTTACTAAACTGAAGCAGATGACCCAACCGCGTGAAGGGATGACGGCGATTGGCAAACACACCCGGCCGAGACTCGGTAGTCGGAAACCGACAATATGAGTAAACGAAGCCGAGCTAAATCCCATCAGCATGAATGCCGCCAAGTAGGTATATATAAGGTATAAGGTATAAGGTATAAGGTCTGTAATAGCCCTGCCAAGTCTAGTCGGCTGATGCAAACGATAATAGCCCATTATCTTTGTAGATATCCTCCATGTTAAAAATCCGTCGGAGTTCGGACAAATAGATAGATAATATCGGAGATGCGGAGCACATCTTATAAAGGCCCTGAAAAGTGTGATATGTAAAGAGTTGAAGTGATATATTTGGTGGGGGAGCTGGCAAGCTGAAAGCTTAAAGGGTCTCGTAATGTACTTCGTATATCCGAGCCGTCATTTTCGGCGTCAAACCATTATTAACAAATGATGCGCTATTGGACAGATCTAATCTTATCGCCGAACTTGTTCCTGAGCCATAGCGCCGGGAGGTACAACCTGAGGTACCTAACATGCATTATGTATGCGATACGAACGGTCGAATTAATTTTTGGTTACCGGGTAGCTAGCCCCACACTACCTAGCAGCCTACATACACTATGTACAGTTTACATAGTGGGGATTGTAGGCTTAATACCTATCGCAAGACGGAAAAGAACCCCTCCATCCCGTTAACAAGACGCGTTTCTTCAATCCAGCGTCCGCATTCTGCGTTTTCCATATATACATGACAACACCACCATCGTAATTCTCGTCGTGATGGAAGGCCATACCCCCAATCCTCTACTATTGCCTCCAGATCTCACACCGCTAGAGCAAGAGGTGCTCGAAGAGTACGAACGGCTAGCGGAGAACATGAAGAAGGTGAGTCGGCGTATGTATTTACGTATCAGCTGATATCTTATTACCTGCACGCGTGCAAACCTACATATTCCTTGGTCCAATCATAGCACAATATCACAATATCACAACATGGCGCATTCCTCCTCCAGCACCGATGTACGAGATAGAGCAAAGCAATTGGCTAACCTCATGCACAATAGCTCGCAACCGTACTGGACGCTATGGCCGGACAGCCTACCACCGAGATTCTCGACGGCCTGCGGGAGCTCGAGCGTAAGACGAGCCTGGTCTTCACGTTGCTCAAAGCAAGTGTCTACAGCATCGTGCTACAGCAGGAGATCGACTGGGGCGACCAAGCGCGGGGCTGAGCGATGATGTAAAGAAACTAATGACAGCACGAAACAACCTGCCATATATTGGGCCGCTTAGCTCTAGTACGAATGGACTACATCGATCACCGTGTCTTCGGGGCTTAGAGGACTATGACTATGTTTCTAGGGGAACATGAGCTGGCTTCGAGGAGCTTGTACGCTCGATGCTAATAAGAATGGGTATCGGGACATGGAAGCTTACCACGGCTGTTCCTTGCCGTAGTTTATGGGGCATTGCACTAATGAGATATGCGAGAATGAAGACACGATACTGGCAATATTCAACTAGGACTCAAGATAGACAGAATGATATACATTGGCTCATCACGAAGATACCCAAATATATCAATGATAAATACAAATACAAATACACACTAGGGTGGCACTACACATAAATTGTATTTCCTTGAATTTGGAGGACGGCATATCTACATGATATATGTACATAATTTGCTTTAATATACATTTCCACCGTAGTAGACCTTGCGCACATCCACAAGCTTCTTACCCCTACCAGTAGCGAGCTCGTTAGGATCCTTCTGGCTCTGTAGAGCTAGGACGCAGGCCTTGACCGAGTTCATCGGGTTTCGCCCTCGGGGCATCTTGGCCGCCACGTCGCGGATGCCTACGGATCGGAAGATCTCGAAGAGTCGATGCGAGGCGCGTAGACCAAAGCCTTTTTGAGTAAAGAATCAGCAAGTATACTTCCGGGTGGTAAAAAAAGGCGGGGGAGGGGTAAATATGCGTATAGCTTACCAGGTGGGCGGGCTTCTATCTGGACTATAGTCGCGCCAACCTTGCCCTTGACGTTGCCGTAGATGGTCCGGTTCTCGTATCTACGAACCGGCTGCATGTTCTGGATGGCCAGAAGCTTGGCCTTCTGTCGCGCAACGGCCATTTCAACAGACTTGGCTTCGCCGATACCGAGCCGTCCATCACCGTTCCCGGCGATAGCTAAGATCCACGTGCTACGGATCTTACCCAGACGAGTCTGATTGTGGACCATTCGAGTGACTAGGATCTTGCTGTTGATATCCAAGATGTGCCGCACGCTTAAGCCAGTCCGTCTCTTCAGATCCTGGTATATACCCTGGTCATCTTTGCCCTCGTCCGCTGGGTCGATCGGTGGCTTGTACATACCCTCCACACCAGCGAGCTTTTTGCCTAGCGCTGGTGCAACCGCCGAGTTAGAGGGCCCGTTGGTGTTTATCATGGTTTCCGGTTCCAGAAAGTATTTGGCTTCCTCCATGGGGAAATCGATGCGCTGGTCTAGTATTTGCTGTATCTTTTCTTCGGGTAGATCTTCAAAATTTACATCCTTCGGTATTAAAGCCTCAAGGCGCTTGGTTAGGTCGGCCACATCCTCCTCTTCCGTCATAAACCTAGCTTTCGGGTTGGGTGGGGGATTGGTTTTCGGGCGCTTGTCGATGATGGGGTAAATCTTGCTGAAATCGTCGATATACGGTATCCTATAGGGATCTCTCCGTATTCGACCTTGTATCGTCAAGTCTTTAGGATCGATCGCTGCTTCACCGGCTTCGAGAGCGGCCATTTGCTCAGGCGTGTACCTCTTCTTCAAGACCTCTAACTCCTCCGGGGTGTAACGAGGGAACGTCTTGTTACCGTATTCCTCTATCTTTTCCGGCGATACCAGCCCCATTTCCTCGGCCCGTATGCTCTTGAATCGAGGTTTCCGCCTTGCAGCGAGCTGCGCGGAGCTGTGAAATTGGTGGTGGCATTGCGATACCGGTGCTGCTGGTTTGGCCGCGGCAGCAAGCCGCCTGGAGAGCAGACACCGTGCTGGTCGTGCTACGCTCATCGCATCCCTAACGTTCAAGTACCCGCCCTAATATGGCTGCGATGGCGCAGAAAAGGAATGGTAGGGTCGCGTGAAGATATGAGCTTCAATTGGTACATATCAAGTATATGGAAATTATTTTTTAGCAACCCTCAATTGCTCAATTCGGTCTTACGTTTTGCCGACCCACACTATTGCCTTTTAACTAGTAGTGTGGACCTTATCCTCACTTCTTATTGGCTCATCCTTTACTGATTATTGGAAACCAACTAGCTTTAATCATTGTTGTTAGCGACTTACTTGATGTACAGGTACTATACTTTATACCTAACATAACATCATAGGTAGATGATACAATTTGTTACATCTGCCTTCTTCAATGTTTTTTTTTCCTTTTCTTCTTTTCTTATACTAATACATACATGTACCTCTTATATGAGACATTGGGTGGTAAGCCTCCTTCGAAATAGGAGTGAAATTCCTATGTACATATCTATGTACATTTATGGCACTCGAGATCTGGATAGGGTGACGTCTAAGCGTTCCCCATTACCCATTAATGATTGGCTATACTAAATCTGTCGACTTTGCCGCAGGTCTGAAACGCCCGAGTTTCACAGGGATTGTTACTATCGTCAGTCCATCAGTCCATTAGTTGAGACCGCAACGTTAGGAGGCGCTTGTCGCATAGCTGATACTAAACACAAGACATTGTGTAGGATTACTTACGTTTCTCTTACCCTTAGGTCCTTAGGTAATTTTCATTATTACAGACCCATTGCCTAAACTAACTTGGTTGTTCATTTCTCCCTTTTTCCTAATTTTGCGAAAGTGAAGCTATCATTACAATTTCCCTTCTTTTCTTCCTTTCTAGTGTGACTGGTGCACCATAATTTTGTCTTGCTCGCGCCTAGTTTCTTTTGCTTGTCCATTCGCTCAATTTATCTACTCGATACCCTTGCAACTTGAAGTCGAATACTCGAACAACTCCTTCACCAATTTCCAGACCGTCGCGAAGCAAACATAATCCAAAATGTCTCAACAAAACCCCAATCTACCGAGCCCACCAGGTGGTCAATTCGGATTCATGTCCAAGATTGGTGCCACAGATGCAGCCGTCCGTACTTTAAACGACCAGCCGTACCTATTCACTATTCTCGTTGTTGTCCTCATCTCTCTCATCCTTGAGGGCGTTTTCATGTGGTACATCCACCACGCGACTTTGAAACCCGGGCAGATCAAAAAGAAGGAACCCAAGGGGGGCAAGAAAGCAGGAGGAAAGCCACCAGCAGCTCGATAAAGGCCCTCTATCATAACACAGCTCTGATACGATATTCGAAAATGTTATAACAAATTCTTAATTGGGATAGAACCCGGCAATTGTGCCTTTTTTTTGCGACTGTCCGCCACCACCGCCTCCGTCGAGAAAACACGATGCATCGAGGCGTAGGTGTCTCAAGGGGAGTAATGGATGCGTAGCTGTTATGGGGCTAGGCAGATAGGGTTCTAAGTGTTTAGTGTTCGGGCGAAAGGGTAGAATAGAACAATAAGAATAGCATTTAGAGACGCTTCGACGACAGCAGGCCGCGTCTAGCACTCATAATTATTGCGTATTTACCCGGTTATATGGTCTATCAGTATTGACAATACATATTTATATCCTGAGAACCTGCCTGTCCCTCTCTGAGCCCCCATGACTTTGATCTATCACTTCTTCATCTATCCCCATAGGACAATCATCTCCACTCTTATACGTATATTGTTGCATATCGTTCCAGAGCATACGTCGAGTGTTATATGGCAACTCAGCTGTAGAACTGCAAACGCCCTCAACACTGTGTATATAATCGGATGCGTGTAGATCATTGACATCCATAATCGAATCACCAAAATCGCCGGAAATGTGTTGTCGGACAATTGAAGTGCCTCGTAATCCTAACAAACTTGAAGATCGAGTAACAGAATCATCCCGAGGAGTACTATCTGACAAATAGTCAGATTCCACCTCTATTGTGTCAATGACTTCTACGAGAGAGCCTTCGTTGGCGGCTCTCATATCCTGATCCCCGTGCTGCCATTGCTCATATTCAGCTGTTACGTCGGGATGGCTACTACAATCTCCTCCTAGAGGTTCTTGAAGTTGATATAACAATCGGCCCTCATCATAGGCGTTGTCGAAGTCGAAATCCTTGCTCGAAGTTCTGTCCAAGATGTAGAAATAATCGCCATTCTCGGGCTCCTCAAGGAAGCCCATACTCGAAGATGCTATCTCGAAAGGCCAACCGATGTTTTCGCGCTGTTGTGTATCAATATTTATACTAGCATTCTTGATGCGAATACTCGGCTCTAATTTTGCTTGCACTAAATCCCAAAGCCTTTGCTGAATGGAACATCGGTAGGCGTTTAGCTCGACTTCAGTCTCTGTGCCGGTAGAGGGTTCATGACTAAAGGTGTCATCTACATCTATTAGCAACCTTTTACTTTTTTCTCGTAAAGATGCTGACCGGTTTCGGGATGGTAAAGCTAGAATGCTCGAAATAATGGGGATATTGGCCGCGTGGTACGTCACTGCCTAGATCTCGTTGTTAGACAATTTCTAATATCATAAGAGGGTTTTGAGAACCTTGAGATAATGAGCGTTCCAAATAGCAGGGGCTAGTTCAAGTAATGAGGGTCGATCATCCAGCTGGAATAATCGTAAGCCGCGCATACGTTTCCTAATGCCAATAGTCACGTATAATGCCATCTGAGCTAAGCGGCCTGCCTCGTTCCATCGTTGTTGAGAATGCTTGGAAAAAATATCTAGAATTGGAGTTTCCCAATGGTAATAATTATAGACTGCGCTCCCGTGGACGTCATTAGTTAAGTCTGGCGACTGCGGTTGTGAAGCTAGTTCAGGAGGATAGCCATCTATATCGAGATCGCATATGTTAGATTCGTTAGTGTCGGTATTAGATGCATCCAAATTGCCTGTTTGGTATTGGAATAGGCACTCTATCCCATATAGACGAGCAGTGGGGCTGTGTGGTGGTGAGAGGAGTACGGATGATTTATGTAGATGTTCGATAATGAAATAGAGATTCGGGGCTCCGTCGTATAATGGTTGGTGTTGTATATCTTCTTGTTTAATTGTAAGGCCAAGGGCAGGCCAAAGCTAGACAGGTTCATATGAGCGACCGTAGTAGGGTCCAGTAATGGTAACTTACTGGGCATTGACAGATCACATCAGCTAGATGTTCCAGGAATCCAGGTTCAGTTTCTCCTAGTACCAAAGAGACCTGATTCTGTACTACTATGATTTGCATTCGACATATACCGGGAGAAATAAGCCATAGCTCTTTTGACTGAATTGACTGAAAAAGCTTCTCAGAGGACCATTGAGAGGATGGTACGTCTGAGATCAACGCAAGAGAAGTCACGGACAAGGAGGAATCGGATTCTGCGCTAGAAAGTTCGAATGTCTTGAGCTCAAGCTCAGTATAATCAGCCATAGTAGAACATATGGCTCAACTTGTTCATGAAGCTTTTCGTTCTGAGGGTAAGATTGATGATATACCCATCCCTAAGAACATAATATAGTAAAGGTACCTAGGTATGTAGGTGGTAGCATTAAACTGGGTGAAAAGGTAATGTTTGGTGGTATTATATTAGTAATTTTGTGATGAGAAGAGACGGATTATATATTCAAAAATATAAATTGGGCTATAATCTTTTATCTTGGAGTATATATACAGAGTTGGAAGTAGCGAGCTATATGGATTTCGGAAAGACTCAACTGGGGTTTAGAGAGCCTGCTATAATTTGAGTCGCAACTTCTTCATTGCATATTGTTTAGGTTAGGTACCTACCTAGGTAGATATTGCTATACCTCACGGCAAGTACCACCTACATACCGCTTACACGATAAGTGTAGATAACCTTTTCTTCTCGGCCATAGTCTATAGGTAAGGTACTTTAAGGTGACCTGAAAATAGGCAAGGCAGACATAAAGATGATCTCTCCTGCACTAAATACGACATCGAAAGTAGCTCGATTGTCTCTTACAACCTAGGTAGTTATACATCATATAAGACATCGTAGTTAGGGGAGATCTAGGGGTGTCCGTGGTCCTTCTGAGCCTGGCGTAGGTGGTGCGGGTTCTATCGATTTGGCTGGGACCTTTCGTCTTGGTCTCTTTAAATCCTCCAATGTAATTCCGTCCAGCTTGGTAATACCAACCACTGGCGGTTCACCCTTCTTCACAAATTCCCATTGCCCTGGATATAATGTTAGGATAGCGTATATACCCAATTCCGTAAAGTACGGTGCTTACCAGGTAGCTTGTTACCGGCTAACCGAAAGGCGTCGCGCACAACTTGCTCGTGAACCATACCTCTTAATTCTAAGACGATCTGATTCACTGCCACTCTTGCCGCCCAGTGATCAAATGAACCCTTTCCTTTACCCATACGTATCTATAAATGTAGGTTAGTTATAGAAAGATATATAAAATGGGAACATCGGAGGGCAGACCTCGTTGCCGCTAACGAACACGCCAATGTTGCAGCACACTCTCTTATATAGTCGGTACTTCTGACCACGTAGTCGCTGCTTGATAGTATCCTCCGCAATCTTGAGATTTTGAGCGCTGATCCTTCGATGATGATCAATCATTCGTAGTCCGTAGTCTCCCCACATCACCGTTGTTCCCTTGACAGAGCCACCGGTTGCGACCCTAGCTCGTCCCTTCATCATCTTCGTCTTGCGATTTATATTGGGCTCTAGCCAGTTGCCGCCCACTGACGCTGTTGCCGAAAACAGGCGGACATTTTGGGGCACAATCGAGGTGCTGGGTCTGATTAATGGGCGCATAGTTGAAGAATGGGTTATCGTAAGTGACCGAAAAGTGCCAACAAGGCATGATGGCGCCTTGGAATGCATGATTGCGAATATATAAAGACTCAATCGTTGAAAGCTCCCGTCATCGCTTCGCACCTCGAAATTTGACCATTGAAGTCAAAAGTGACCAAATTTGAAGATCCAATCGCGGATCATCAGCCGCTAGTGGGGTACGTACCTACTTAGATATATTATACTTTAGGTTAGGTACATTAGCGCATTTAAGTGATAACCTCAAAGATTATATAATGGGTACAATTACCAATTACGCAATGAGTAAGCTCCACCTAGGCCGTCACAACGGAACGTGGCCAGAACTTGATAAGGAATTCGATAAGGTTAGTTAAGGTACGGAAGAACCTTGGTCCCTTACTTTTTCTACATCCGTCGCTGTAATTTGATGCGACAAATTCCAATTGTAGGCCACTACCAATTGTTACGTTTTCCATTCTTTTGGGTCGCTTGTCGCCTTCGCGCATCTGACAGAAAAGCTTATTATCTTCTTCTAGCCTAAGCAGCTGTTCTCTTTGGGTCTATTATATCGTCTCATCCTTTCACCAGCAATCAAAATGGCTATACTCAGTCCGCAAGTGTACGTGTTATCAATTTTGTCTCGCACGTGTACATTCGTGAAGTAGTAGCTAACCGAGTCTCGGTAGAACTAACATCATCATTATCCTTGGGATGATGCAAGTTTCCAAGAGGATCCCCTTTGACGATCCCGATGTCCTCAATATTGTTCGCGCGCTCTACATTGGTAGCAATGTGATTATCGCTGGTATCTACGTCTACGTCCAGCTCCAGATCAACAAGAAGAAGGGTACGTCCCCCCCCCTTGGAAACGTTATACTATATACACATACTAACTAGTCACTGACGTATAGATCTCACTACGCTTAAATATGTCGAACCGGCTCCGATGGGATCTTCGGAGGAGGGCAAGCTCGTGACTACCACCGTCCAAGCCTATGACTCGCAGCAACTCAAGAACTCTTTCCGATCGCAGATTATGGGTCTTGCAATGATGGGCTTTATGCACCTATACATGAAGTACACCAACCCACTCTTGATCCAATCCATCATCCCGCTCAAGGGCGCCCTCGAGTCCAACTTGGTCAAGATCCACCTCCTCGGCCAGCCGGCCAGTGGTGATCTCAAGCGTCCCTTTAAGCAACCTGCCGGGCTCATGGGTGGTCTTCAGAGCGGACCTGCGCAAAGCGATAAGAAAGCTGTCGAAGCCGCCGAGCGTGCCGGCCGGGGTGGTGTCAAGGACGAGTAATGGCGTTATAAGTGGCTCACTCATCTAAAGTGGTTTAATGGAGGGACTTGTAGCATAATGTTGACGCTGTATACGAAGGACACCATGGAGGTTTTACTACTAATGTAGACTACCTACGTACATCACGAATAGACAATTGCATAATTCATATAACTCGAGATTTGCGTATTCAGTTGCTGTAATAATTTCAGCAGCTTACCAATATATTATCATTATTAGCATTATCTATAATGCATCTACGTAGGTACCTAAGGTACGACGTACAAGAATAAAGTTCCGGGATGTCCGGGGTGGCGTAAATATCGGGGTGTTGGAATTCTTTTTTAAATTTATAGTACTGTTTTCAACCCCCGACGTCACCGGCTTACATGATACTAAACCCTTACATTTTAGGACCAATCCCAAAAGATAGTCCTAACATTCGAAGCTACAACAACTTCACCATCTCAACTTATTCATAGCTGGACTTCCCTTGCGCTTACTCATGATCATACTTCCTTTGCAAAATGGAGCGCCCTTCTACGCCACCACAGGCGAAAACTATCAACCCCTCTAAACCCATAGCGTCTCCTCCTACGCCTGAGATTACCCGTCGCATCGTGAGTCAACCCCTCGGCGAAAGAATAGTTTTGATTGCATTCAATACTTGTGAGCTCTGTTCTAATGATAATGTAATTTATAGGAAGAAAATAGACTCCGAGCCAAGGCATTACGTGAACAGCATGAGTCCGCCGCTCGTGCAGCTGGCGCACCCTCCGTCTCTCGCACTCCATCTGGCTTCATCGCCACCGATAATGCGCAAGTCCCGAACACGCGTAAGCGCGCCTATGATGCTATATCTGGTACTCGAGTCCGCGAGACACCGTCCACCAGCCGCGATGGCCGCGTTAATGGGGTCTCGCCTGCTAAGGCTGCTCCTGGCGATAGTGCCGACCAGGCCAAGGCGGATAAAGACGAAGGGACCATAAGACCAGCGAGAAAGTTCACCAAGTTTGTCGACTACGACTTCGGCAAGATGACGGATACGAAAGGTGGCTTCTTGAGTGCCGAGGACGATCCTTGGAACAAGGCCATGTCGGGGTCTACTGCTACGGGCAACGGAAAAGGTAACGGGCCTAGTGAAGGACAGGAAGAGAGGCCCAAAGGAATGAGCGTGCAAGAGTGGGAAAGGCGACAGTTACTGAAGAAGCTCCAACGGCAGAAGGCGGGGCCATTTGAACCGGGTCTGAGTGTGCTACGGGATGAAAAGGACCGAAAGAGATGTCGCGAGTGTAGGAGTCTCGAGATTGACTTCGTATGGGAGGAGGTTTTCGGGTGTGCCATCTGCAATAGTTGCAAGGAGAAGTATCCCGAAAAGTACAGTCTTCTGACAAAAACAGAGTGCAGGGAGGACTATCTTCTGACAGAGCCGGAGTTGAGAGATGCAGAGCTGCTGCCCCACCTCTCAAAACCAAACCCACACAAGTCCCACTGGCACGATATGATGCTATTCCTTCGGTACCAGGTCGAAGAGTATGCATTCAGTGACAAAAAATGGGGTTCGGCAGAGGAGCTAGATGCCGAGTTCGAACGTCGCGAGACGGAGAAGAAGAAACGAAAAGAAACCAAGTTTAAAGAGAAGCTACTGGACCTCAAGAAGCGGACGAGGACGGATGCGTACCGGAGGCAAACGGGGAAGCTCGGGGGAGACGGAGGAGGAGGTACGGGGTCTGGCAAGAAAGCCAAGTTTGGAGATGCTATTTCCAACGGTGGCAAACATGTTCACGAATGGGGACGAGTCATCGAGAAGGATGACGGTTCAACGGTGAAGACTTGTACGACCTGCAGCATGGAAGTTGAAGAGATGGAGTTTTAGGAAGATAAATGATGATACCCAATTATGTAGAGCATAATCAATAGATCCTTCATGAAGAGGCCTTTTTACGTAACTTATTATATTGAAGTATGTAACTATTGTTTATTTGAGAAGTCGTTCCAATAGGTAGCTTCTTGGTAATCCGTCTTAATATAGCTTATGTATAGACAACCAATGTCTATCGATTTTATTGGTCAAATCTCGCGCTGTTAATCAGCGCGATAACATTCCTATTGCTACGCAATAATGCATATAGCAAGCCATTCGTCATTACAACTGTAGACCGACAAAGCGAGACTCGCAAAAGTCATGTCTTACTGAGCAACTACATATCCACCTTAGTCTTGGACATTTTACTCGCCTCCTCGTATATCGAAGAGGATTTTATAGAAGTATACTAGTATTTTGATCGATGAAGATCTAAACCTTAATTGGAATAATGACCATCAGTTAGGCTTCAATTGGTTAAGACAGGGTCTTATATACGACGGTAGGGCGATAGGGCCGGTAGGGGTGGAGCAGGAAGCTTATCGAATATCCGGACAATTCGGTCTTAACCCTCTACCGTCTCTCCGAATTGAGAATATGGCTCCATTACTAGGTTACACAAATATAGACTGAACTAATGTCGCCGACTTTATTACCTATTTCTGAAAAGTTGGTATTGCTTGCAGGCATGTCTTAGTCATAGTATCTTAATGCCAAAAAAGAAATCCGTAATCCCGCTCTTCCGCGATGCCTCGTGACTCTCGGCCTTTCGCTTCAGTGTGTGGAACCGACTTATAGACTTTGGCGAATGAGTATAACTACCTAGGTAGTGACTAAAATTTTAGTATTTAAGGATACAGGTTCCTGTCCATAAGAGAGAATTTACTTAAGTAACATGGCGAGCTTTGATTTTAAGTTATATTGAGGCCAACTGTAATATCACTTACATACGCATGATATAAGAGTAAACAAAAAAGATCACCACGAATATGGAAGCATTGGGCAACCTCGAGCGTGGGCAGCTTCTACTAATCGCTATAGGTGTAGCTACACTAGGGGTACGAGATTCGAATCATATTGAAATAATTGTGTCAGAGAGAGCTAACATACTTCATAGTATACCTGTATTATTCTGAGCAACCCCCTGGCAAGACTACCTGGTCCTTGGTATACGCTATGGACGGAAACAATTTTGAAGTATAAGGTTATTACAGGCCAGAGGCCACAATGGGTTCATTCATTACATGAAAAATACGGTATGCTCATCCTCATTCAGATATACCCCTAATGATGAAAAGAAAAGAAATAAAATAAAATAAAACAAAAACCCGTACTCTAACTATGACCCGGCAAAATTATAGGCACCGTCGTCCGCATCAGCCCCAACGAGGTCAGCATACAAGATCCGAACGCCGTCCAACAAATGTACCAAGTCAAGGGCGAGTTCCTCAAGTCTAAGTTTTACAACTCTTTCCTACCGGGAATTGGGAACATCTTCAGTACAACCGATGTCAATTATCACCGACGACACCGAAAGCTTCTCGCATCCGAGATGTCGGAGTCGGGTTTAGCCTCACATAGACCCACGGTCGAAAGCAAGGTTCGTTTGACTATTGAGGGTATGGCCGAAGAAATGGAGAAGCGTGGTGCTACGGTAAGTTGCCATCTAATCTATAGAGAAGGGAGAAAAACTGCTAACCTACGCTCCTTGCCTTTAAAAGGATGTGTTTCGTTGGGCTTTATATATGGCCACCGACGTGATCGGTGAGCTTAGCTTCGGGTCTTCATTCCGCATGCTAGAAACAAGAGAGGTTCGTATCTTGCCCATGACTCTTCATCGTCTCCGTCAAATTTTGGTCTTTTCCACTAACCCTATTCTTACGTCGCGGATAATAGGAGACTCAGTACATCCGCGATTTGAAAACGACAGCATTTGCTGGAGGCCTTAGGTCAACATTCCCTTTCCTCACGAAGGTCACTAAGTACGTCCCGCTGCCAGTTATCAGCTTGGGGACACAAGTCCGAGACCGCATGCGCGAATACGCAACGCAATCGCTCGGCCGGCACTACAAACTAATAGAGGAAGGAGAAGACGCCAAGCGCACGCTCCTATCTAAGTTGTACCGTGCCTCGGAGGACGATGAAGACACTCTGCCCTTCGAAGAGCTACGTGAAGATGCCATGGCGTATATCGCAGCTGGAAGCGACACTACCACTAACACCTTGACATACCTCATCTGGACCTTATGTCAACGCCCTGACCTTAAGGCGAAGCTGCTAAAGGAACTAAGCACGCTGCCGGATGGATTCACGGACCTGGACCTCAAGAAGCTACCTTACCTCGACCATGTGATTCAGGAGACGCTACGCCTATACAGCGCCGCCCCCTCGGGTCTACCTCGTGCCGTACCCCAGGGAGGTGCTACTCTTGCCGGCTATTACATTCCCGGCGGCTATACGGTGTCATCGCAGGCGTACAGTATGCATAGGAATCCGACTGTCTTTTCGGAACCGCTGAAATTTGACCCTTCAAGATGGGAGAATCCGACTAAGGCAATGAAGGACTCGTTTGTACCGTTTGGTGGAGGGAGTCGAAGTGAGCTTTTATTTACTATTTCCACACCCACAACCCTATGTCTACAAGTCCTTTTGGATATGATTGATTTAACCGAGTCACCGTTTCTAACTGTATATAGTCTGCATTGGCTTGCACTTGGCCAAGATGGAACTGCGTCTCGCGACCGCGCGGTTCTTCACCCGGTTTCCGAATGCCACCGTCTCCCAATTAGAAGGATTTACGGAAAAGGACATGGCTCCTATCACGTACTTCCTCATGGCGCCGAAGGGCCAACGTTGCTTGATTAATGCTCACTAAGGTGTGCTGATATTGTCTGCTTAACTACCTAGGTACCTGTTATTTGGCTTTGCGGGTGAGTACATAATGCTGGAATAATACTTGTTGGTTCTACTCATGTTATACTTATCTGTCGGGATTATGCGACCGGGCTGTCTATTCAGCACCTTATGCACGCCGTGGAAAGGTATATACGGGACAACTATCCGGTAAACTTGTATATTAAGAGAATTGAAGATATGGTAAGTGTACATACATAGTACAAATACTTATAGAATTATATAGAGATTGGATCTAACGGTGTATATGTTTAAGTAAATAAATAGTTGCTTATAGCGAATTCTCCACTAGTTTGTGGATTAGGAGTGAAGTCCCTCGTCCCTGTTTTTGGTATACCCACAGGGCTGAACAAGCGGAAAGGGAGTTGGCTTTATCATCCCTAGCGGGCATAACGGAATATAATTAAAAGCTTTATTATCGCGGACGTAGGTACTCAATTCTTAAGTATAATATAATGGTAATTACCTAACCTAAAAACAATAATAAGTGAATTTTAGATGCGATACTGACTACCGTGTTACTTACCTTATATAGGTTTTTTCCTTGTTTGTCAATTACTTGTTGCCTATAGGTCTATAGAGATGACCCAGACCCACCTATCTAATTCCTTCGTCCCGTTGAGCTGAGACTAGCAGCCCTAAGTAGGTATTATGGCTGTAGTATTATAAGATCCTGGGTATTCTTATTGTCCTTACCTTTCATTCTTAGAAACTTCATCTAGTTATTAGATTTAAGATTCCCTTCTACCTGACGAAGAGTGGACGATGGGGATTCAAGGTGTTTCTCTTTTCTTGCTCCCCGTATTGGGTGCGCTTATATTAGACTTTATTTATCGTTTATATCGTCGGAGACAGCGATTTAAGAACTTGGTACGAATTGATTCTCCCTCGTTTAGATCATATCATGAGAACAAAAAGGAGAAACAAGACTGATGTAGAATATAGCCCAAACCACCACATAGCTTCCTATGGGGCCACCTTAAAGTCATGGGCGAAATCGCTAGCCAGTTGCCTCCGAATAACCACCCACAGGCGTATATCACTGCCATTGCGCAGAAGTATGACCTGAAGGGTATCTGGTACCTCGATCTGTGGCCCATAGCGGATCCGCAAGTCATCCTAACAGAACCAGAGCTTATGGACGCAGTGCAGGTAACAAGAGTATACAATCAGCACCGGATCTCCCAGGAGCTGATGTCAAGTATAATCGGCGAAAATGTTGTCGCAACCGTGAATGGGCCTATGTGGAAAAAGCTTCACAATGCAATGGCTCCAGCATTTTTACCCTCCTATGTCAGAACACTCACAGATCTCATGGCCGATGAGACGATGATCTTTAGGGAAGCTCTAAAAAAGCTCGCGAGCGGCCGTCAAGTCTTCTCCATGGAGAATGAGTTATCTAAGCTGATATTCGATATTGTTGGTCGGGTCGTCTTCAATTTCCCACTTAACGCACAAACGCAGGGCAGCTCATACCACGAAGACCTAAAGCAAACCATCGGACTACTTAATCTACAACTTTCTATGAACCCGTTTGTTAAGCTACAGGTGGCACTGAAAAAATGGTCTGTTCGGAAGCGGGTCGATGCATCTATTGCTGCAAAAATCCAGGAGCGTTTGGCCGCGCTTAGGAATGAGAACATCGTGCCTTCACGTAAAGATCCTCTTAGCATTCTCGATTTGATGCTCCGAGAAACGGTGTTGCAGGATGGAACTCGAAAAGGTCTTAAAGCGGCCGAACTTCCTGAAGGAGAATTGGAATTATTGATAACAAAGTACGGCCCTGCTTGAGCACCTCAAATAGGAATATACACTTACATAACTACAACAGTATGAAAGGTCTCCTACTCGGTGGGATGGGAACAAGCGTCGACACGCTATGCGTGAGAACTCTTCATGGAATTTACCTTTAGCATTTTACCTTAGCTAACCCATTCTAACCAAAAGTATGCTTACATGCTCTTGTCAAAACATCCAGAAGTTGTCCAGAAAATGCTTGAAGAGCAGGATGCTGTGTTTGGCAGAGACCTAGAGACAACCATGGAAAACCTAAAGGAGTCGCCAGCAAAACTCAATGAGCTAGAATACACAACAGGCGTGATAAAAGAGACGGTGCGGCTTTTCCCAGTTGGATTTGGCGTCAAAGAAGCACCAGCATGGTAAGGAGCCCCCCGTTTCCCAGCGCTATCTAATGGAGCAATACTAATGTGATTTTTTCACAGCGCAACGGTTTCGTACCAAGGCCGCGAGTACCCTATCGATGGCGGCCTAGTCATCGTCCCCTCTTGGCACACTATGCACTTCGACTCACGGTACTTCCCAGAGCCCAGCGCGTTCCGGCCTGAGCGATTTCTGGGTGAAGGTGTTCCTCGTGGTTGGTTCCGTAGCTTCAGTCGTGGGCCGCGTGCTTGCCTGGGGCAAGATCTCGCTATGGACATCATGCGTGTGGTCCTGTTGCTCACTGTTCGAGACTTCCGCTTCGAAGTCGCTGGACTCCGGCCTAACCCGAAGCCTAGGTCGACCTACACGGACCTTGATACCATCTTTGGCGACATCGTATTCCAAGAGTTATCAATGGAGGCAAAGCCCAGGGATGGTATGATGATGACGGTTAGCGAGAAGGGGGGTGCGTTGTAGAGGACAATAAGGCATAATCATTATCACTAGGTAGGTACCTAACTAATGTAAAATAAATAGAAGACGACATGATAATTTTTGAATAAGCCAACCAAATATCGATGTTAACTTTCACAATCTCAAGAAATTATCATTAGTTGCAATAATTACCTAGGTATCTTGGAAAGATTATTACACCTAGCAGAATAGAAAATTTATTATAACTATCATAGGATAAAAAAGTATTTCGTTTCATCAGGGAGCCTTGACAAAGATGCGCAAGAATATAACATAATTCAAACATCAATTAAAATAAAAATAAAATAAAAATAAAATAAAACACAAAAAAGCAGGCCCCTAGGCTCGAGTCCCGAACATTTGAACATAACAAGATGGCCTGTCTTGTCGCCCTGCCTGTGGCTCGAACCTGGAAACGCCATCGAAAAACCCCACGAAGGGATTTTATCTACACCGTCATACCATGAAAACCACTAAGCCACGGCCTCTTTGGGTAGCGTATCTGAATGGTCAGGAGTGATGGAGGGACTGTTACTACATATTATAACTTTACCTTCCGTTGCTAGGGAACCACGGTAGCCATCTGACTGCCTAGAGACCGGATTGCTGTTGAGGTGCTTAAAGTACCAATGTAGCTTTCATGCCCGGGCAAACATACCTAGACGACAATGTTGAAACATAAAGCGAACAAGAGGTATAGGAGACTGGCAATGCTGTATTTTGTTTCATCACCGCCTAAGGTCCGATTCCATCATAATTTAGAGGCCTAATATTCGAGTAAATAATATACCTACTACGGCCCATACCATCCTGATAAACCCGACAGTACCTACTTAGGCCCTAATTTGCAACTCCACGTAGCGATCGTAAGAAAAAAAGGGTATCAATCCCCACCGAAGCCCGTATGTAACGCCTAGGGAGAATCATAAACATACCATAAACCCCCCTAATCCAGCACGCCCACGAGACCCTAAGCCTCTATGATATTGGGTATCAATGATTGTATAGAATGAGACCAATTGACCAAGAAAAAAAAAGCCGAATAAAACGAGTGTTGGTACCAGCACTTCCCTTTAAAATATTTCATGTGCCTGGTTCCTAGACACGCTCTATAGGGTCCACCGGGGAGGCTCCTAGAAGGCTGTCTTCATCGTCATCTTTCACGGTCCGTCTAATAGAGGCACCAAATGAACCGCTCCCAGGTACAGCAACAGGAGCTGGAGTAGTAATATTTCCGGTCGCAGATGGTGCGCCGAGCTCCCAACTTCCTACGCGCTCGTGTCTCGCGCCGTTCTTGGCAACAGAGACATCATGGTCCGACGCCATCTTCTCAGCGCCCTTGAACCCGCCTAGACTACTACGACGGCGAGAGGCATCCGAAGAGTCTCTACGTCGAATACGTAGGCCACCGAAAACAAAAGCTGTCACACTAGCAAGACCGAGTACTGCAATGGCAGTCAGGGCACCGATGACGCCGGCAACTGCTGGAGATAGGGAGGCATTGCTGTTCTGATTAGCTCCGTTGCTACCATTCGAAGAGTCATCCAAGCTCCCAGAGCTATGACTTAGCGCGCTGCAAAATAGCGCAACAGAAGAGCACACGTTACACCAATCTGAGAGTTCCCAAATGGCGAACTTGTCGATAGCGGCTTGGAAGTCAGTCCAGGTCATGCGCGTCTCCGAGTTACCCCGGCCGAAGAGCGGATACTCGGTGAGCGGCACATCAGGACCCGAGCCGTTACGGTATAGGAAACGTACCCAAGAGTTGTCTTCGCGGGGGTATTCTACGTCGTCTTCGGTGGTGAATAGCTCGAATACAATAGCGGCGCCAGGGTCCGGGATCTGACTGAACGTTCCAGATACGTTGATTAGATCGGCCAACGCGAAAAAGGCTAATAATGGCTCGAAGGAGCCGAACATTAGCGTCATTTTTTCCGTAGAGCTCGCTGAGTTCATATGCGTCCTAAGCTGAGTTACTACTTTGGCCGCGAGCGTGCGACCCCCAATAGCCCTAATCATGTCGCCCTCCTGCGATCCCGAGGCTGATAAGTCTCCATTCAGATCGAATTGTTGCTTGTTGGCTAAGTCGCGTAAGATTGCTAGACGATCCTCATTAAGAGAGTCACGCACTGACTTGTCGTGGTCGTACGCATATTGGGCGTAGTCGTACAAGTCGTATGCATAGTCGAAATTGAGCATATAATCCGATAGCGTGTTTGGGAATACCTCCTCCCAAGTCCTCTGGTAGAAGAAAGATGTCGCATTATACATCTTCTGAGCCGCGTCGCTACTCTGAAAGTCTAGACTCGACGACCAGTACTCCGGACATATCGCGTATCCCTCGAGCCTAATGACCCTATTAATATCCACGTGAACTATGTTGGAATTTAACTAACTCACCAGACAGAATTCGGATCCGTAGTGGGGACGTTCCGGATATTGGGATACTGGTAACCATCTAGAGGGTAGTTGACCACAGTACCGTTAGCCAATGTAGATGCGTTGTCACCACCGTTGTTAGAGGCGAAAGTCTGAGTAACAGGTGGGTAAAGACCCTGTAGGAAGGCTAGAGCGCTCCCGACTACATAGTCATCTGTGCTGCTGGAGATAGAAAGCTGGCTATTATCAAGGGCCTGGCGCTCTATACCAACGATGGGCGAATTCGTCGTTATAGCGTTTTCTTCATCTGATAAGCTAGAATTGGATAAGTATCGCGCCCTAAATAGTGATCCTTGAGAATAGAGCTGCTGTGCGCCCAGTGGAGTCAAGCTGGGTGCGAGGTCTCCTTGAAAAGGTGTGCGCTCGCCGTATAAGACATATGCAACAGAAGCCCAGACAGTTTCGTTGGTAGACTGAGCTAAAACCTCGCTCACAAGTGTAAGACCAGCAGCTAGCGCCGCTAGTGAACGTGAAGCCATCTTTAAGTCGAGCTGGCGCTCACCACGCCCTTCTCGTATAGTTTACGAAAAAGATATAACGACTAAGTAAAAATCATACGAAATAACGAGTACGAAGGGGGGGATCTAGAAGAGCTATCAAGCTCGAGGAGGACAAAGGAGGGGTAAATAGAAGGACAAAGATAGCCAGCCCTACCTTCGAGGCTTGCTTACCTCTGCATGTCTACATGGCTTCGGGATGACACCAGATAACGTGCTTGTGCGTTCCAGGGTCCGTCATGATATCTTGCTAGATAGGACCGGCACTGCAGTATCTGTGTATATATAGAAAACGGCGGGGAGCTTATGAACTCTCTCATCAAGAACGGCGGGGTAGTGTAGCTGTTGAAGAGCACGTCAGATAAGAGCAAGCAAGGAGAGAGCTTGGCATAGCTCTTTTCGAACTTTTAGGGCTGGTGGGCTGGGATGAGCTATCATCGGATGAGCTCTATCATAGGTTCGTTAGCATACCTGCAGCAGCGATCTACCCTGTCTGCGCCTAGTATGCCGTAGTGTTATAGTATCTGTTACATCGAAGCACCCGTGACACTTAGATAAAGTGCTAAGATATCGTTTTCAGATATTACTCTGTACATACTTGCGAAATGAAAGTCCGGATTCGGGGATTCTTGGTCGCCAAGGACATTCTTTATCGATATGGTAAGAGGCTTGGCTTTGGTAAATTGGGTATTATTTAATATAAGAGCGGACTTGAAGCGGTGTTCTATATTCAAAAAGAGATCTGATATGTGATGCGATTGCGTGCTGCAGGAACCCTTCGTCGTACTGAAGAAATTATTATATCGTCTCTATTACCTGGGTATATACCAAGGTACCTTAGTACATAAATGACGGGTATCGACATGGTACCTACTAGAAGGTCTCGTTTGAAGAGCGAATGGGTTGAACCCTGGGGATTTAGGATTCCTAGTTAGATAATAATAGCGTCTATGCCCGTGCTTATGAAATTGATACGAGATACAAGCAAAACATTTTGGAAATTATTAAAACAGTTAGCTTAATTTTATAGTGACTTATCCATCAATTGATATCATAAGGTTTCGAACCTAGTGAGAACGAACTCGAAAACGAGACTAGACAACAGGGGTTTTAAAAACCAGCATCACTCAACTCGAGTTAGGGAGATGCGCTTAAGAACTAGGTTAGCTCACTTTTAGTATTCACGATTTGGCTTTATACTATATCAAACGCAATATATCCATCATCCCATTCATCAATGTCCTGTCCAAGACCACTAGCAATAGCCAACCATAATGACTCGCGTACCCTCTCACTTTCGACAATATTGTCATAGCGACTAGACAAATGTATGTATTGAATTGATAGCTTACATAAGTCTCAATTACCAAATCATAGGTGAAGATCTTGGGATATTACACGGAGCTGACGCCAGCCTCTCACATTATCTATCGATAAATATTCTAAATGTTTCTAATCCGTCGGAGACATTTTTTACGCTCAAACTTGTAAAAAATGTCTCCGACGGATAAATCTACGCTCACGTGAGCGGTATCTTTACTCTAGGCGACGATGAGAGTACGAATACCTTGCTAGAGCGGAGAAATTAGCCGCTTGTCATGCAGGTACGCTTATATTCAAACAGGCTTCTAGACTCACATACTAGATCGCGACATAACGTTAATACTGAATTATTACATTTTTGCGAACGGGATTCTCGGGGTGCCGGTGCGTTAATGTAGTCCGCTCATATATAAAAATCCGCGAGCACTGTAACGCTATCGTTATATCCGTTAACTATAAGGAACACTCTAACTTTTCTTAATAATAATCCATGTCTAGTCCTTTGGGGAAATAAATGGGGTTAGATTCCCTATATAATGACATCTCAGTATAAAACAATTCGATTTTCTATCTGGTAATCCTCTCTAGTTTCTACTCATATTCCTAGTAGTTATTGTTTACTTAAACGAAACAATGGCCAAAGGCTCTATTCTAGTTACCGGTGCCAACGGCGGCCTGGGTTCCTCCATCGTCGACCAGATCTTACATCGTTCGTCACTTGCTCAAGAGTATCATGGACTATACACGGTCCGCAAGGTCGAGACCGCGGATGCTGTGAAAAAGGTACTCCAACGCGCTGGCAAGGTGAATCACCAATATGACCTCGTCCCGCTCGACTTGGCGAGCCTCGCTAGTGTCCGCCAAGCCGCTGCAGACATCAATTCACGAGTTTCGAGCGGCGAGATACCACCTATCCGTGCCCTAGTGTTATCTGCGGCATACCAGGAGCATGACCAGCACGATTTCACCAAGGACGGGTTTGACATGTCCTTCCAATCCAGTTATCTTTCGCATTTCCTCCTGACGCTCCTATTACTCCAAAGTATGGACAAGGAGAAAGGTCGTATAGTTGTTCTAGGTAGCTGGACACATGAGTAAGCGACTATGACTTCCTCTATCAATATCCATCAAGCCTTCAGTTGTCTTCAGTTCACCATAAACCCATAGCTAATTCACCTTAGCACTACCGATCCTAGGAACAAAGTGGGACCATATGCGGATACTTACGTGCCCGAGGAGTTCCATCAGATATTTAACGACCCCGAAGGCAGCACCGAAGCTATTGCTAAGGGTAAGTGGGGTGTTGCCGCAGGGCAAGCAGAAACTCCTATTGCTGGTATGAGGCGGTACGGAGCTGGGAAGCTATGCGAGATTATGATGATGTGAGCACCCCCCTTTTTCTCTTCTTACTACCTTAGGCGTAGTTAATACTCTGCCAAACCGAGACTAATGTTGCCCAGGCGTGAACTAGCACGGCGTATACCGCAAGACCCAGCTCTCTCCAAAATCGCGGTGCTAGGCCTCGACCCAGCAGCGATGATGAGCGGCATAGCGCGACGTAGCGGCTGGCTGGTGCGAGTTCTCATCATGCAGTATATAGGCCCGCTGATTGCGCCGATTGTAACGTGGCTAAGCCCCAACGGTAATCTACGGACGACGTGGAAGTCGGCCGCGGATGTGATACACGCGTGCTTTGATACAGACGGCGGACTTGGCGAGTACCCGAACGGGATCTACCTTAACGGCACGGCCATCTCGGACGTCGGGCCGGAGGCTAAAGACGAGACTAAGTGCCGCCGGCTATGGCACGATAGTTTGGGGTATGCAAATATTAAGGAGGGTGATACTGTGCTGGCAGATTGGCGATGAGGTGAGGACCGATAAGTAGTTTATGTAGGATACCCTGGTTTTTTTTTTGGTTTTTTTGTCATATTGTTTTATATCAAAACCTACCTGATTGAAGTGACTTAATTGAAGTGCCTTAAGACCGAGTGTATATGCGCTATGCTGTGATATCCAATGTTGCATTATATTTTGCGGAACATCCGAAGTCGGCATCCGTATCCAGGGTGAGATCAAATCTGCCGAACCCAAAGTGAGTGCCGCCGGGTCGGTATCAAATGCGTTTACCGCGGCCGAAGAAGGGGTTCGCTCATCTTAGCATGCTACATGCCAACGTAGATAGATATACTGTAGGTAGGGACCGTCGTAGCTCGGACGCACGAAGTTGCATCCTTTACCTGTACGATGGCAGTTTAAGAGGTTACTGTATATGCAAAGCTCTTAGAAGGGAGAAGAATGCGGTCATATGCAGCCTTGCTGTACGACCAGGAGAACGTTACATGTGTGGGGTTATATATTACGGTTATATTGAGAACTTGCATCAGCTAACTGTTTCTTCTGCATCCGTATCGTGCTCCAAATAGTCTAGCCGTTATTCCGAACCACGGAAGTCCAGCTAGAATCTCCATGATGTGCTTAGGGGTTCATCTATTTTGTCCACGATAAGTCTAGTTCTTACACTACGTCCCGTGGTTCGAGTATAGGATTCAATAAATATCTCTGCTATTTTGTCTCCGGAGGCAATAGGGCATCTAGCAATAAATTTTGAAGCTTTCCCTCTTTTGCTATTTATCCGCGGTTTGCAGTTCATAAAGATCTACCTGCGCAACGAAATGGCTAACGTATAATAATTGCGGTTAAAATCGTTATGTGTGTGCCTGGAACCGTAGATCTTGGGGAACCATGTTATGCAGATAACCCATTCTATACCAACCAGGTAGGTAGAACCAGCTTCGTCTCATATATACATCTCTCCTCGTGTATGCCGGCTCTTAGTAAACAGCTTATTGGTCCATTTCCGTCGTATGAATGTATCTGGATCAGCTGCGTGTAGCATTGATTCGACGTTCCGCTGCCCTGTTTTCTGAAGGACGCATTCAATTGCCATTTAACGAGTTTCTCTGTAAAACTCTTCCATAAAGAATTCAGGGCGGACGCCTGATAATGTCATCATCGGGAGAGACCTAGGCACGGGCGGATGGAAGCGCACGTCTTTTGGAGTTCTAAGCCATCCCTTCGGAGGTGACGGATAACTCGGCCAACGATAACTCGACAATGGCGCTCATCAGGTTGCTTTTACTAGGCCTGCTGCCGTTCCTATGCCTGTCGGCCTCCCTTCCGAAGCCATCACGATTTGACCAACTGGGACAGAGGGGCAAGCTGACAAGTGCTCACCGCACGTCCGAGAGCGGAAGGCATATCAGAGCTACGCTTCAATCTCGGAAGGTGAACAACATAACTGGTGGTTCGATGTCCATATATGATGAGACATCTAATATCTCAAGTCGGTCACCACGAGAGCCGTTAGCAAGATACGGTGCGGGGATTGTATATATGCTAGAACGTATGCTATTGACATATCTCATTATAAGACGGCAGCTAATGTCCTTAGGTAGTTGCTCTCGGAACTCCCGGACAGATAATTTCGGCTATCCTCGATACCGGATCGTACACGCTACTCGTGGATCCGGACTGTAACCAGGCGGCGGACCCGAAAGCTTGTCGGACATATGGGTACTACGACACTAAACAGTCGTCTACCGCCAAAAACCTCAATGGCTGGTTCTCTGGCCAATTTGGCACTGGCTATATGGAGGGGGTATGGTTCAGTGACACAGCCTATGTCGGGCTAGACAGTATGTATTCATACCCCCTTTTTAATACTCTGACTAGGACATGACCCCATATATTAACGAGCATAACATTGGTAATAGACCTACCGCTTCCTAATCTAAGAGTCGGGGTAAGCAAGTGGAGCGAGTATATTTGGGCTGGGGTGTTGGGCGTCTCATACGGCAAGGCGTGGAATACCGGATACCAAACCTTACTGGATCTTCTTGTTACGCAAAGCTATATTGAAGTACCAATATTTAGTTTAGGCGTCGGATATCAAGGTGGTGGGAGTCCGAGTAAGTTATCACAGATCCTATCATCATTTTCAGGAGACTGATTTCCCTTAGGTGACATAATCTTTGGAGGAGTAGACAGAAAGAAGTTCCGAGGATATCTAGAGCCTCTAGAGGTTTACCCGTACCCGGACCAGCAACTGAAGCTCTTTGGACAAGTAGGGTAAGGCGCCCTCATAATCCTATACACAGGTAAAAACACTGATGTATGCTAAAACTTACAAAGCTATCGGGTAAATCTAACATCTTTGGGCGTCACCCCTCCTGGACGGAACGAAACAATGTTGACTGACACTGATTTCGAACGTAATGTACTAATTGACTCGGGATCTACGTATACATATCTCGACGCAGACCTAGTTGCTACTATTGCAAGGGCCTTAAACGCGTACCAAGATGAGAATGGAGTCTATCGTGTATCATGCGACATCCGAAATTTGGACGGCTCCGTGAATTTTGGGTTTAACTTTTATAATATAATCGTTAGAGTCAATTATGCCGACTTCATCGTCGACTTCGATAATTATTGCGCTCTAGGGGTCCAGCCGACAGATAACAAAAATTCGACGTGGGTGTTAGGGACGAGTTTCATTCGAGCTGCATATCGTAAGTACTGCTAAGAAATAACCAGAAACTTGGTAACGAAAAATAAGAGCGGCTGCTAACAGAAAAAATAAAATAGTGATATTCGATCAGCTGAATAATGCCGTCTGGATTGCACAATACTTCCCGTGTGGCGAGAATGAGATAGCGGATCTCACTCAGGATGCCGGCAGACAACTGTGGTTAGAGGTCACTGGCTTATGTTGATCGAGAAGGACGAAGAAGCAAAAGGGATGTGGAAAAAGGAGGCCCAAAGGGTTCCGATGTGCTGCCCGGCGCAAGGGATAGGTACCTATGAGCCTGAAATTTCATACCGCTTCATTATGCTTATAGACATGCTATATACATACTATAAGATAGCCATATCGTTAACATTTCGCACGTATAAGTCGTGCTTAAAAATTGAAGAGCATTTATTATAATTTTTTTGTAATTACGCTAAACATCTGGTCCTCTGATATCTTCGCCCAATGGACCTTGCCTCGTCCAAATATTCATCTACGAAACTATGTCAGTATTTTCCACGGAGAATAATAAATATGATACCGCTAAAGAGTTACTTACCCCTATCTTAGAACCACTAGTAACTGGCAGACCAGCATGCAATGTCGCCTGATCCCCCGTACCATCTTCGAGCAAGTTCTGCCAGAAGACCGCGTTGCCAACGATAGGACGGAACGTAACTCCATTCTCCCACGGCTCATCGCAGTCGACGAATTCGCACCAACGCTCATCGTGGGGTGCAGACACCATAGGAAAATTGGTACCGCCGCCCGTGATGTCTTCCGAGGCGGCGACGTATGCGAAAAAGGAGCTCAGCCGGTTGCCACCTAGCGCAGAGGTCGCATGCGCTGCGTTCGTGTACCAATCGGTATGAAAATGGTACCGTTCTCCCTGGCCGTACTTAACCAGCTGCAGGGGTTCAAGGTGCGTCCGTGGCACGTCAAAGCCTTGGAATAACAGCGCTCGCTCCTCGATGCACCGAACCACGACGTCGCGCGGCACGTTGGTTGACTGCGAAGTTCGCGTCTGCCTTAGCCCTTGGGCGCCGGATGCATCAGCGACAGCGGAGTGGGAGAAAGTGTCTTTGCTATTGAAGATTGTTAGTATATACGAATAAACAGACGAGTGTGGTACTTACGTTATCTCCCGGAGATGCGCTTGTTCTTCAGCTGTGATGAAATTTGCTGAATATATGACTAACGGCGATTTGGATACTATATGGCTCTGATATGCTGGATGTTGGCAAGTATAATCGCTCGATGATACCAATGGTTTTTGTGCGCCGCCGTTATGACTGTGTGCCCGAGCCAATCCAATGGCGAGCGATAGCAATGTTAAAGATTTCAATGAATTCATGGTGGATTTAGTAGAAGGTTGAGGTTACGAAAGAGCAAAAAAAGAATAATGTCGCTTTCATTTCTTACGATAATATTCAAATCTTTCACTCTCAAGCAGTTGGCACACCTACATCATAGAAAGGAGAACATGCAGAGTCGAAACGTCAACTGTCTGCGTAAAAGGAGCTTTCCCCTGTTTAGTGTTGCAGTAACCCCTAGTCGAGCTCGTTTAGTGGAGAGCTCTAGCGCTGATCCAGAGTCGTGGAGTCGGACATCGTCAGATCTAACCCCTGATCTGCAAGGTAGTAAACTCAGCTAGGTATACCTACATAATATTTGAGTCTATGAGTTCCCATTCAACTTATCGGGTGACAACATTGGCGATACTTGAATATATTCACGATGAAGATCAGAAGTACGGAACTCTTATATCTGCTAGCAGGCACTAGAATAGCCGTAGCATGGGAGCATTCCAGCGAGGATGAGTTTCGTCGAGCTATAGCCGGTCATAACCATGCTCTAGTTGCTTGTAAGTTATCCATCTTAAATTTAATTCCAGAATCTCTATTCTAACGTGAATGTAGTTATAGAACCAACAACGTAAGTTACTTATAGCCCAATAATCAATCATACCTCATATTTTGGAGACTGATAGGATTTATTCAGAGCCGCCAGCCAAGTTCTAGAACCAGAATGGACGTCTGCGGCGGAGTCAGAGAAGAAATCTCTAATAAGCGTAGACTGCGCTTCGGCTGCAAGCTTGTGTAAGGAGTTCGATGTCATCTCATATCCCGCCTTACGATTTTTCGATGGCCATGGGAAGATGACACCGTACCGAGGCCCTAGGAGGAGATCCTCGTAAGTATCCGCGATTACCGAATCAGCAATCTCACTTGTCTATTACTTTTTTATTGTACCGACTCAAAGTAGTGAACTAAGACTCCAATAGGATACTCTCATATCTAAAAAGGGCGGTGCGTCCCACCGTTATGGTCTTAAACTCCGAAAAGAAGGCTGTAGCATTCCAGTCCAGTGATGACTACGCAGTCGTCGCGCGGATAAACCCGCAAGACCAGCATGTCAAGATCTTGTACGATACACTCGCCTCCCAGTACCGAGACCGCTTGTCTTTTGGATCAGCGGAAACAGATAAAACGACAACAGTGACGTGCTACAATAACCGCGACAGCCAACAATTCACTATTTCAGACTTAACGGCTATTGACGCTCTGCCTCAGCTCATTGAGAATTGCCTCACACCCGTGATCGGAGAGTTTACTCGGACGAACGAAATGAAGTACCTTCAGGTAAGTTATAGCTGAATACACCAGATACTTAAGAGTCATTAATAACGCGGTGTGTAATAGTCCGGCAAGTCGCTCGTCTTCTACTTCTCCTCGTCATTTGCGGAGCGGGAAACGTACGTGGCGGCCATGCGGTCCGTAGCCAAGATGTACAAAGAATATCTAAGCTTCGTGACGGTAGATGCCAACGAATACGGAGACCTAGCCGCGCCCCTGGGCCTGGTGCCCGGCATTTTTCCCGCGCTGTCGGTACAGAATCCTATGTTCGGCAAGGTATTCCCGTATCCTCGAGGACGGGATATCGCACCCGAAGTTGTAGGCGCGTTCCTAATGGATATCGGCCAAGGCAAGGTTGAGCCATGGGATGGGACGATGAGCGCAGATGGAGGGCGTGCACACGATGAACTATGAACTAAGGAACCAAGTCAACCAATCCTCGAATAAGAGAAGGAAATAGTGTATTATTTACATCCATAGTACTCCAAAATCAGGGCAATAGAGGTAACACGTCCATTGTCCAAGTAGAAGCTAGGTGTACGAGAATAATTCACATTTCTTAGAACCCAGGTTCCGTTAAAGTCTTTACAAAATTCAGATTCCCTCCCGTAGGATAAGCTTAAGATAGGCTTTACGGCAAGCTCAAAAAGAGCTCCAAAAGCTTGGGGTAGTCCGGAGTACTATAATTCATATCATATTGGTGACTTATTCCTCAGAAATCATGCGCGTGAATACATACCCCATTCCCGATACAGGATCCCATCCCTCAATAGCCGGGAAACCAGTCGTCTTACATGCCCGGTTATCGCCCTTCGTGATATCTTTGAAGACTTCGGGGTGAGAATACTGCGCTAGGTGGTTAGGAGATATCTTCGTTGAGATTGATTCGAGAAGATATTATAAAAACTTACCAGGACTTGATGAACGAACCCGACCGGGCTTTTACCCGCCGCTAAACGCTCCTCGTTAATCAGAGTAATGATCGATCCCCAGAGTGGCGCCGAAGCGGATGTGCCACCAATGCTTAGTAGCTCACCGCCGCTTGAAATGACGAAGTGGTCTCCATTGGCCGAGACATCTGGATAAGCTCTCCCTAGCTTGTTAAAATGTCCTATACCAGCGTTAACGTTACTAAAGTTACCGCCACCGCCTTCGTAACCCTCGAATGGAAGCTTAGCCTCTTCAAGGTACTTATTGACAATTTCCTTTTGCCAATCCGGGGCATCGTAGATGTTAGAGAATCCTCCACCAGACCGGAACCTGTCCGTCGCCTCCTCGGGGTCGACACCAGGGGTCCCATTGGTCTGCAGGACGGTCGATCCTACCGTCAAGATATAAGGACAAGTTGCAAGGAACTGCGGATTGAAGACGTCCCGTGCGGGACCTAAGCAACCAGAAGGCGCAGCAGGAGATGAGAAGCCGCCGACGCCGTCATCGCCCGATGAGATGATGATCGTAGAGCCTTGTAAGCCGAGCTTCATAATCTCGGCACATTGCCGCTGCTGATAAGACGCCGGGAGATCAATTTCTGCTCCACTGTACGAGATACTAATGACGTTTGTCGGCTTGTATACACCGCACATCAACTGGCCGCTGTATCCAGAACGGTCATGCGGATTCGGGTACACAGGGTCTCGACACTCAGGGCGTTTACAATTACCTGTTTCGCCATATGCCTCGAAAGTGCAGTAGCTGCCGTCGATTGCGTTCCAAAGGTCTAAAGTAAGATATTAGCAAGTGCTATATAAGATATTATTCGAATAATGGAATCGCGGGTTGTTCCTACTATTAAAAAAACCCAAGTATGACTCTGGATCAAACTCGTAGTTAGTCTGGTACCACTCGTCATCGACCTGGTAGAGTGCAGGCTCCTGGGGCCAGATCAACCCGTACGCCATTTGAAAATCGAGGTTTGATTCTGAGCCGGCCAGCCTAAGGTTTGTCGTGGCCCCTTGCCCGCCGTCGACGGAAAAAAGCTCAGGATGCGTTCCGTTCGGGATTTCACTACGAACTATTAGCATCTTTAATAGCGCCTGTAAAGAATCGAAATTAATATTACTCCGTGAAGCTCCAGAAGAATGTGTCGAGATCATGCTGTGTGTAGTGCTGCCCAAGGGATTGGAAGATTCCCATTTTGTTATCTGGGTGTTTCTTGGACCCTTTCGGAATACCATACAGAGCTAAGACTTTTAGTTAGCTAGTGAGAATGTTTCCTGAAGAGAAATCATACCCCTAATACAATCCGGTGTGATATATTGGTCACAGCCACCAGGCAGCGTTAAATTGCCGCTTGCTACATCTGCGGGTTCCACTGGGCTCGCAAAGCGTAAAGGTCCCTCTACATTTGGTCCTGTAGTCCGTTTAAGGGGTGCGAGGATATTCTTGCTCCTCTCACTTTTGAGCTTAGAAAGTTCACCTTCATCAACTGACTGACCGAGACGATTAATGGGGTGTACACCGGCTTCCCTCCGTTTCTTCGATGGAGGCTCTTGGGCGTTCCCGTAACCCATGAGCTTAATACCGGGTGTAATGTAGTCAACGTGTCCTTTCACTTCTTTCGGCAAGTGATATCTTAAGAATAATTAGCCCGCTGTTTATCCCCTATATTATTGCTGCACTCACTCATCACAGGCAATGTTTTTAGCACCTGTATCTACGTGTTCCCACACGTGATAGTCTGCCATTAAGAGATCTTCTACTTTATTAACGGGGGCGTCGAATTGTACCCACTATACGAATTATAGTCAGATGCCCATCAAGGCTATTCATGTTAAAACGATAGTGTATTGGCTCACTTGTTTATTGCTAGACTGCGAGATGGTATTAGACGGAATCCCCGCCTTGATTAGCCAGTCTTTGACTGTCTTGATACTCGCTTCTGACGGCTCAAATAATTTGACAACCTCTTCTGCTGAGAGGTGATTACCATAATTCTTTGATTGAGGGTTTGATCTTAGGAATCTTATTAGCTATTTTGGAGAAACGTATTGGGTAAGAAGAGCCAACGCACATGTCCATCAACAAATTGTGACCTGATTGGAGGTTTTGCTGCTTCAAACCTATGCGCATAGGTAAGATAGCATCAGGTACTGCCCTCTGCAATTTTGTCCAGGATCTTTCTTGCACCGCAGCCCTTTTCTCATGTTGGGTATGGGTATCTGGTATCCTTCGTCTCAGTCTAGAAGATTCGGCGCTTAACGACTGGTGAAAAGGGGGCGCGCCAAAAACTTCTAGCGCGGCCAAAGCCGCCAGAGTCATGAGATTAAACAACTTCATTTTGAGGGCCACTTGAAGGGGAAAACCGAACGGCCGGCAAACGCAAGAACCACGCAACCACACATGGGGTTTAAGAGATAGCCGGTGCTCGTATTATATTAGCACTACTGTAGAAGCTAGCTCCGCTCTGTTTGTAGGAGTGGTGTGTAAACACCACAGAGACCTCCATGCCGACGACCGCTTTCGGCATTGCTCAAGCCAAGGCAAGAAATATACGACTGTCCACTCTCACTGGGCGCGGGTAAATGTATATGTGAGCCAATTAGCTCAATCTTGCTTTCCCTTACAGTCAATGGTTGTCGCTTGTTAGCAAGGGTAGAATAAGAGGAGTGACGTTAGAATATTTGGAGATTTATTGACTGGTATTTACAAGGTTATCCCATGAGCTGAGGTCAGAAGCCGGTAAACCCCAATACATGGAAAGGTCAGATTGGTGAACATGGACTCGGCTAAAATCGTACCAAGACTACCCGGGCTTTTCTCTGATTTGGTGCCATGGATGTGAGTTTGAGCGTCACCTGAGGCTCGATATCAGGGTAATCGTCAACAAATGATTCATCCTAGTAGGCGGGAAGAAGGACAATGCAGAAGGAGAACATGAGGGTCTAATTGGATACCATACGATAAGAAATACCCCGTCATAGCTGTGCTCATAGAGGCTCATTAAACTAGTCAGTATTTACCGGACCGCATTGTATATAACCGGCGTTCATGACAGTACTAGCATTGCACAATATGTGGCGGTAACCCCTCTTGCCACTCAAAGTTAATCAGGGCCAGTCATATTTCACGGCCCTCATAAACTCCGAGGACGAATATTGTTATTCTCAGGTCTTACCCAAATTATCAAACTTGAGAAAGGGCTAGACTTGCAGGGGCATAGACATCAGTCTCGTGACTGAGATGAGCTCCCTATGCTAAACTCCGACTACAAGGTCCGGACTACCTACAGTAGTTAGGCAATCATAAGTACAGCGGCTGAGAAGATATCGATTTGCCTATTATAAGGTCCTTATGGCAAGGTCATGTCGTTAGGATTATCGCGATAGTTCAAACAAGGTTGTCAATAAGACAATCTTAGTTTAACACCCCCGCCGCTCGTTAGTAGGCATCACTAAAGGTAACCGATATAATCATTAAGAGGGCAACGTCTGATGTTGTTATTGACCAAGTAGTCATTAACGTCATCGCGGAGCGAGTTCTCGAAGGTGTCTGGTAATGAAAGATCCCAATATTCTGCATATGGCGAGTCTTCCTCTTGCCCATACAACTCGCCACAAATGCAAGCGTCGTCTAAGTTCATCGTCTTCCGAATCTTGGGGAGAAGCAACAGCCATGACGTACTTCTCAGTCGAATGTCTCGGAGACATAACTCCTTAAGAGTGCCTTTATGTCTTCTGAGCATAGACATTAGGTCATGCCGTTCACATGTAATATTTCCCAAGGTCAAACTGTCGAGATGTTCCCATTTATGCTTTGGCTCCATTATATCCTCGAGCCGCGCAGCATATCCGTGTTGTTCCGAATGCCAGTTAAAAACAATATATAACGTCTGTAGTTGAGGTAACGATTTGATAAAGTCGCGCAATAATCCCGTTTCTAATAGACGGCGACACTGAGGAACCTCTGTACCGACAAGTAGATCATCCGTAACGCTGGCATCAAAATCATTCTCACCAGTATCGATGCATAGCTCGAGGCATGTAAGGTTAGAATAGAAGGAAAGGGCACTTCGGAGCTCGGCGGCTGGCTTCTGGAAGAACTGCCAGCTGAATGCACCGGCGGTAAGTCTTTTTAACTTGATATTGGCATTGAAGACAGCAGATAGGAGAGAATCAAGCTGCCGACATCCCATCGGTGTCAATTCGTCACCCGGTTTAATCAAACATCCTTCAAATGGAGTCTTGTGGATGCCATGCCAAAACCAAAAGTCGGATGACATAGTGACTTCCCGAAGCGACGAAAAGCGAGAAATGACCTCTTTGAGGCAAGAGATATCTTCATCCGTCTTCAACATCTTCTCCTGCTCATCGATAGCGATCTCGTAATTCTTGTAGAGCCTCAGGAGCTGCTGGTTTCCTATACGTGGTGGCGGTGCTTCATTCGTATGCTGGGCTATGATCTTCTCTCCGCTTCGAATGATAGAATAGTATTTACGAAATTCATCTAAGGATTTCTTAGGCGATTCTAAAGTATGGCCAACATAAACCAGCGAGCGGACATTCTTGGATGCAATAGGGTGCAGAGAAATGTGCCGGAGCATATCAAAGTCATGGGGATGCAGATAAAATATAACCTCTCGGAAAGCAAAGCAAGCGCCGGCGTCTGCAAAGGCTCTGCCGCATAGTCGGAATCTGCGAATATCCTCGATATCGAGGTACGAGCAGATTAAGCATAGTATCTCCGGGATCATCACGTCCATAACTGTAGTGTTTAAAAGATAGACCTTAGATAGATAAGCCTAATATAATATACTATAGTAAACGAAGTGAGAGTATCAGATGTGGTAACGCCAGTGAGATACACGATACACGATACACGGATAAGAGCGATTGAGTCACGAAAGTCAAGGTTTAGGTAGAAAGTTGCCAATCATCATTTGATTATGAAACTCGACTGACTACGCGAAACAAAGCCCCTTTGATGCACGTGTAAAAATCTTACTTGTAACCTGCGGGGCATGCAATTAACAATATATATAATTATACGAATACTAAAAGTCCGGGGCCAAAGCCCAATTCGCACTATACCGCATAACATTTCATATGTAGGCTTTGCTTAAGATTACTCCATCATTTTAGACTATACCTACATGTACGTAGTTAAGTATAATATAATTACCTCATTACATATATGTCTTATTAGGTACGTTGATGCAAGGCATGAACTACAACTAAAAGTTGAAGGGCCTCCGAGCGTAATAAGGGTGAACATTAGTCAATATTCATTCGTTAAATACCTGAGTAGGAATCACATCTAATGGTTCCATCAGTCCTCATACACTGATCAACCCTCAAGTTCTTTCGTATCGACTTCATTCCTCATCCCATAAGCTCACAACCCTCTCTTACTACACCTACTACTGCACCTGTTTGAATAGCCTCACTTCCACCAGCAGACACTCTGTATTCTATCTCCGCTAGGCCGTCAAGCCATCTAATCATAACCTCAGGCTTCACCTCCATCTTTACTAGTTGCTCCGACAGTGCTGTGATTATATCCGCCAACGCGAGGCCGTTGGCCACCTTCAGCGTATTGATCGTCGATAGGCAAGTGGTTACGTCGCTAGTTGCGAGTAGCGTACTGGCAATCTTTGTGATCGCATCAGGAGGCGGGGCTGCTATACAATTGTAGATAGTCTCAGTCGTGATAGTTTCCCTAACGATATCTTTCTCGGGGACCTTGGGCGCGTCTTTTGGCTGTATCGGCGTGCCTTATCAAGTCAGTATTAAGCAGCAATAATATTTCTGGAAGCTAGGAGGGCTTACTAGATGCATGACAAGCCTGGAGCACATTTAGTGCTCGTCGCATGTCCCCTTTACTCAGTTTAACCAGAGAGTCTGTAGCCTCGCCTGAGATTTTGACACCCTCCTCCAGAATAACTTTATCCACCAAGACCCGAATATCGCCTTCTTTTAGAGGACTAAATCTGAAGCGTGTACATCGAGACAGCAATGCGGGCGATAATTTGTGGGTGTAGTTGGCGATAATACAAAATCGCGTGTTCGCTGTATACTTTTCCATGATTCTTCGCAAGGCCATCTGAGCGGTACTCGTCATCGCGTCAGCTTCGTCCAAAATAATGAGCTTATAGCTTGCCATGCCACCAGGGCGTGAGGCTCCGCCCATTGTGAATATCTGCTTCGTCGAAGCAAAGGTCTTGATCTGCTCACGAACGACGTCGATACCTCGATCGTCTGAAGCATTCAATTCTAAGACCATCTGTCGCGTATTCTCTGTCCCATAGATACGTCTCGCAAGGGCTAGGATAGTGGACGTCTTGCCTGTTCCCGGAGGCCCGTAGAGAAGGAGATGGGGTAATCGGTTCGAATCGACGAACTTGTTAATGGTGGCTAGGATATCTTGGTGGCCTGAGACATCGGATAAGGAAACGGGTCGGTACTTCTCAACCCTATCATTCAATTTAGCAATTGGGAGCGGGGGATATCTTAGAAGCGTTGTGGTAATCCTACCATGGTAAGGAGTCTTCTGCTTCAACAGGTAGGTTTGCAGCACTGCGTTTACCCTTGGCAGTGTTATCGGAAGAAAATGTAATATCGATAGACTTTGGAGGGGCATCAATGTCCATCTCATCTTCGAAATCAGACATGTTGAAATTTTAAGGATTGGCGATAGTACCGTAGCTGCTCGTTATCGTGAAATTCGGCAATGGAAAGCTTCCTTTAGGAGGTACCTATTATAGTAGCTTTTCTCGTCGGCGTTCAATTCTCTTGAAATCTCTGAAAAGCCACAAATATTCCCTACGATAAGAAATTTCCCTATTAGTAGTAAGTAATCTTAAATAACCTTCTTTAAGTTAGGTTAGTTAGATGTACATGGGAGTTTATATGTTTCTGTTCAATTCGATTCTAGAATTTTGTTGAAAGACGCGTAAATTGAATCTGCTTAACGCGTCCCTGACTGGCAGGGGTACCTAGGTACATAAAAATAGAAGTACCTATGAACATCGGGCACCTGAATGCATCTAAAAATGTACCTACATGCATGTATCTAATGTACATGATACATACATAAATGTCCGACTCCACTAAAACGCAAGGGACAAGAGATAGGGAGGTACAAAGTACTTATCTTCTATTTCAACCTCAATTTTACTTCACTCATCTATCAGTAATATCAGCTTTACATTCAAAGTCCATGACACTTTCATAATCAAGCTCCTAACATAACCCAGTACGTCTAGATGTCGGATAAATCTATTACTGCGAAAGAACACTAACCTAACTATATAAGTTGAAAAATGGTATCATATGTCCTCCTGTATAATGTAACTAATATGTATATAAAATCATGTTCGCTATGTAAGAATAAAATTACGGATACTAGTCCTTGTTGCTAATATCAAGCTGCTAATCCTGCAAAACGAACTTCCAGGTTCGACTATTGCCTTAATTATTCTGATTTCTTTTCAAGACTTATTCTCGCCCTGTTCATTGCCAGCGGGCACAAACTCACTAGCCAGTAGCCATTCTCCATCAAGTGACGACGACGAAGAAGGTAACGATAACACAGAACCACTCTCAGAATCACTATCCGTTGACTCTTCCCAGTCTTCGCACCTATCTGCCTCGGTAAAATTCCGAACAGTTAATTCACTGCTATGCTTAGGATGTTCTCGACTGGATTGGTTTGATTCGCGTCGCGTGCTTACGATGTAGTCAACCAGGTCAAGAGGCATCATGTTTTCATCTTCTGCTAGGGCAGCGTATAAATTTTCAGAACTGAAGTCTTCAGTATCGGCAGTGGAGGAACCAGCCTCGCCTGGTCCCGCTGACCCATCAGTAAACTTCTGAATCTCATGTTCCTGAGTGTCAGCCCACCATACTTTATCCTCTTGTCGTTCATATTCATCCTCGGGGAGACTCATTTCACCGAGCGGGCTCCTAGGACTTGTAGGGCTTCTCAGCCCATTTCCCATGTCCTCTTCTTCCAACACCGCTCTCGCCTCGTTCAGAGGTAAGTCGTCGTCGGGGCTCATTGGCACACTTGCAACAATTGGTGGAGATTGCGGCTCCTCTGGAAGTGCCTCGAGAAACGTCTTCCTGAACCTCTCTGCTCGTAGCTTATACCTAACATGGTGGCATTCAGAAGGGTAGTTACAATCAATCATGCAATTGTGTGACTCATGGAGGAAGGCCTGCTCGCGGCGCTTTTCTGACCGGCCGACGGTCTCCATGCCGAGGACTTTCCGACGCCACGCCCCCCATTCTGCCCACCCATTGTAATCGAACTCAGAAACACACATCCCACTACGACGACGTTTCTTGCCCCTGCGTGTCCTCTGGGGAGTTGCTGAGAGGCAATAGTCGTGAGAACAGACGAGACAGCGGCGAGTGCAGCCGATCCGGTAGACAGTGTCACATGAGTGACACTGCCATAACCAGGGGAATGGCTTCCGAGGAGGTGGAGGTGGTGTAGGCATGCCATCTGGTGTTGAGGGCAAGATGTGTCGAAGATGTAGGCGAGCAGGTGGTGTCAAGGGAATAGAAGTAGTTCGGATATCAGATGATGGTGAGGAAGTAGGGATTATTGTCGGAGTCGTGGACTTCTTTGAAAATATGGAGAGCGTCGGCAAGACTCTACGTGAAGGCATGGCTTTTCCCCTGTAGTATCTTTGCTTTATTATATATGATATTAAGACGGCTGGTTGAATGACTATTATGTGAGACGAGCTGTTTGATTGCAAAATATGAACGGCAAAAAGTCTGTGGCTAGAGATACCCAATCTGGGTTTCCTAACTCCATAAAAATACCTTAATAATGACGACTCGTCGAATTTTACAGCACCTCTAGGGTCTGTGGTAAGAAAATATTATAGTAAAGAGAGTAATTGGTTTCAATATTAGACGAGACTAGGGGTCTCAATAAGGATTGTAGAAGAAGGAATGACTGATTTAGAGAGAACAACACAACTAGAAAATAAAACGGAAGAAAGATTGGAATATGGAAATCAACTGTGCTAGAGTAGGACTTTTAGAATCCAATCCAATCCAATATATACAGTCGGCTATCTTATAAACGTCGTCCTACATTGATCTAGCAAACACTTATACAAGAGATGGCTACTTTGTTTAGATCTTTGCAACAAAGGTGCTATAACTCATATATGGCTTGACTCACTCGCCCAAAGTAAAGGCACTAGTAGATCTGAAGGACATATACGCCGGTAATTTATCTTACACCCTTTGTGGGACATGCACTTTTCATTCACTCCTTGTAGAGAGCATACGCGTGATGTTGATGAAGTGATAGCTTAGTGCTTTCCTCAATGACCAATGACAAAGGGTAAGTATCAGGCAGACAAGGCAGATCTATTGGTCGTTGATGGTAAAACAGTAATACTCGAGTGACAAAGCGGAATAACAAGAGCAGGAAAAGGGGAAGTATGGCGGTGCTGTTGAGGATTAATTATAAGACAAAGACAGTTCGGGGGCTAGAGGTATGGAAGGATTTAGCAGACGAGTAACCAAGTTGATAGCACACATAGGTTTATCTTACATCTAAGTTGCCCTACGCTTTATGTCCAAATTATCATAGCCCGCCGAGGTCACACACACTCCACAATATCTGACTGCCTCTATTTATCATAACCTAAGTCATATCATACAAGCGTACTAAATTACTTTAAGAGAATAGTTAATACAAGCAATGGTATGTATATTATGCATCTTAAGCTCTGTAGATAGAAGTCATGGTAGCTACAAGGGTATTGATTACTCATTTTTTGGTAGATGTTGTTAAGTGAATATAATAAAGACCTATAAATCATATAGTGTACCTCTGAATTTTTAGTGGACATATTCTATATACTAATTGGTCTTCAGAAAGTACGCAATGATAAAACGACTAGTGTCTAATATAGTTAACCAGCTGTTCATATATCATTATAGCAGAGCACATGTCGATCTACGCGTTCAATAATAGACAACTATCTCAAAGAAACTTTGTTAATGATAAGAATATTTAATTTATTAATAGTCCTATGAGTTCATTTTAAATTCAAAAGAGTATATTTCGATACATTCTTAAGGACTATGCGTACCCACCCACCTTAGGTAGATGTTTAGAACAGAATACTAGACGAAATGTACCCAATTGCAATTGAGAACCTATGCTGAAACTATATAATAACTGGACAGAGCAATAATAGCTTAGCATGAAACTGTAGCAGACTTTGGTTCCGGACGATAATCATAACGGGCAAAGACGGCATATGCATACTCGTTGCATCATGATTTATTACGTGCTCAAAATTGCGTTCTACTTCAATTCGACGTATAAACTTAATCTACCCACTTCCACGCCTAATCTATTGTCTATCTAGATAGAAATATCGAGTAAACCCCAGTAACGTGAAGGCTCCCTCGAATAAGGAAGCCGCTGCAAAGAATCTGGGTACACAAGACGCTCGTAAACGCCTCCTAACAAAAGCTTGAGCCCTGGTACCAACCATCCAACGTAATCTGATCCACTGAGGGGGAATTGAAATCTAGTGCATAAACGCCCCCTAAACCAACCACGCTACAAGTGGAAATACATGAGACATATGAGGAAAATAGGAAATAGCAAATCATGATCCAGCCACCTCACCAAGATACCAAGGTCCTCGAAGCGAATTACTCGCCTAAACGACTCGTGCGGTCTCGTTATTTAACGTGTAAACTTAAATAAGCGAGGTTGCAATGCTACCATGGTCCCATGGGCCTCTCGTACCTCGGACGTCAGACCTGGCTCAAGCTCATTTCGTTCGGCAAGTTGGAGCAGCCTCTCTGCCCAGATCTTCCACTTTCCGAGCCACATTTGTTGCTCTTCAGTTTTTCCTTTTCCGATCTTCTGCTGGCATATCTTGTGGCCTGCTATCATGATGTACTGCACTGCCACTCTTATTAGGCAGCTACGCCTAACTCCAGGAGGGTTGTCCTCCTCGAGAGCTTTCGGGATGTCTACGCAGGGGAATTTACATTTTTCTTTGAATTGGTCGTTAAACCCAGCTTCGATGCAGCGGGCAATGAAGGCGGAAATGTTGACCCATTCTCCACACTTTCTCTCAAGCTCCTCTGGGCTAGTGTCATCTTTTGCTATAAGCCAAGTTAGCGTGATAAGATACTAGCTGCTTGCGGGGAGCTCCTGGATCCATACGGGAGTGGTTTTCCCATTTCTGGCCCATCATTCTTTCGATTACGGGTTCGTGATCGTAGACAACATAATCCTCCTGTGGCACGCGGCACTAGTGTAAGTAAAGGTCAACTATTCGTATAATAGAGGGAATCAGCGTACATTTTCAATCCTGATCTCCCTCGGTGGTAGATTTCGGAGTTCGAAGAGTAAGTCAATGATGGCATATTGTAAACCGTGGTGGTAGGGTATGATTAAAACCAAGTCGGAGACAACTCCGTAAAGTCCGGTAAGGAACTCAACCATGCCTTTGTCATCTTGGTCTTTCAGCGCCGGATTGGACGTCAGATATGTATCTTCATAATAAGCATCTATCTGCAGAGCCGCATCTGAAGGTAGACACCCCCTTGCCGAAAAAAGGGATCGTCTGAAGATTTTGACGATTGCATGCCTGGCGGTTTGCGAGTCAGTCGTAGCGATCTCGTTATCCAAAAAATCAACCCAGGGTTGATTCGAGCGGCCCGCGCGGAGATCTCGGATTGTACCCATCGTGCTAAGAGCAAAGAAGTTGGTTGTGTTTTTTTCCCACTACTTAATATAGCGGAACAGTCTTATTCTAACGATTCCTACGCAAAGTTGGACTCGAAATGGGAGTGAAGTGGAGATAAGTAGATTTTAAAGGTTCCGATCCTAAACAACGAAACATACACCAGGAAGCACAGCTCGCCGCCCGCACAACTTTGGATAATACTTCTCTCGCTATTTATCTTGCCAGATTGGCTTTTTTAAAAGTATAAGCGGATCAAGAGGTATAAGGTCCGAGATTTACTGGAAAGACAAGAAAATCCAAAGCCCTAATAAATATACGGTGGGACAAGTTACTGGGTTCTTGGGTTGCTAGGTTTAATAAGTTGCATTCTATAACGTAGACTACGAATTATCCACATCACTACTAGAGGTCTCCACAAGTTTTTCTTGATGTGACAATTTACTAACCTAGAGTATTCAAGTGCTGGGTTGGCGGACCCTCTTAGTGCTGGCACCAACTACCAGGGCTACCAGGGCTGCCAGGGACTGTCAAAAGTGCAGGCCAGTTAGTCTTGCGTTAGCGCAGCTGCACGTTTCAGATAGCATCAATTGATTCTTCAAGCAAAGACAAAAAGCTTCGGCCGATAATGTTCCACACTACCTGCCTAAGGTACCTAGGTAGGTAAGTAAAGTAGGTACCTGTAAAGAAATCTCACGATCTTACCCAAGGGGTATAAAAGAGAGGAAATAAAAATAAGCTTAACTACCTCCTATCGATTATAAAAGCAAATTCTAATTAAGCGAATGCATGCAACCTTAAACTATAAAAGGTATTATTCGCTTAGCTATAAGCTTAAAAAAGAAATAACTTATTAACTAACTACCTAAACTAACTGCAGTCAAAAAAAAGAAATAAAGAAAATAGGTACGCACTGCAGTTTTTGACTGACCGCTAGGTGCCGATCGTCTTGCAGAGTACATAATGTAGACACCCAGCCCCGGACGCGACAGGCACACCATAGACAAGGATATATTGAAAAGCAAAAGACATCGTCATTTCCCTTCCCAGTTCTCGGTTACCTCATCGCGGGTTATTTCCTAGTGATTTGTCAGAGAGCTTGGACGATAGCAAGAAAACAGATCTTAACCACACTCGTAATTCAAGCGAAACAAAAAAAAAAATTGGCAACTTAAAATCAGTAAAATAGTGCCCAAGGGCATTAGGCTCTTATCAAAGGTCCGCCACGTGGCTTTGTTTGCTACCATATTTTTTTTTTCTTCCCACGATGCATTAAAGAATTATATAGCATCGCTGCCTATATAACAAAGAACTATGATTCTTCACCGCGCGAAATGACATAGCCGCCCCGGCAATCAGTAACCCCAAATAGTCGTCTTTCATTGGTTTCCAAACGTGTGGACAGTCGTCGAATTTAACCGTGGTAATGGATCAACTAAAATCTCACAATTCCTTCTAGAAGCAGGAGTTCGAGTTTCAGTGCCGATCGGATGCAGCCGTTCCCAACCCCATATAATTAATACGTGGACATAATTCTAAACTAGTAAAGCTAGTAAGAGCCTCTAAGCTCTAAAAGGATGACCGGTGGATATCTAAGATGACTTAAACCTCAAGGATATCTCAACATTTTCAAGGACCTTTCGCATGCTGCTATGTAAATAATTTATCGCATTCGGTATATCTACTTGATTTGATCTTTTAAAGTTTGCCAAGTCTCTCTCCATGATACATGTGTAAAGAACAAGCCAGCTGAGTTTTCTATATTAGGTACATATACGGAATACCTAACCTGGGTATCTTGTTATTTGTATACCTAGTTTCAAGCATTTACCACCTTCATCGACGTTACAGATTCTAGCGACTTCAGAGACTCCCGTTGACATTTTCATACTCAGCGCTACAAAAGACCGTGTGAGTTGACGCATACGACAGCTAGATAAGAGCGATCATACGATTCCTCAAGCTATACGACGCTACGTTTTTGAAGAAAGGGAAGAGAGCGAGAGTCTTACGTGGTCTCAAAATGATCCTTATATCACGATTATCATCAGCATAACTAGCGTTTCTACAAAGTAGTGCTAAAAATACCCTAGCACGGACAAAGCGATGCAGAATCCCAGAAAGCAGGCCTCGTGATTATGAAATTCTACCTAATATATCAAGTGTGGATAGGCCCCTTAAGCAGCGGTCAACATGGAAGTTCCCGGGAGCACAGTTCCCAGTGGGGGCAAGGGATATCAGCTGAAGAAAGTTAAAACATTTCGAGACAGGGTATAAAGTAGATCCTTTACGATGGGATATTTCAACTACGTATTCTGCTATGTACGCCTATAACCTGATACTTCTCTCAAGTTCTCTCACTGTGAAAGAGATGGCCACTATCTATATTTAGATGAGATTGCATGTCTAGCTTGAACCTTAGCAAGCGATAATTAATATTATGTCCAAGACACTATGATGCAATCTTGAAGTAAGTATATCGTAGAGGGGATACAAAATTCTAACTAGTGAATCCATAGGCTAATAAAAATCTATGGCGAAATCTGTGGCTATGAATTGTCAGGCCTCGGTTATATTCATAGTCTTTTCGTGTAACCGCGCATCCCTGTAGTAACGTACGTACTACTGGTACCCTATCAGACATATTTTAATCATCAGTTCTAGATGGGAGGACAATCCTCATACGCCTTGGCTTAGAGTAATTGCTAGACGGACTGTTGAGACATAGCATAAAGAGGGAAAATGTACTCCATATAATACGCAGATATGATATTTTATATTTTATATGTCAAGGGACCTAGAATACATTACGAACTATCTTAGGTAGGTAAACAAACTATTCTTCAAGGTAAAGCATAACTACTTAACTAATGTAATAGATTGGCGTAATTCTTAGCTTGTCCTCTTAGGCCTGTAAATGCATAAAAGAATATATTGTCACGAGGTAGAACTAAACAGCATAGAAACAACTTTGTTGTTCTGCAAGGAACTCTAACCTATCTATGAGAATTTACGTCTATACTGAACATGTCCTTTGTTCTAAATGTATCATCCGGAATCCTAACATGTATTGCCTCAATATTATAGATCTTGACTAGTAGGCTATTTATTGTGTAAATTAAAAATGTACCAACCAGCTTGATTCTACTGTAGTTTTTACTTACCTGGTAGATACAAAGTAACATTGTGGGAAATTGAAACTGTATATCTTGTTCTGGATATATTATTTAAAATCCTAACAGTATAGTACTTGTATGCGTGATAGAAAAAATGCTTACGTAAATTCCGACAACAGTCTTCTTCTTACACTCTTATCGCTTCTAAAATGTCTTCAGTAGTTTCTTCTTGAGAGTACTACTATTCCATAGTATCCATGAGTTGTGTTCCATATATAGGTACCTAATATACCTTGGTTATATATACATCAGGTACCTTTTAGAGTAGTTGTGAACAATATTGAAAGTGATATTCTACAACATACATGCAATTTATATTCTCCTCTAAGTCACTAAGTACGATAAAATGTTTTCCGAACGTCACGTATAACGAATAATGAGTATAAGCCCAGGGCCAAGCATATTTTCAACTTCGATGAAATACGCGCTGTAAAGGGTTTCTCATGATAATACAACGTCGTGTTTATATCAAGTTGCTGAGAGTACTATACAAATCGAAGCAATGTAGTATTATTTACTGCCTTTGGCAAGACCTCGAAAGATTAGCACAGCAGTCGATATCTCAACCCATCCCTACGAATGAATCATCAAAGCTAGCACGTCCAGCTACACGCCTTGCCAGTGTCACCTAATGAGCGCTCTTGACCTACTTCGGATCTCCGATGAGATATCATAACAAGCAGCCAACCCAGAGCCGAAAAAACTAAGCGCAGTCATAATTCCGTAATTATGCCATCGTAATCAACCGTCTTAAGGTTGCAAAGCCGCGCTTCCTGCCTCCGAAGGCAGAGAACCTCGATCCACGTAACAGAAACACCCAGAAACGAAAGAGCGTATACACTGGAAACTCCAAACCATAAATCTCGCGGGCAGCTTATGCTTCGATCGCCTTGTTCTTCTTCTTTTGCTCGACCTTAAGTAGTAGGGCACGGTTGATGTGGGGTAGAACACCACCAAAAGCGATAGTTGCGCGAATCAGCGTATCCAGTTCTTCGTCACCGCGGATGGCGAGTTGGAGATGACGAGGAGTAATACGCTTAACCTTCAGGTCTTTGGCGGCATTCTACGAAAATAATAGTCAGCTTCCATCCTATATGGTAGCCCGTGGAACTAGAAACGAGGCAGAGTTCATGCAAGTATAGTGGCAATGTGACACAGGGAAAACAAAGAAGATGACTCACGCCTGCGAGCTCAAGGACTTCGGCAGTCAAATACTCGAGAACGGCTGTAACATAGACGGCAGCCTTGGCACCAACGCGCATCTTGTTCTGTGTGTTTTGCTTCAAGAAACGCTTAACACGACCACAGGGAAACTATGACGTTCTGTTAGCAAAACTCGACCACAAGAGCAATATATCTTATCATGATAAAAAAAAAAAAAAGCACGGTTGTAGATGTGAGCCAAACAAAAGCGACGGTATACGTCGTCTCAAGAAAGAGAGGAGCGTCAGTATCGCATCGCATCGCATTGCATGCCCGCAAGTATTTTCGATGAATCTGATATATATACGTAATGAGACGAAGACGAAAAACATAATCGGCCTAACAACATCCGCATAGCTCCATTTATGGCCGGGACTGAAACTCGTCATTGTGATACAGTCCCAAGCGGTTGGACAGTACGTGTTATGTAGAAAGAGGTGCGCGTCATTCTGCGAATCGAGGGGCACGCGGGCGATATCGACGGGAGCTCGATATTGCGGATACTTAGACATCTCAACGGACCAGACCGGTGGAAATGATCGGGATGCATCAATGGTATATGACAAAATAGCATCTTACCTGAAGTCCAGCACGAGCAGAATGGCTCTGCTGTTTCTTAGGAGCTTCAGCAGCCGAGGTCTTCCCACCCGAACTCTTGCCGCCAGATGATTTGCCTTTTCCACCAGCCATTGTTTATACTAATGTGCGCGAAATCAATATTTTGTTAATGTTAATAAAATCGAACAGGTTTCGGCGCGACGAATAAAAGATGGAGTCGGTTTTGGGGTGGATAGTTGAACTTTCGCGTCGGGTTTGTTTGTCGGTGAAAATTGTTTTCGTTGTTTGTGTTTTTTTATTCTTGCATTTGGGTCGGAGGCGCTGGAAAATCGAGAGGCGGCGCGGTGTAGTTGGAAGGGGCGGGCTACTATTGTAGGCGGGCTGGGGCGGAAAGGAAAGCTGTGAATTACCTGTAGGCTGCTGCTGCTTGCCTATTTGGATTGACTCAATGCACCATTGCAGTTACCTATTAGGCTGCATTATAGGCACTGAGGTACTGAGGTAGGCATCAAATCTTGCTTCTAGAAGCCCCGAGGGTAGAAAATGACCCCACCTCATAGCGCCTAGCTTTCCCATGACACTAAGCCTTATCCAGCTACGATGTGACTGCCGGTAAATCTCCGGCTATCGTCATCAGCCGCTTGTCCAGAGGAGAGAGAGTTATCTTGATGAATGCCGGGGAAGATATCAAAAGAGTGCTTACATCAACTGATGCAGACCGAAAAGCAAAAAGAAAAAGAGCAGTATTCACTTCGTTGATATACTCACATTATTCAAGCGGTTATAAACTACCAGGAGTTGAGAGATGCGAATATGACGAAGCATCAATTACTTGTAGTAGACCAGCAAGGTTAGGTAGGTAGTCAAGGGGATGGCGGCATGAAGTTTGACGAAGAGCGACGGTAGCATTCATGCCGCATTTTAAAATGTATTGGTGCCATTTCGATACTTTAGATTAAAGTAGGCGACTAAGACTCCAGATCCGAAGTAGTTCAAAGCAAATGATGAAGTTCTGTGCAAAAAGGATCTCGCATAAAAAGGTAGACTTTGATATTGGAATGTAGGTAGATTAGCTGTGGTCGTTTGGATGAAGATCTACGTCAATCTAGGTGGAAACTCATTAGCCGAAGCAGTGTGGCTTGCATTATTCCACAGCCACATGATCTTTGTTTTTTTTTTAGAACCTTGAAAGTTAGGTAACCTATCCACCTTGTACCAACCCACCTGTTACACCAACTGCTTATTGTATCCATGGATGCCTATAAATGCTATAATCTCAAAGAGAATCCTATAGTATTACTCTTTCAGAAATACTATATTTTAACATTTTACGTATATAGTTAGAAGATTGTATACTATAGACAACTCTCAAATTTAATTAGTTACATTTTCAAATGACATAGGGAAAAGGGACCTCGTGTATAAAGGGGGGAACGATGTTAAAAGGGGGAGATAACGAAGAAGGAAATTCCCAATTCTAGAGCTTGAGCCCGGATCTGTCACGCCTTAGAAGTAAATGCTAAGTACTTATGTTACGATAGCTAAGCGATAAGCCTTTACTTATAACAATGTGTGAAGGTTATTAGTTGGTATGGTTTTGAATTTTGACTTCAGACTTCCTCATTGCGGCAGACATGATACATGACGGCTAGCTCTGACCCTTTCTCGCAGGTTTTCGATAATCTTAATACTTGCCACCGAAGCTTACTGATATAATATTTGCTATATTTAGCAACAATTTACATGCACACATCCAAAATATAGCGACTTCTACATATTATGGGGTTGCCTCTGGCGAATTGATACTGGTCACTGATATACTCTGAAATTCATCAAGTGCTATTTCATCACGCTATGATTTTGCACCTTGTCTAGTTGGTTTTGTTGCTCTCGTATATAGACCGTTACATCCGGCTTATGACCAGTAAAGATTCCTCATTGTGTGCTGTCGTGCCAGCTTCTTTTCGAAAAATACCTATTACAAATGCCAAACTGAATAGGAAGGAATATTATTAGATACAATAGAATGCAGTTAAGTAATTCCGTTATTGACAGTAACTTCCAGTATAACATGTATTTATGTGACTAGGTAAGCGCCCGATATCTAAGAGAGGTAGTAAAAGACATATGATAGTTAGCACTTTCTATAACATTTGCTTTAACCCGTATATAAACTGTAAACATTTATTGGAAAGGAACAATGCTAAGTATTACGAATGACATACAAAAACCAGGGTTCGAAATTAAAGACCTCTTATTTTAGAACATTTTCTACCGCTTAGCCTAGGCGATTATAACTAAAATAGCCAACTTCTGAGTAGTAATTTCCTTATGGGCGTAGACTAGGATTATTTACCGAGAGTCCGTACAGATCTATGTTTAGCAACATGTATTCAAGTTTACCCTAGAACCGTACACAATGCACCTTGGGTGTAGCTTAGGTCGTCTTACCAGCTTCGTTGTTGATAACCACCTCATCCCAAGTACTAAGGCCAATCCTACCACTATCGGTATGGTTAGACGGAAGAAAGCTAACCCTAGGACGAAAATATTTCTGTGACATAGTAATCCTATTAGGACCGTTCCGATGGAAAGCAAGGTCATTACAGCAAACAACTTACAATGGGGATAAAGGCGTCTAATAGTTCGAACAAAATTATGTTGGTGACTGTCTAGTCGCGCATCTAGTATTCGTAAATTACTTAAGAACCATTTACGACTAAAACTTACACTTAGTTCTTCATACGCCTATCATCATGAAGTTTTAAAACAACCTTGCTGTTACAATAGCTCCAGTTCTTTCTTTAAGAGCTGAGCCTGTCAATGCGAATAGCGCTAGCACCGCCGACGACACCGATAGCCTCATTGGGTCTGTCTTTTCGGATAAGAAGGTATCGACCCCTAACAATAAGCAGTTAAAGTTGCCTCTACAGGCCGACACGCCGTCAGGTAGCATAGTCGTGGTGGATGATTCGTCACTCGCGCTCATGGCTAGCTTGCGGGGCGGTACGCTGTACAGCCCGGCTCGGGACAGGAACAACAAGCTGCACGACCTAGAGACAACCGGGTTCCTAGACCTAAGTTCACCCACGCTCCGTCGCATCAGTAAGTTTAACTTCCTGTTCGATAATATGACCGGATCCTCCGATGGCGGCACTACATTCAACCTTAGACACCAAACGGAGTCTTATCTAAGTGTAGGATGTACGTGCCCATAGGCTTATTAACCATGACTTCGTTGCCGGAACAATGGGTGAGTGTAAGAGTTGCTGCTAAAAACTCTACTTTATAGTAGGCTATCCGAGAGAATAGCGGGACAATCCTGAATTGGAGAGCGTGTCGGTTTGTACCATCGTCAATCTAGCAAGGAGGGGGGTGAAGATGGCTAGACTATTTGATAAGACATAGTCTTCAATAGCTACAGAGTCCTTTACGTGTGGATTGCGTAAAATTTGAAGGAGATATCAGAAGGTCTGCCTAGTTTCTGTAGAAGTAGGGAAGTAACCTACGATCGAACTCGTGGGATTGGATATTTGATTCGTAGTTTGGTGTAGCCAGCCGATCCTTGTCGTCCCTTATGGAATAAAATTGGCTTATTAATGATGCCCACGATTCTGGGACCAGGTCAGCCGCTTGATATTACATCGAAAGTTCCAAAAGTCAGGGTCGCATAGTTTTGTTTCATTGTCCTTATTAGCCTTAGTTTACAGTAACCGTTAAGGCAATTAATAGAATTTAACATGACGAAGTTATGCCAATGTAGTTGGCTAGTGTATGTCTGGTTTAGGATTGGGTAAGAAACAAGGATTTTGTTTATTTGGACGGCGACTTGAAGTTATACAACTTTCGCCAATTGGATATAAAGGTAGGCATCATGCTTGAAGCTAATGTTGAATGTGCTACCGGCTGCGAATGCAAGATGCCTATTCAGATCCTGCTGGGTCTCTCTATGCGCGGAGAGAATCCGCCACCGATCCATCAAGTAAGACAGCTAGAGACATTACATTCAACAAAGTCGAAGGATGTACAAACATATTACTTATTTTATCGCTAGATATCCGAATGAGCTGGATTCCAAATATGTTTTAGATCCTTAGCTGTTATTTGCTAGAGTGTAGCTTGGAACTTCTGGTCGAGCCTGAATTAATGAACTCTAACACATTGTTCCCTATTACCATGTTGCTAAAGGGTTGTTCGTTCGCTGTGAAGTGATTTAAGCGTCCATTTTTAAAAGCCGAGGAATGAGTTTGTCGTTAGGTAAGTTACTGGAATGTACGACCCTTGAGATGTAGTAGTAGGCAGTGCTCCTTAGCCCTAGGAAGCTTAGTAAATCGGGAATATTCTTACTGTAGTGTTATCGTGTAGCTACACCCATAGAGTGCTTATACTCAGAGACGTCTCGATGTCCTAAGGCTAGACATATTTGAGGTAATCATCAGCCATTGTACACACAGGACTAGTATTAGAAGCACAGGAGTTAACCCAAATTGAATTATAAGATAGGGTTAATTTTGTAGCTTGCTCGACATTTAAAATAGGCACTGCCTAAGTTTCGGTAGATTCCATGTGTATTAAGGTCTATTCCTCATTTGTTTCAACAAGACCCTATCAATAATGATGCTTCCTTAACTCAGACTCAAAGTTTAGTTTCTTACCTCATGCTAGCATTTTACTACGACGAATCTGAAAACTCGCCTTGGTACTTAGCTTTCTGCGACCTATAATTTTGATCAAGGGTTATGGAAAACCCCGACGAATGGTATCGCAGACTAGGTAAGCTGAATAAACTACGGCTACTTACACTCATTTCCATGCTTGTTGCCCTTACCTGCCTGGATGTACCTTGTGTGGAGGTGGAGAATTAAGTAAGTCTTTGCGACGGTTGGGTAGCATTTTATAAAGTACTGTGATAATTAATGGTTCTATGCCATGAAAGGGTGGCTATGAGATAGATAACGGCACGGTATATGTTAATATGTTTAGTTCGTCTTAATGAAGGAACCCGTTTTCCGCGAGATTGATTTGGATGCGTGCCAATATGGTAGCACCTGAAAAGGGGTCTCACCTTGTTGGAACCCGGAACACGATCGATGGTCTAAGATATGAGTAAGAACGATTTATTGCCTTGGCAAAGAAATTTCTGAAGAAGTATTTATCTTTTGTCTCGCTCCTATGGGAGACCTCGGTCCCAGAGGAAGTTCTTTGTAGCAATCTAGGTATAGAACGTGGCAAGCTAGAAGTTCTCCCTGTCCCGAAGATATCATTTTGAACGTTGATGTAAGTTTATGCAGCCCATTTATCGTGCCTCACACCGGGAATCCCTTAAAAACTAGAGGGGAAAGGAAGAGTATGGGAACTTGCCGATTGGATGACTGGCTCGACGCTATTTTCGCGCTGTCAGCTCCCGAGACACAAAGCTTAGTGTTTCCCCCACTGAGACTAGGAAACGGGACTATCAAATTTGATAACATCTTGACTATGCGTGATCCTTGTTGGTACTATTGTATTACGGCATTGACAAGCAGGGCGTAACAGAACTGTATTTGCTCTTGATTACTTAAATATCCTGGATGTCGATACTCAAGTTGTTCCACTTATCAATACATTCAGGGGCGGCGTCTCGGCACCACGTTTAACTCGCCAGTCATCCATATGGATACGAAACATGGTTGTCGTACGTTGACGGTAAAGAAAGCTGGCTAATCATTGATCGTTTCTGTAGCAGTATCTTAGAGCTGCATCCAACTCGATGGGAACCGGCCTTATTCAAGTCTTGGATCGGCGTGGCAAATCGTGCTCTGCTGTTCTTGGGATAAATTCCTTTTTTTACTTTACGGACCAACTTCCATTACCTGTTAGTCTTCCGCAGGTCAAACGGACTTGGGGCGGAGCAGCTGATTGATCTATTGGAGCCCGGCATGGGTAGTCCTTTGTGGCCAGTTGTGGTAACCGGGAAATCGTATCAGAGGAAGACGTGCCGGAATTAACCTACCAACGACTGCTAGAGATTTAGAACGTCATTGATGTGACATTGGGTAAGAAAACCAAGGAGTAAAGAGGCTGTGATGGGTAAGAAAAGAAATGACGCAGACCTGGTAAAGGAGAAAACCTACGTAATTGAGGATCGTTGTAATGGATGGAGATGAGTTCCAGAATATGCCAAGATTCTAGGTCCCATTGAGGGTTGCCTCGATTTTCTCGAAACAGACGTAGAACTGCTTCTGATTTGCTGGCCACGGTGAACGATCATTTCGAATCCTTAGGGGTTCGACCGGGGAGGTTGGGGCCACTTTGCGATCTGATCTTAGGACAAACCCTGGAAACTGGGTACGTGAACGCACAGACGAGCCGGTAGGCTGGAGAGTTGATAGGCCGAGGAATACCTACCGTGGATATCGAAGGATGCCAATACCATGGAAACAAGACGATGGGGACATTTGCTTGTTCTAAGTCTTATACATACATACGAAGCAGAATAGAGCCTCGTTTATTTGAGCAAAGAGGATGGATGGTATGCGGCTTGATAGGTAAGATTGGGCATTGCTGTCCGCATAAGATTGGACCGAAATGATATCCTATTTCGTCAACGCGCGGGGAGAAGCTGCTATGGTGGGATTGCGTATTAAAAAAACTCGATAATGGTGCATGTTGCGCCTCGCGCATTAGGTACTGACTGTACGTATCTCTGATCAGCGTGCAATGCAGTGCTTGTGATCCACATGAAATAGGTGCATCAGGCACATTCCATCACCAGATACAGGGTCATAAGGGAGTACATAGATTTAACATCTGCCGGGGTTTAATATGTTAAAAGTTGGGCTGTAACGTTAATCTGATCCGGTTGGCGATTCTGGAATTATTCTCGTAGGATAGAACCACAACCAAGATGTTTAGGAAATGAATCGAATGTACGGGTCTGTACCTACTTGAGTAGGTAGATGATAAGTAGCACTTTACGCCTTTAGAGAGATCGAAAAGACTGGATACATATGTAGAAGAAAGGCCTGTAGTTGGGTCCCGTGCAAAAATATTTGCTCGCGAATCTCAATATCGTAGAAGAGAAGATCATTGGTGTCGTCTTTTGTCCCTTTGTCCCTTTGTAGCCGCCGTTTTGGGGATCTGTATGATCTCGACGCCATGCATGCATGTTTCATGCCTTTAACTAATATGGCGGCCGTAGAGCCCAACTGCTCGGAGTAGAAATCCACAGCACCCTGGAAATACGACCAGACTACAGCGATTAATATAGATGACTGCCGCATCTATATTTGCTCTATATTTGCTATACATGTGCTATATATGTGCTGAGAGAGCAAGATAAAAAGGTCACTTGACATTGTGTCGAAAAGCGGAGCGGTTGATAAAGAGGGTGTGATGCGAATGTTCACGAGGCTTCTAATTTGTATCTCGCCCGGCAGCCTTGTCCCGTGATAAGACCCGCCGTAGAGGGTTGTCTAGACTTGTAATAAACCAGTCTGATATATAATAAGCTACCCGAGAAAATGTGTACGGGGCCATATACATAGCTTAGGTGGGCTAGAGGAGTAATGCTGGTGATACTGTGTATAAGTGAGGCAGGTATCTGTCTCGGACCCAGCAGCGAGTTTGACTACTGGTAATTGGTAACTGGTAACGATATAGAAAGCTCTGTTGGATACGTAACATGTGTGTATTTGATGTAAACCGTGTCGAAATATTTGATGCTCTGGAGGACTTGATGTTGTTGATGACGATAATTGTTGATGAAGGAGTTGATCCTCCTGTTGCTCCGTGCCCCGTACAAGGTAGGCACATTTTTATGCCTGCCACTTTAGGGCTACCTTATGTGTACATAGTGCACTAGTGCATGTAGGTGATGCTAATATACAGTAGATAATTAGCTTAATCTACACTGTGCGTAATGGTAGACTTAGGGGTTTTGATGATGGCCTAAGCGTTCCGAGGAATAGACCAATTTAAGCTCCGAGCACAGTATATTATTTATTTAATTTTACCTTATACGCATGTTTATGTACCTCGTACTTCGTAACCTGCCTAGCCCCCTAAGCTAGCAGCGCAAATTCATACATACATAGCATGAAGCGCAAGCACGGTACATACTCCTTATCACCTCTAAGCCAATAATTTCCCTCTACTTAGACTTCTGGCATTGTTTTTTTTTTCCCATCAACCATCCGCGATCCACCTTCTACCCTATTAGCCCCCCATCGCCCCTGGGATCTTCTCGAGTGCCAAGTTTCCATGCCTTGCTCTGGAAGAAAAATTCTAGCTGGACATATTTTTCGTCTTCTCGAAATTCTACAATACTACCTAATAACTTGTCATATTGTCATATTATCTATCCGATGGTCCTCGCTGTCTTCTAAGGCGTATTGCCATAATCCATTCCCCTTCTCTTTTCCCTTCTCCTTTCGCCATCATCTATCCCGCGGCCTCCTCCGGGTGGTACCTCCTCACTCTCTACTCGGGCTCTGATTGGTCTCTCAGATCTTTGTCTTGCTTGTAATTCAGCTACACCCAGATTTTAACAGCCACTTAAGAGTAACCCCAAAACCGATTACACTGGTTACCTACTTGTTACTTGTGGGCAATTCTAAAACCGATAGTTTTCTTCCGCCCTTCGGCCAACTATTATTACAACATCTCTCCGTCTCAACTTGATAGGCACCGGCTTCAGTTCTACTTCGGTCAACTATCCAATCTTATCGCTACCTATTCATTCCGCCGAGGCCTCTAGCTGTCACCCCTGGACCGCGAGAGGTTCCCCGGTTGATCCATCACGCCTTACGTATCCTCATACCCTTGCTTACTTTTTCTACTACCCCCCTAAATAGCCAACTTGGAAAGTCGGTTTATTGGACCTAAACTTTTCGCGCGTCGCGTGCAAACACTACCACTATTTCTCTCTGCTACCTGATCGCTATAAACTTACTTATCTGGCCATAAATTATTGCTCGTTATACTTTTAGGGCGAAACTTTGCAGTCAGAACGAGTAGAGTTTTTGGAGGGTACTGCTGTCATCCTCAGAAATCCCAGGTTAGCCCTTGGTTTATCTGGTGGGCTAGGAGGAAAGTAAAAATTAAAAATTAAAGTCAAGGAAAAGAAAATCCTAACTTACCTAGGTTGGGGGGTCCCTGCGGTCAAGCCCGCATTTCTTCGCCGCCTTTTTTTCAACCTGCCTTTGCTGCAGGCCAATTTTTTTCTCCACCGCATCAACTTCAGGACAGGCCTGAGTCCCCTTTCTAGAGGTTTAGGACCTATCATATATAGGGAGATTTGGCGACCTGGCGCTCAGGAGTTAGCTATTCGGTATTTGAGCTGCGTGACGGCATACTACCCGACCTAATCTTCGTTTCGGCTTCTTGCATTTCTACTGCACAGCCAATCCTGCCTAACTTTTCAGCCAACCAGCCATAACTGTCGCTGTCCCTCCGACCGACCCTATTTATCTTCCTATCGATTTCTACGCACGAGTAATCCTCGTCTCTGCAAAGGAGTACGGTTCCCACGACGGCGCTTTGTCTTGTGCTCATCCTTTCCTCGGAGACTAAAGGCAGAGGCCCTGAGTTCTGACGCAGAACTCAACTAGGCGTTTCCGCCCGTTTATATACGTATAGAAAGGGAGCTGCAGCCTGCTGGCTCCCCACAGCAGCTGCACCAGCCCTCAATACTATTGTGGCAATCATGAATCAACAACAACAACACGATATGTATTACGATTATCCCACGACAGCGAACAGGTCGCCTGGGTCGACAAGACAAGGTTATGCTACTGTTGGCTTACCCTCGGGCCTAGGAGGTAACCGATCAGGTCAAAGACCTATCGAATCTCTTGGTCAGCAAATGACATCTGGTCAGATATACGGGCATGATGACCGTCTCGGTGGCGCGGGTTATGAATCTTTATCGAGATTTGATCGCGTTGCACCAAGCGCAATGCAATCCGGTTACATGTTGGAAAATAGCCAGACGTGGGGCTATAATGGCGGAGTAGCTACCATGAACGGCCCCATGAATGGCAACGGTAGGTTAGCGGTGAGGGCTGTAAATCGGCGAGCCGCTCTGCCTACGGTGAGTGCCCCTTTCGCGTACATTAAAAAGCATAAGGACTTTACTGATCGAAGATTCTCTTCCAGACGTGGACTGATCAATCCGGAATGGGCGTCCATTCAATGCCTCAGATGTATGATCCAGGTATGTCGATGAACGGAAATGAACATGATATGTCAAATATGGCTGGCGCTGCCGCGGATTCTCGAGGGATGATGGTCACTCCCGGCGCGTCCGATTCCGAGCAACTTATTCCTACGGCTATCGTGATAAAGAACATCCAGTTCCAATGTCGAAAGGAGATTCTCCAAGGCCTCATGGCTTCCATGAATCTCCCTCAGCCATACGCTTTCAATTATCATTTCGACAAGGGCGTATTCAGGGGGTTGGCCTTCGCTAACTTCTCGACTGCTGATGATACCGCTATTGTGATTCAAAAGATGAATGGATTGGAGGTTATGGGTCGCAAATTACGGGTTGAATATAAGAAGATGCTACCGCAGGATGAGCGTGATAGGATTGATCGAGAGAAGCGTGAGAAACGAGGCCAGCTCGAAGAACAGCATCGAGCGCCGCTTCCTATGCACCAGCAGAGCGCTTTGCAGGCTCTTGGTGTTAGCGTCAACAAACAGCCAAGTAACTCGCCTTTACGTGAGTTTTACACACTCCCTATCTAAGATATTGTTACTAAGTTCTTCATTTGTAGGCGACGTCGATTTGAATGATCCTGCAACTCTCGAGTTTTATACACAGTTGACACTGTTTAAGAATGATCCATCGCGTGAAGTTCATATCTTCTCGCCGGATGTTGCCCCCGAACAGCGCCGACAGATACATATTCTCGCCCATAACATGGGTTTGGAGCACAGGTCCGTCGGGGAAGCTGATCGAAGGCAGATCCAAATTATGAAACGGCCGCAGAATTCTCCTCCCGCCCATGCCCAGAGCCAACTACCTAATGTCTCTTGGGAAGATCACCGGCGCGGGTTAAGTCGCGCTGCTACATACGATTTTACTGAATCTCGCATAGGTTCCAGTGCTTATCATGCACTGGGTAGGCAGGGCCCTACGTTGGAACTGCCAGGCAGTCCAGATAATGGAATACCGAACAATCTCAGAGCGGCTAAGAGTTTCGCAGATCTGCGCACGCATAGCCCGAGCCCTGCGCCGTCTGGTTCAAGCTATGCTGGCCTTGGAAACGGCCTCGGGGCCCGCTATGGTGATTTTTCCCAAAACTCGCTGACCACGCCGCCCAATTTAACCCCGACGTCAGGTCAAAATGCTACATCGAGCACCGACGCTTTATTGGCGGGAAACATGAGTTCTATGAGCTTAGGTTTCGATTCGAACGGCTCTCACATGCGCGCTAGGGAAACGCCAGGTGCTATTGGAAGCCAGAGACCGGGAGCTAATGGAGCGGCAAACCGTAACGCTCCTGACAGGCAACCTCGCGGCCCAGAATGGGCAGAAGCTAGTCAAGGTTTTGGCGGACGAAGTCGTGGACACATGCAAAGGGGCAGTGGTTAGTAATTTTGTTAAGCGCTTTTAGGCTATCCACTGCTAACTAAGACCGCGTACAGATTCATCAGATGCAGGTCGCAGTACTGCGCGCTTCCATTGATCCAGCTTGCCATTTAATGTGGGAAGCTGCCGTACGGAATAGCAATAACCCATCAATTGTATGCCCCCCGCACTCTTCGATCAGTTATTAATCTACCGGTGCGACGATAATGCCGAGTTTCCCATCACTACCTCCCAGAAAGCTAAAAAGGCCCTCGCTTTCAAACCCCATCATCTGTCCAATACGCCTTCGGTACGAGCGTTGGATCTCCGTCACAAGCATAACACAACGAGAGACGACTTATGACATAGACTTATTCCCTTCATTGATTTGACGCTATGCTTCAACCTGTCGCAGCACGATTTTTACACCTCGATTAACGGTTCGAACTGCATTATTGCGTTTTGAGTTTCTTTTCCATCTCGTTGTTTTGAACTAATATCTTGTAATATGAGATTTGATTTTTGGAATATTGTTTTATTCACCTTCCATCAGAGTTTCTCCGGCCGTCCTGGATTGGGAAAGAACAACATACATATCATGGAGTTTGCGATGGTGAAAGGCTGTAGTGTTGCATGGAACCAAAAAAAAAGTCTAGGGGAACAATGAAGCACATCGTTCCATTTTACAATACCCTCTTCACGATGATCGACAAATGAACCATCTCTGGATACACCATACAGCGATTTATGGGCGACCATTCACGGCATCACGACTCGAACTCCTATACCCTCTGAGGTGTCTTGAGGTCTTGACGGCTTCCAAGGGGGTTTGTCAAGCCTGGAGGACCTCTTTAACGATGGTTACGCTGTTATGACGCATATGCACATCACTAGATGGCAACGCGATGCTGGCTGGCTAGACTGGGAGATCCCCAACTAATTTACTGTTCTAAAGAGCATCTATGGGGCGTCCCTGGCGATAGGGCCGGCATAGCTTCGGAGCGATTGGAAATGACGAACGAAGCGACGAAGACGAAGACAGCAAGAGTAATTTCGTTGCTGAGCGAGGATTTGTTTTCACTGGAGGACAGAACAGAATGAGGACAGATGGAACAGAAGAAGATCTGATAAAATTATTTGCATTTGTATATGGTTATTTCGCCACACGATCGATGCTGTGCTAAGGTTTTTCGCTTCCCTCGAACCGCCTATCACCGCGACCTCGGCTCAGCGTAATTCAACTTACTATTTCCCGTTTATTGATTTATAGCTATTAACGGCGAAGAAGTGTTGTCATTGAGGAGATGGTCAGGATAGTAAGGGTTTGAATTGGGAAAGAAAGTTAACGGAACGTGGAGAAACACTCGCTATAGGCGCTTTGCTGCAATACAAAAGTACTTGATCGTTTTCAATGCTGAAAGTCTCATTCGTGACTGGATGGCGTGGCCGGCTCCTGTTGAAGATAATGAAGATGTATTGAGGTTGAATTTGTCAATATTGTTCTGTGAAGAAATTATTCTAAACTAATACTACGAAGTACCGAGTTCCGATGTCTTCTTTACTTAGTTGGCGAGTTTAATTAATTGTTTATACAGTAGGTACCATCCTCCAGCGTACAATACCAGGTGAGCAGGTCATGCTACCCTCGATGCCAATACTTCCACCCCCGTTTCGGCTGGCGACTATGGCAGACCCGAGTATATCAGAAACGTCAGTGCCACCAACATAGACCTGGTCACTAGACGGCGGTGTCGCAGGCTGAACCTGGAAACTGCAGTCGCCCGACACGAGAAGCGTATTGAACTTGTCGGTAGCGTAGTCCGCCAGGAAAAAATCCCTTGGTGACATGAGCTGGGCGTTACGTAGGGAGGCGCACGAGTCGAGCCAGGATGTTGATGGCGACGAGGTAGAGGCGACGGATTTGAAAGTGCTGGCGCCGCAGTAGTCAGACGGTTCCGAGGTTTGTGCGTACCACGCCCAACACGCCGGTGGGTTTATAGGGGTCTCGGCAAATTTATAGAGCCCACAGGTTTGTGCCGCGCCGCGCGGTGTTGGCAATGAAAGTTTGCTGGCGTGCGGGGTGACTGGGCTTGTTGGAAGGCTCACGGCTATGGTGGATATGATGAGGGAAGTGAGGATTTGTTGAGGGCGCATCTTGGGTTTATTGAAATATTCTACTACTATACTACGCGGCGATATTGTGAATTAACTCGAACTAGTTGAATTATAAGATTGGCGGCGTTGAGTAGTAGGACGTAAGAATGTTTAAAGGTACCTGACTATGCATATCTGGGAGTTTTCATCAAGTCTTATAGTTATATACCTTAGGTAGTTAATTAATAGTTAACTACTTGTCTTATATGACCGGTCAAGTCAGTTCGAAAGATGATCGGCCGAACTAATATGAAATATGTCAACGTGATCACTTCAGGAGCCATGATATGACCCTTTCACCTCCTCATCTCACCTCGTTGCTGGCCTCATAAGCCCCTGGCTAGCATCGATGCACGGGCTCGTCACACAAATCAATAAGTTCGGAGAATAAAAAAAACCATATCTACTACAAACCTGGAAACTGGGCTCTGTTTGTCCAATTGGGGCTTCTTAACATCCTAGAAGATTGTAGGGCATGTCGTGCGTCGTCCAATCAGAGATGAGTTCCGACGATGACCGTTTTTGGTGCTTAATTCATGCTCGGCGGTTAAACAGTATCGGGCACATATTCGGTCGACTCCCGTTGGTCGGGAGCAGTGGGAACAAGGTCCAATAGTAGGAATATTTTTGCTTATGCCTTTTGCATTTGAGTCCCATGGGTTAGGTTTGTGTGTCCTTCACTTCCTATAGGGGAAAAAGAGTATGAAGCATGCTCAGCTGCATGCCGAGCCAATCCTCCGGCCCTCGCCCCGGGTTCAATAGGAGATTTTGTCCTTTTCCCTTTTCGGGGCGAGGAGTGTGACTTGCATATCGAGCCTGCATGACCTCACCGACATATTCTATTTTTCTGGTCGATCTGCTTCATTCATAATAGGTTTCTATCTTTTCCGAGGCCGGGCATTTGCTAGGCTTGAATTCTTTTGGAACATCTCAATCAGCCCCCAAATCATTCGCATATCTGAAGCAACCGATTTAAGAGAAGTGTAATATATTAACCATATTCTTGAAAGACCAGCCTATACTTAGAAGCCGAGATTAAAATAGCAATAGGGATTTCACGACGATATGAGGAACATCATAGAAAATACATAGATGATCGGACTGGGGTATATATAGATAGAGTATGTATCTAGATCAATCAATTCTGGATTATTACGCCCAACCCATACCTCTAGATGACGACGATGCATCCACACCGATTCGCGCTATGTCCAAGGCGCCCCTGATCTCTCCAAACTCATACTTTAGCCCCATCTCGTTAACGCGCCAGTCTCTATCCTTACGCTTTAATGTACTTAAACCCTCAAAGTGGCTAAGCATCCACGAATCACATACGTAGTACATAGCTCCTGCGATAGTACTAGGATCGACAGGCATGTGCGGCCACTGCAACAATCAGTACTCGTTTATACGCGTAAATAATTAGGGATGACATACAGTGATAAAGAAGGAGGCGATGACAACAAGCACCATGACACAGAGGATCCCAACGGCAGACCACGTACAGACCTGGTGTAGTAGGAAGGTCTGTGTGACCCGGTAGGGGATATTGCTGAGGAAGACAGTTAGGAACTCGGATAGGATGGAAGTTAACGCGACAACGGCGAGGAATCCGTGACGTCGCCGTACTGAGGATAGGAGTCCTGAGAATGCATTGGTCGGTGGCGCAAGTAGGATTGATCGTCGGGCGTGTTGGGGTGAACTGGCTAAGAGCTGATAGGGGCTTAGAACAGCGATGCCTTCATACATTGTTAGCTTTGGATTCTGACTTGGGGGTTATGGGAGAAAAGAAAAACTTACTACTGAAGAATGAGGCCCAGAAGAAGCTAATAACAACACCGACAGCGGTAAACAAAAACCGTACTCCAAACGACTCGCTATCCATAAACCTCTCGAACGCTGTATCTCCGCCAGTGTTGTTGTAGTATAATATCAGACCCAGTAGCCCAGATAGAATAAATAAGAACAAGCCTCGTCCTATGTACCCTAACATAAGAAAAGGCAAGTGATGCTTCGGTTTCGTCGGTACCGCGTGATGATCTTGCGGCTCTTTTTCTCCGCCCCCAATTTGACCCAGAGCGTACCTCTTATGACTATACGCATTTTCACGTAGCATCACTCCGTACTCGACCGTCCCGTTCGCACCGTAGAAATATCCCAATTTGAACCACCGATCTTCTAGAACAGACTCGAGGAGACTCTTAGGCATCTTACCCGCGTCGATACCGGCAGGTAGGCTCGTGAATAGAAGACGCACATCCGGATTCAGCGACAGCGATGCCGTTCCACAAATACTCCAAGGGTTTGTGCTGATTCCAGAGCGCCATCGTGCTAACACTATGATCAACATCAAGGTCGCCAGGCCCATCAACGCCAACAATGCAGCCGTACCCTTAGCTGCTTGATCGAACACACTGAGCACATATGCGCAGTTGCTAGCATTTCCGCTACCTGCGACGCATCCAATACCGCGTAAGTCAAATTTAACAGCTTCAGCAGAGATAGGGATCAGCAGTGCAGAGGCGAGCACAAGCACGGTCGTCAGAAACACGAGTGCCTGGCCACCGACTAGCGAGCGCAAACTTGCGGCAATAGACTGCAAGCCTGAGGTATTCAGACACAGCGACTCCCGACCGGAGGCTCCGCGGCCATGCGCCAGCTCGTGCCATGGTTGTAGAATCTTCGCATTGACGTCGAGAATGCGGACAGGAATCGCCAGAGCGATGGCCAGGAGCGTAGGTAGGAAACTGCCAATGAAGTATTGCACATGGTTGATATGGTAGACCTTAGTTACAATGTGGCCATTGCTGTTCTCGCTATCGTCCGATGGGGGAGGAATCATCGGGTATAATGTTTCTGTTGCGGTGGGCTTCCCGGTTGAATCTGTCTGGGTTATTACAGAGGGCGTGACGAGCACGCTGGTTTCTTGTGTGGCTGTAGGTTGGCCTTGGGAGTCGGTAAGAGTGGTCGTTTGAGGTGTTGAGATGGGTTCCGGGATGCTTGTTGAAGTCATAATTACACCCTCTGAGTTCGTTATAATGGTAACGGTTGGTGTTACGAAGGTTGGTGTCTGTGGTACTGTCTCCGAGATCGTAATTGTGCCGATGCCGCCGTGGTTTGTGGATGCCACGGACTCATATATTGATGTCGATCCAATATCACCGTAGTCTGATTCTGGTATAGTTTCCGTCACTATCTTCGATCCTACATCGCCGTAGTTAGTTGTCCCAGGTACATTCAGCGACGTTGGCGCCTCCTCCGAGATAGTAATAGGCCCACCGACATGGCCGAAGTCTTCCTCCGGCTTGGAGTAGGCTGTAGAAATTTGTGACGCAGTATTAGGCTTCGTAGTATCCTGAGCCGCCGGTGGTGTTGTCGTTGGCCCCACTGGTTCGGTGATAGTCTGATCACCGACGTGTCCAAAGTTGCCTTCAACGGGTGTTGGGACTGCTGTCGGCGATGTATTTTCGGACGTAAGTGAAGACGTAGGCTCGGAGACACTTTCAGCACGGCCCTCTAAGAGAGTAGGCATGAGAATAGGCCTAACCTCTGTAAAGACGATCCGAACGACTGTATAAGACGACGGCCCCTGAATTTCTCTTGCGTGAATTCCCTCGGTTAAGACGTTGAGATCGTTGTTGAGAACAGGGAGAACATGTAAAGCCCATACTATCAGCCCAACGAGGGTTGATACTACAAGTAGTAAAACTGTTAAGAACGGCCATCTAAGTGCAGATGGTTTATAGTTGGGACGCTCCCGATCTATTTCCGGCGCAACGTCCAGAGTAGTTTCGCTATAGGTTATCATGTCAGGCTTGTAGCCTGTTGGAATCTGAGTATAGTCCACTCCCCTACCAGACCACGACTGATCGTTACCATACTTAGGAAGGCTCCCTTCCTCGCTATTTGAGCCTATCGAACCATCGTAATGTCCTCTTTCATATGAGGGATCTTCCCCATCGTATCGTCGTTCATACTGTTGAGTCAAATCATTGTCGTGCTCGTAGGGTCCATCAAAACTTCCCGAGCTTATATTCCGCGTATGCAATCGGGGTAGAGCATCAAACGCCACCCTCTCCGTGCGTGGCGCCGTAGTGATGTGCGACATGATGCCGTCTTTATTCAGTGTTCCCTTGAGCGCTTCCGAATCATTGCCGGACAAATGTGCTATTATGTCCTGGGAGGATACCGTCAGTCCAAAAGAAAGAAAAAAAAGTCTCATTCCCATCATGTTGTAAGATGACATGCGTGTCTAATATCTTCCCGTTCGATTCGTGGCGGAGCGAGGCCATCGCGGCGCTACTGCTGCACTACTACGGTACTGGACATGGTTCTTAGGCCATCTACCGTAACCGTCGCCTATCCAAGTGGCTGAACAGCCTTGGCAATTTTCAGCTCTCCCACTTAAAGCCTAGAGAACGCCATGTCATCAGCTCCAATGCCTGCAAAGTAACCTATCAAACTTGGTACGGGACCTGAGAAAGTAAATATAGTTCGCATAGCGTCCCGCCGATCAGCACATTAGGCTAGACGGCGCCTTGTTTCATATGCCACGACAAGGTGCGTCTTAGTCAGAGTATTCTTTTGAAATCTTAGACTGGTATATTCATGGAGATCTCTATACGAATGAATACGACCATCCTGAACAAATACGATATTCGATAAAGAACAGCCACTACGCACGAGCCCGATCTGAGCAAACAGAAGCTCAAAAATATAACTTAGATACCTAGTTTTCAGGGACGCCATTATCACGATAACGGTAATAAATATATGCTGACTTAAATTAAAAGACATCGCGCTGTCAGAATGTATTTTCGGGCCGGTTGGGTCTGAGATAACGTGAGAATATTTAGACAGGATATAGCGAATTCCAAGTACGAATTAGAAGTTATGTATGCGGCTGATAATTGAGCGGTATTTGAGGATCGTGAAATGTCTTGGCATAGAACAATCACGTTCTAGACTAAGGTACCTGTCCGGAACTGGTTATAAGCCGGTATTACCGTACCGAATGCCAAAGCGTAGGGCTGAATTCCTCTTCTTTAAGCATCATAAATATATGTGATTCACCACACCACCATATAAAAAAAAAATTAAAAGATACGCGAGAATTTCACAAGCCAAAATTACAGGCAAGAAGAGTCTTCTATTCAAAGCACGATGTCAACACATACCACATCACCGTTGAGATCATTGATCCTAGTTGAAGGTATCATGAAGCTCGCAGGGGGTTTGGTATTTATAATCTCACCCCAAACCCCATTGTCCGTCGCAGTAGCAGCGCCCATTTCACCCTCAACTCTACTACTAAGCCGACTCCTAGGCACCCAGACTTTTACGCTAGGGATATCTATGCTTCTCGCATCTGCGAAAACACCAAAGGCCGCGGCGAGCAGGCGGATAGTTTATTGGACTATATTCGCGAGAGATATCACCTTGGTGACAGTACTCGCGTTACAACTTTGGTTCGGGGACAACACTGACGTTCTGGGTTTCTCGCCAAAAGGACTACGCTCATGGCTCGTGGAGCTGATTCCCTTCTGCTTAGGCCACTTGTGGATTCTGACAGCAAAGTCCCACTGGTTTTGATAGGTATAAGCAGCTACATGGCGTAGTCGATACTACGTACCCATATTATAGGTACACGAATCTGGGGCTATTGATTGCACGTACAATGTACTACGCGAACAAGTACAAAATCATTGGACATACTCATCACCACTCAAACGTGGCTTGTGGAAGACTCAATGCACTGATCGGAAGCATCATTTCCAGTCTAAAGTGAAAATGCTTCGAGAAATATCAGACTGCAGAATTAAAACGCGACAAAACTAAGATGAAATGGTATATGATAGGTACCTCTATATCACTATCAACAAAAAGACCTCACTACTCATTACCTTTAGAATAGTCCCATAGGATTTTATTCGGTAATTATAACGCTCTTGTGCGAAGTTGCCTTCATAGCCACCTCTATTCGACATTGAGATTCTTAGTGCCAGCGGGGCGCATTTAGGATGAACCCCATAAGACACCCAGAGATGATACCCGCGCAGGGCAAAGTCAAGATCCAGCCTCCGTAGATCCAAGCGATCATTCGCCAATTAAGCGCCCGCCAGTCGCCATTACAAAGACCAACGCCGACGATGGCGCCCGTGATGCACTGCGTAGTCGATACCGGTAGCTCTAAAATTTTCCACAAGGTTAGAGAATCTATTCAAGCAGGTAGAAGTCTAGGCGGGTGTTCACTCACTAAGCCGAGTAGCAAGAATAATAGTAACAGCGCTTCCCAGTTCCATAGAGAAACCTCGAGAGGGCGAGTTCAACGTCAGCCGATTGCCAAGGTTAGCCATGATGTGATACCCATAAGTCCAAAGGCCAATGACAATGGCGACACCGCCAAAAGCGAGGATCCAAAGGGGAACTTCAGGGTTCTTAGGAACCTGCCCCTGTTGCCAGATCTGATAGATTGTTGTAAAGGGTCCGATGGCACTACTATATGTAAGTAATATGTCTACTATAAAAAGGGGGCGGCATATTTACTTCGAAACGTCATTAGCACCATGCGTAAAAGAAGCTGTACAAGCGGTCATAATCTGTAAGAACGAATACATGAACTCGGCCTTGTTGTCGTAGTGCGCTGCCCGGGCGTGTTTTTCCTCGAGGTCCCCAGACAGTATATCCTTCTTTTTCTGCATATTGACGACATCTTGATCAACACCGTTGAACAGCCCTTTCTTAAGATACCAAAACAGCATCTGGCCAGAATACCAAGAGAGGCCCTCAGGCTTAGGGCCGACTAGCGACTTACTCTCTGGGACGTTAGTAAGCTCCTCTGAGCCGGAGTCAGAGTGCTTCGAAGACTTGACGATAGCCTCTGCAATGTTGGCTTCATTGGCGGTCTCTTTGGTGCCAGCTGCCTCGACATCGTTCCGAGCTAGAGCAGCAGCACGTTTGGCTTCAAGCTCTTCTTTCGTGAGATGGCCCTCGTAGAAGTTACGGATAGCACCTTGAAAGTTTGATGGGGGTGGTGGGACTTCGCCTCGCCTCAAAAGAAAAGGACCAAGGGAAATATGGTACCATCGAAGTTCCCAGTCCTCCTTGACGACCACGCGCCACAGCCAGGGCATAAGGAATATCGCAATAATACCAGCCCATCCAATACCGCTACAGACAATGACAGCAGCAAGTTCGTTATCGTTTAAGTTAATGGTATACCCACCGCCTTTCCAGAGCAGAAGCATGACCAAAAGCGACGCGGTAAACCCAAAATAGACGGGAACTAGAGCAAACGCCTTCATGACGGGATTCTTACGCAACATAACTCCGTATTTAGTGATGAGAAATATGATGGAAGCAAAGATTGCCGAGAGTCCAGGAGCAATGATCCAGGCGAGGAAGACTGAGACCACACCAGTGTTGATTACTTCCGTGCCCTTGGTACCAGCTGGTGCGACCCATGTGATATTGCTAGCTCCCACAGATGCGATTCCCATCCCGATAACACCTCCCATAATGGAGTGGGTAGTAGACACAGGGAGACCTATCTTAGTGGCCAAAGTAAGCCAGACAGAGGAAGCAATAACGGCACAGACCATCCCGAGTAGGAGCACTTCAGGCGAGTCATTATATAGGTTGGGGCTGACGATTTTTGTTCGGATAGTATCAGCGACACGGGCTCCAACACCGAGAGATCCTGCGAATTCCATGATACTGGCTCCTATCATTGCCTGGAAGAGGGTTAGCGAGCGAGAAGCGACTGAAGTCGCCCACGAGTTAGCAACATCGTTAGCTCCTGTGGATTAAGTAAGGTCAGTACCGGTACTTAGAAGTACGTTTAAGAAGCAGTATAAGAAGATGCATACCGATATTCCAAGCATCGAGGAAGGCAAAGATTAAGCCTATAGCAAAAAGATAGTCATATTGAGCTAACACCATCTTGCCTAGCAATATAAGGGAAATATTACAAGTAGGACAAGTAAAGCTCCCTGGAGCTGAAACTGCTGAAGGGGTATGGGTTGTAACTCTGGAGAGGGGGAAACATGTTATATATATCACATATTATTATTTCAGCTACAGATGTCCCTGGCCACAACTGGGCTGATCAACGCCATAATAAAACCCATAATAAGGCTAGTTACATCATTCTAAAGGCGTATATGATGGAATTGCCACCCATTGAGTCAGCGAAACTGCATAAATGTACAGGGCGGCATGTAAAACCGTTGTCAGACCGCATAGCCAATGCGAAGTCGCATGCATGCAACGTGGTTTTCCAGGAAGGGAGCAGCCGGGAAGGAAGGTCATTAACTTGATCGTAGGCCGACGCCGCGACCGAAGAAGTTGAGGAAAGGAGTGGGCTGAAATCTCGGTCAAAGTTCTTTTAGGTATCTCTTGGGCGCTTGGCTCTTGGCCTTCTGAATATCTCACTATGTATGGGCGTATTTTAGCGTCCGCCGAGACTCGCTATAAGAACTGGACCGAACGACGACGAAAAAAAAGAGCAGGTAAAGATCTTCAATACAAATCCTTACCGTCTAGCTTAAATTTGCTAATGTATTAGTCCAAAGACATTTGAATTTCCGCTGGTATACGAGTACGCTTGTACTTCAAATATAGGTAGGTACTTATGTATGTTCAACGAGCTCTATACTAAGGCTATAGCCTCATAAGACCTAAGGCGAATAGCTATCGTCCGTCATGCAACTCCTCTGGAACGACATCGACCCGTTTTTGTCAAACCGGCCAAGGACTCTGATATCTTAATTAAGCTCGTTTACCTCTAAGTATTATTGGATCACAACTTACTCTAAGCATCTTGAATATGAGTTCACGCCTTTCATACATTTTTGTGAACACAGGCTCGAGTTTGACCCCTAATCAAGATCAGTATAGCGCTCCTAAGTGTATTAAACGGTGAACATCAACAGACAAACATCGATAACCTTAGACTTCCTTCGAATTTTTGGTTTAATGTGGAAGAGATTGTAATAGAAGCAATATGGCGTGGTCTTGAAGATCGAGTAGTTAAGCCTGGCCAAGAATGAGTTTCTACTTGGCTGGGGCCTTGGCAGCTCTTTATACTTGATCAAGCGTGAAGAGTCGTTAGTTTGAGGCTCTTGGCGGAGCCGCTAGCTACAACTTGGCCGCATGCCTAGACTTATGCACCCGAGATTATACTGGCCCTATGGCATTTCTTATTGATCCCACGTGGGCGATTGAAAGGCTAATATAGGACAAGATGGGTTATTTTATAGACTAGGCATTATTATATAACACAGGGTGGAACATCTTACACGCGTTACATTCCTAAATAGTATTATGAACTAACCTACGTATTTTAAATACTTCCTTATGTGTATAGGACCTAGAAGGTTGGTTGGCTATGATATAATGTAATAGTACATGTATGCCATTACTAGATATTTTAGAAGGGCCACACTTATGGTCATGGGTTAGGGGAACATAGCTATGAGCATGTAGGAAATTTTGAATCATTTGAATATCTATTATCACTTCTCCTAATATCGTTTCGCTTATATCTGGTAGATATTCATCTACCTCGAATAATTCCCCAATGTCTCCTTCGGTTTTGTCGTGGCAGGGCTTATAAGTCTCAACCTCACATAACAAAGAGCCAAACACGAAAAGTTCTAACTCTTGTATTGCAAGTAGCTTTGTAATATAAGTGTGTGACTTGAAGCATTAGTAATCTGACCGTCAATCCTTCATTGTTCTCTACAGATATCACTGGAAGAAGCCTTTTTAATAACAACTATAAGGTCACAATAAAACTTTTATTTGATAATAGAATGATATTCTTAGACATGTTTGATATTTCTCCCTGGCGTCTTACCTAGCGCACCCAATGCGATCAAAACTTGCTTCCTAACTTCCCCGGGCTCAACTCCTGCAGCGACACTGTGGATCCATTTTCCTCCATTTTATATCTGCCAATATTACTATCCCGTAACTTTCCATTACCACCATATCCCCTTTTCTTACCTTCTCGGCTACTCCGGCTCTCCGGCGTATCATATATATATAGGTGCGTCAAGCCGTCAATATCCTGTGAAGATACCGGTAGAGCGATACCAATCGTGGAGGCATCTGGTTGTTTCTTATTTTCTTCTCGTTGAATATTATCGGAGGCATAACTCTTGTCCCTCACAGAACTCGGTGATTTGAGAGGGGGTAGCATAGGCGAGCCTGGAGATGACATGGGCGACACGGAGAATGTTGGCGACGTTGGGTGGTACGGGGGCGGTGCTGGTAGCGCGCGGCTTGGTGGTGGCCCAGCAGGGGTTACCAGATGAGGAATCTCTATGGGTTCATCATGTGGCCTTAGAGGGCGAGTAGGAGAAAACGGTAGTGGCGGCGAGTGTGACTTAAATCCAGGTGGATTTGTTATACCATAATACACTGAGCTATCTTTGTTAGGCCCGGTAGGGGTCGACGTTCCTATAGGTCCACTGCTGTATGAGCTGTTACTATCACGCAGGAAATGAGGTGCGAAATGTATGGCTGCTGGAGGCGATAGAGAGCCAGGAGGTTCGGCAACGGCATTCGGAATCATGTGGCCCTTACGCGGCAGTGTAGTTTTCTTTTCGGTGCTCACATTAAGAGTAGTGGGTGTGATTACCCTTCCATCTACACCGAAGACCGATGAAGATTTTGGTGTATCGCATTGCTTGAGAAGCGACGGGAGGAACCTACGATCACTGAGGCGCGCCGGGGGCGTCAATGGTGGACCCTTTGATGATGCTGAAGGTGGCGGCGTGATTAAGGGTGTATGCGAGCCACTCTGTGGCTCAGAAGACGAACGGCCAAGACGAGGCGCATTTGGAGTGTCGTCTAAGAAGCTATGAGGGCGTTGTCGATGTCGGCTTACTAGAAACCCTCCGAGGAAGACAATCGCTATTATTGCCAGGCTTGAGCAGATGCCTATCGCGGCCTTGCTCCCTTCCGTAAGGCCTGCCGATGTGCTTGTCACCGTACCAATACTCGATGTAGTCGAGTTGAGTTTTGAACTTGACGAAGTCTCTGCTGCTGCTATAGACGACGAGATAGATATTGTAGTTACGATGGATGACAGATCATTACCTGGGAGTATTGTTCGAAGACCAGGCTCTCCAAGCTCTAGCCCCGGAAATCTGATTAGAGAGGATAGGATAGTAAACCAGGTCAAAGGAAGACTCACTAGTTACAGCTGAGTTGCAGTTGAATTTGTTAGGCAGAGGTGGCCCTGGATCGTAGATCAGATAATTTCCAATACTATATAAGTTAATGATCATATGGTTACAGTTAGTTGATCCTATTCAACCTACTTCTGACATTTGTTAATAATCAAGTCAACATTAGCTAGTGAATTGAGTTAGTCGAATATCGTAGTATTTCTTTACGTAGGTGATAACTGACGACTCTGCCCCTTTTCACTTGTCCAGACACCACAGAATGTTGAGTCGCAACAATACAATTTCCAGAGCTCGGTATTAGGCCGAACATGTGAGAGCTGATTGCATACGTCTTCGAGATCCTCGCGAGGGTCTTCATACAATCCATCAACAAACTGCTTGAAACAAGCGGCTATGCAAGCTTTCGGATTTTGAAGACCGATATCGGCTGGATTTGGGTCGTTGCCTTTATATTTATCACGATGATTCCCCCTCCCACTAACGCTGAACTGGTTAAAGTCGGCTTTCCGATGGAGGTCCATGGTAATCGATCAGGATTTCGTCTACTATAAATGTTTACCTACGCAAGCAAGTCAAGCAATAACAAAAAACGAAGCATAATTAAAGAACCCGATAAAGGATTGGTATTAGAAGTAGTGGAGGACTAAACGAGGGTGAAGTATATCAAATCCTTCGACGAGGCACTTTGCAGTCAGAAGGAATCTTCCATGCTAGCGAAATGCTACTAGCCTTTGTGGCGCCTGCAATATAATATCTGCCATGTGCGCACGTATCAATCGCATTATCAGTCTCCGGCTATTGTAAGCCATAGCGCAATGCGATGACGCTTCGCACAACAGGACGCCGTTGCGCTGATAATACGATTAGGGATAAAGTGTATTCAGCTTCCTAGCATAATAAGACAGTGTGTGTCACACAAGTCCTGCATCTTCCCGTGCCGGACGATAATGAGTCTTGTGTGGGAACAGGGTTGCGGTTATACGCCTTCTCCAGTGGTATATACGAACCTGTATATACCCGCAGAATTTCTCTGGAAGAATGATGTGGGTACAACAGGAAAGCAGTAGATGGTATCCAAGGGCTGGATACGAAATCATATCATATGAAGTGCCGCAAAGCTGATAGGCAGGTATGCGTTCCTTGCAAGACTTAAATCTTGGTGACTGAAACGTGCACAGCACAAGCAAATTTTCTTGTGGGAGCCGAGATGACCCCCGAGGGTGCTTTTCTGTTCTATATCGAGTAGTAAGTCATCTAGATTTGCCACTCATTAGCTTTTACTGCGAAGAGAGATATCTGTATAATATCTTTCAAACCTGAACCTAGATTCTAACTATCTTATTCACATAATCAGTTACAAAGTCAAGAGCCCATATTCTCTAAGTACCTCGTTTTAAAAATATTTATAATATGATAACTAAATTAACATAAGAATAAATATAGGATAACGGCTGGAAATTATTGGTTTATTGGTTAAAGTTCTTCCTAACCATCTAAAAGGAGTGGCAAAGAATGAAGATGAGGTTCAGATATCGATCAACCAGTGATAGAGGGCTACTTAACCAATGGCTTTACAACGTAGGCGAACAGCCACGGGATACTGTGACACATTGTGTTACTATATGGTTGTGGATGGACCAAGAAAAAACCGAGAGCTTTACGGATGTTTGCTGTAGAATACTTCACGGCACTACCAACGGTAGGACGCGGTAAATGTCTCAATTGGATGATATTTTTATGTAG